TTAAATAAAGTGAAAATGCGCACTCTAAAATAAATAATGGAGAAACTAATATCAGTACCTGTTTTATCTACTACTCTAATAGAAATTGCACTTTTCGACATTGTAGGGTTCTCCTGCATTACCGTTTTAAATACATTTATAATCATTTCCTTCGTTTTAACGTCAAAATGTCCCTTTGCTGGTCTTTTTTTAGGTGGAGTGAGGGTTAAATCAATATCAAGGATTTCATCGGCTGTATCAGGGCTTGACATTTTTGTTATTCTATTTATATTCAATAACTTAATGTACTTACTTAGTTGATTGAGAGAATGTCAAAATAGCCTAGGGAAAAATAATACGTATTGTAATAAAACCAGCATCATCGAAAATATCTGTATACTTTTTCAAGTCCAGAAATATTCCATTCACTCACGATAAAACCTCCCCAAAGAACAGCTTGGATTGACATGACGTTTGGCATACACATAGCTAACATGTTAAATGAAAACAGTTATTTGTGCCGATGTGTGTTTTTGCCCTAGGGGTAAGTTTCACAAGGTTTCTCAGGGGTGCAAAAACAAACTTTCATAATAAGTCAGGAATAGGAAAAACTACTGACTAATTCTAAGCAACCTTTGTTATATGTATAGAGTTTTTTCACTGAGTCAATACTTTTCAAGTTATTTGCGAGTGAATATGTTCATTTTTCAACTACAAAAAACAAGGTTTTTAGACGGTTTCTGCAAATAACTCAAAAAGTAAGTATTTTATCGAAAAAATATTCTTAGCAAAAATATAGCTTATAAGGAAGTTATAGACCTTATAAAAAATGATGTACTTATACCTATGGTGATGCCTTATATTATTTAGTGATAAAGTTACCAGCATTTAACTGCAAAGCGGTCTTCTTAGGTGGAAAATACTTTACTTTGCACCATACACAAAAAGAGATATTTTTGAATGCTCTAACTATCGAGGAATTACGCTTCTCAATGCAGCATATAAAATATTTTCCACAATACTATGCCACTGTATGGCACTATATGCAGAATTGATAATAGGAAAATAACAGGCTGGTTTTATACAAGGTTTAGCAGAAATCCCTAAAGATAGTTTTTACATTGAACTAATTTTTACTTTATACTAATAAGCTATTTTGAATAGATTCGACCCAAACTTTGTTTTTTGGTAGAGAACCTCTTTCACTGGTTGTATTCAAAAAGGTTGTAATTTTTCTGAGCCGTAGTTCTCCTCTCCTATTATTTTCGTCAATGATATAGTTACATGTTTTTTGTATTGCAGCTGTGCAAAATTTCCTGATGATCTCAAATTTTGGAGAACCATTGAAAGTATTTCAGATCAGGAACTGCTTCAGGAGGATTAAATTGTTTGTTAGAGTGGTGCCAAAATAATAAGCTATATTTGAATATCAACAAATGCAATTTTCTAAGTTTCTCTATTAAAACCACTAGGTTTGAGTTACTTTATTGATAACCAGCCACTAAAATACATATCTAAAGTAACTAATCTGGTTGTAAATTTTTAATGAGAAGTTAATTTTTGTAGGTCATACTAATTCTATATCAATTAGGGGGTCAAAGATGGTGGGCTTTATTACTAAAAATTCTAGTTTTTTCTCAACTGTAGCCACAAGAATGGCCTATTGTTCTTTGGTCATTTCTATGCTGGAGTACTGTTCAGCCATATGATCTCCTTGTTCCAGCAATGGGAAAGTTCATCTTTTTTGTTTTAATAATTCAGGTTTGTACTTGCAGACATCAGTCAATCGCCATTTGTGCAGTTGGTCAATAAAGAATGTTATTTATTTCTTTAATTTTGGTTTTTATAAGTATCATAATGACTCTCCATTATCCTTAAGCAAATTTTTGTCTGGTTATGAACATTTGTCAAGAGTATTTATTAGAGTATAGTAGAAAAATTAGAAAATAGCTAAAAAATTACAAGATTAAAGCAATGATTAATTGTATTAGACTGAGATTGTTTATTAAATCAGACTACATAAAACTATACACTATTTATGTATGGAAGGAAACAGTTAAAATATATAAACCATTTATGCAATGCATAACTTACTTACATTAAGGTAATACTAAGTAAATGAAAAAAAAACATACCCATAGAAATTATATTTACTATATTATTACTAAATTAAGCTGAATTCATATTGGATGCCGCTCTAACACTATTTGGTATTTTAAGGTGCTGGTCAGTGGTTTCCAAAATTTTTACTATACTAAGAATATCACTAGTAGTGTTAGCATTAATCCAAACTTTACCATTTACACCTATAGCTATTTCATAAGGAAACTTTCGTCCAATCATTCTCAAGAGAGGATTTTCAATATCTAAAAGCTGTTGTGCTAATACTAGAGATATATTTGTATAAAATCCTTCATCTGAGAGAATGCCTAACGGTCCAGCTTTATAATAAGAGTCTACACACACTAACTCTGGCTCCATTTCTCTATGAGCACTCAACAGCCGAGCATAAACTACATCTCCAACTTGTACATCAGGTTTCTGCTTTTTGGTTGCTCCTTCGAAAGATAGTAAGGATAAGGCAGCATGCTCGGCAGTACCAATGTCCACTTTTAAAGTATCTCCCGATTTTTTAATGATCACTCCAACCACCAAATCACCTTTTTTAGGAATGTATCTTCTCCTATTTCCTTCGATCCAATATATATTAGGGTTTTTAAAGAAAAGTTTTCCTGGCTGGGCAACACATAGAGTGTTTGGTTTTTCCTCATTCTGGCGAAGGCCTGGACCCAAAATTGTAACACCTCTCAAGGATTTAACATTTTCTATAACATGACCTGGAAATACAGTTTCAATTTCGGTCATTTTTACAACAAACCCTTTTTTTAACACAAATTTGTCATAACCTAACCTCAATTTATTACAATTACAATGTTTTTAAAATTCAAATTGTATTGTACTCGGTAATTGTCGCCTCGTGGCCCCTCGTGCAGTCCATTGTCACAGAATAATAAACAATCAGAAGGGCCACTCTCAGATGCCGCCTTTGAAGTTTTTCAGCACGCGCGCCATGTTTTAGGAGGACACAGACATATGATTTGTGTGGTTATGTAATTGTTTATATTCAATGACGTATAATATAATATAGACTACGCAGTCCCCTATTCTCGCTATAGAATCGAGTGTCCGAAAGATCTCGGCTCAAGGTTGAAGGTATGTTTATCACAACAGCGACGTGCTCATTTATATGTTAATGACAATATATATTTTTTTAATTAAAATTAAATATTTATGATTTCTATTTGTTCCCGTCTATAAGAGAAATAATTATTTTGATAAAATAGTATGGCATTTTACTAAAATAGTAAGTAAATAACTTCAACAATTTAAAATAAAATTTGCTTGTCACACACAATGGAGAAAATGTTTTCGTACGTCCATGATGTTTTCAAACACAAGATCAACTTCGTGATGCTTCGTAAGAAATCATGAACTTCGTGCATCTTCGTATCAAAACAATAAACAATAACAAAGGTATTCATGTTTTGGACACTTTTTAAAGCGTTCACCGAGTCTATATATTATACGTCATTGTTTATATTTATGTTTAATTATATTATATTTACTTTATTATATTTAACAATGTTAATATAATTGTATAGTATGTCTATGATTGCCGTAAGTCAAATAAACCTGGTTAATTTTTCCATGCACACCACATAAACAACACTAATTTCTTTAAAATCCTCCTAAAACATGGCGGAACGTCTGCGCGGAGGAGATGCGCGTACTTAATTTTCCGTGGAGAGTGGGTATTCTGTTTGTTTATTATTCTGTGCCATTGTCATTGTCCAACACGTGATCAGGTTATACCAATCGAAAGACAACAAGAAAACAATGCCAAAATCACAAAACAAAAAGTTTATTCTGAAAACTTCAAAATATGAAAAAATACTATAAAGGTCGATTCAGACACATCAGTCACGTTTCGTCACAGTGATTGCGCCGAACCGAACAATCCGTCATACAAAATATTCTAATGAATTACTCTACTCTACATTACATTATGAATTATATTGTTTAACTCTCATAATATGTTGATATAATAAAATAACAATATTAACAAATAAATAATAAGGGTGCGATAGCTACACAACATAAATCTTGCTTATTGCTTTAAAAAAATATTCTACATGCAATAACCCGGTTTTGGGTGACAAAGGCAAACAAAACAGGATATTCCAACCTTCCTTTCTGTACACAAAAATACTCTCTTACAAGTTTCAGAAAACTGAACTCAGGAACATCACAAGTGCAGAGTATATACCACAAGGGCTATGTACTCTGCACGGGTGTTCTCTCTAAGATCAAAGAAGTCTCAAATCATGTCCGTAAAATGGACAAAGTAGACACAGCAGATTCACTAAAATGAAAAGATCACACACATTTTCCGTAACTGTATGGTCAATAACATATTTTAAATAGGCCCTTTCTTTAAATAAAAAAACTCGAGCTTTTTTTTTAATTAAATAATTAATAAGATAAAGTCCTTCGTGAAAAATACATATTTTGTTAAATCGAGTATTTAGTATATTTATTTGAATATTTGTGATAAGATTTAACTTAGTTCTATTGATCATGGAATATAATTATTTGTATCTTGATTGCCTCATTATTGGTTGCATACATTTGGGGGTATTAAAAATATCAATTTAGACCATCAATTTCCTAATATTTCCATACGTAATTAATTACAGTTTAACGGGCCGCGGTCTCTGATATGTGATATCTGAATTTCTGTGAATGATTATTTTGAATCAGTTATAAAAAAGGTAGTTTAGTTGGCTTTGTGAAAACTCATTTAGTCGTTTGACAGTTGACATACATCTAATTTAGAAACGAAGTCGGTAGTTTTGTATGCGGGCAAGCAGTAAAATCCGGTAATAACTAGTTTAAAATTGTGGAGAGGATAGTCCAGAAAGAAAAAAAAATAGTTAGTCTTAAAATCAGTATCAGTTACAATGAGTTCAACAGGTATTTACACCGGTTTAAATGAAAATTCCAGGAGTTCAAGTAGAGTCCTAAGACCTCCAGGCGGGGGCCATACAAATTTATTTGGTGATGCTGGAAACGAATCCAAACCTGCTCGAAAAGACCATGGAAGAAATAGTTCTTCTATTTTAGAAGGAACAAATACTCCAACTGCATCTCCAACGACTCCAACAAAGACTGTGGTACCTCCACCGATTCCACAAGCCAAGGAACCAGTTTCTCAACAACCAAAAGGCCGAGTTCCACCGGGAGGTTTTTCTTCCGGACTTTGGTGAATTACAATTAACATTTTATATTTAAATAATGTGTTATGACTGCATGTTACCTCTTTACATCTAATTTTTGACTTAATATTATAAAATTAATGTTTTAACGCATAACGGTAATTTATACTGTAGCCTTTTTTAAATTTATAAATAAAGCATTTTTTCTGTGTGTAAAATTTATTTTCATTGGCAATGATAATTGAGGTCATTGTCATTATCCAATAAATAGTTCAACAACGGTACAACTGAAACTGATGCACATAGGTATTTTCTCTTTTCCTTTTTGTCGAAAATGATTTAAATCATAAAATTTTGAAATGAAAGAAGTAAATGTCACTATAAATAAATTATCAAAATTGCCAAATGAGTTTAATGTAACTGTTTTTGTTTGTATTATTTAGTGTCCAGATACACAAAAAGAGTTACAAATGGTTCTTTGTACAACAAAAATCAATTAAATTTTATTTTAACCATATTTAAAGATTCCATAAAAAGTTATATGCTTGATATTTTTTACATCATAACTAAAAATAACAAGCTGCACATATATTTATAGATTTAAAAAAAATACAAAATCGTTGATCCGTTGAAACAAAACAAAGAAGAAAGAAATGACAATGACAACAAACAAAACCTTAAAATTTAAAACAGATTTCTTCTTTATTAATTCGACTCGTCGCGACTGTGCCCATAGCCATTACTTCGGTTTACTCATGTTATACCCTGTACAAGGCCATTATGGACTGGCACAAGATGGAAAAATATTCCAACTTTCTTCTGACGTCTGACAGTTAAAGAAAAACTGAGGAGGTAAATAAGTTTAAATTAATATTTATTTTATTCTTAACATCCATTAATCTCTATATTTCCGAAGTGAAACAAATACTTTTAAAACATTTTTGCTACATTCTGTCAATTATATTTTTGACTTACATCCTCTGAAACATTTTTTATTTCTAGGTTCTACCTATACAGCAATGGCCAAGTCAAAGAATCACACAAATCATAACCAAAGTAGGTAAACCAAATATTTTTTCAAACTTCGTTTTAAAAGCTATATTTTTTAGATCGCAAAGCTCACCGTAACGGAATAAAAAAACCAAAACGGTTTCGCCATGAATCAACCTTAGGGGTAAGTAAACACTGAATAAGACTTCAAAATTGTACCCTATGAAAAACAAATGTTTTATTGTCCTCTCGAACCTTTTGAATAAACTGGAATTTTCTGAAACTATTTTAACTGTTAAAAAATAATTTGCTTGTTAAATGTGTGGACTTTTACATAAGTTAGGAACTGATGATATACTAAGATCTTAAATACAATTTATAAACATTTCTAATTCTTGCTTTGTTTTCAATGTATTGAGGAAAGCTACAGAGCTCTGCTTTGGAATCAGAATTTATTTTGTGCTTGCAGATTTTGGTGAACAAAATATGCCAAGCAAGTATTTTTTTTTGACCAGTTTGATAATGCTTTTTTGGTGTTATAGGGATAGTTTATTACTAAGAAACAGAGCATTCTTGAAAAACACAGATAAACTTGAGTGTGACTACCTAATCAGTATTGATGAACATGATTCTACTGAATCAATTTAATTTAGTGACCTTGACTCATGTTCCAAATAGGAAGATGATGCCTATGATCTCTCTAATATTAATCTTGAAACCCAAGCAGTATACTAAAAACCCACCATTCTCTGCTGTAATGAAAACCTGCTCTGAATTGGTGAAGTATGACTCCAAAAATATCACAATATTTTCTCATCAAAAGCAAGGGGGCTTTTGATGAGACAATCTTTTCACTTGATGTGAAAAAAGCCTTTGGTACAGTTGATCACATGCTCTTATCATCTATATTGGAAACTTTAGGCGTAAGAGTCATAGTGTTGAAGTGGTTTAATGATTATGTATTAAGAAGAACACAATTTACCTTTGTTAACAGGGAGAATAGTCAATTGTCCAATATTGGGTGTGGAGTTCGACAAGGGTCGATAGGTGGTCCAATGCTGTTCCTTATTTATGTTAATTCAATTTCAGTGTTGCTATTAAGAGGTACACTAGCATTGCCTAGGTTAAATGGTGTAGGAAAAAATATATATTTTGTAAAAAATTATGACAAATTTTACCATGCTGCTACACATCTATTTCATCTAGTGTTACTGTATAATTGTTGTATATCTGTCTCTTATACTATGTCATCTAAATACTTTTAGTATTCTTCAATTGCTACCATCAATAAATGATGAAAGTAATTTGTGTATATTAAAAACAACTACAATCCGTATTATTTATCTCCCTAGAATCTTCCCTATAATTTTAGTACATATAGCTTTTTTTATTATAGACAATTTAATTCATATCTTTTTATTTTTTTTAGATGGATGCCAAATTCTTAAAAAACCAAAGGTTCTCTAAAAGGCACAATCTTAGCGCCAAACAACAAATTAAGCGTGCAAATGAAAGGAAAACAGAGCGCGATAATAAAGGAAAGAAATAGGTGTAACATTACTTAGTAATAAAGTTTTCTAAAACAAATTTGTTTTAACTTATCCTAATTCACTTTGTCATTATTCCTGTCATAGTCATAGATGTATTAGTCCTCTTAACAGAAATGTCCATAGAACAACTACAAGAGACACATCTTACTAAAGATCTCCTACCAAGTCTTTGTTCCTTTTTCCTGTCATACTTCTTCCAGAAACTCAGCAACTCATTGTATTGTGTGATTATCATTCCAATGTTAAATAGACCTATTGACATTAAAAGTTATGACGTATGTAATTTGTTTATTATGTACAATTGAAGTATGTTAACATATATGCGAGTACATAGTTAAAATATATAGATAGAAAAACAATTACATACTGGATCATCTTCATGTTTTAAAAAAGTCTGATAAATTTCTGCCTCAAGTTCTGGCCTAGTTTTGAAGCTGTGACGTTTTGCCAGCGCTAAATATGAAGGATGTCAGTAGCGTTTGACTCTTCATGTTGCTGAATGTAGGCCAGGGCAGCTCCAGTCACCTTAAATCCTATGGAGTGAGATATTTTCTCGATTATGTCCTCTGCAGTGACATTGTGTAGGTTGATAGCTGTATCGGTGATTGCATCATCAGTCAGTTCCATTCGCTAATCTTGCATAATCCACTCGTTGACGTCTTCGTCATTTATCGGCAGTTTCGTTGGTAACTGATTAGCGAGGTCTACTATTTTACCAATACAGTCGTTGTTATCTTTTCTATAACTTTTCGCTTCAATTTGAAAAATCTTTCGCCATAACTTTTGCAAAGTTGTTACTCTCGCATCATTGCACGCTCAAGGTATCCAGTAAGATACATCCTTAAGGGTGATCTTTTAAAGGGCTGCTGTCACAGTCATTCCTTTATCCTAGCAGGTCATCAACACTTGGAGAAGCCTTCGACGATGGCTCCGTTCTTCATAGCCTTTAAAATTCTTTGGTCCAGAGGTTAAATGAGAGATTTGACATTTGGTGTCAAGAAAACAGCTTTAGTGTCTTTAGTATTACCGCTAGCCAACGAACTTGCATCTGGATGAGATGCAAGTTACACATCAAAAGAGTTACTCGTTCTTTGCTTTTTTTTGTATTCAATCACAATTTTTTACTTTGAGCTGTCAGTGTTTTAGTTGGAAGCATTCTGAAATTGAGATCTGTTTAGTCACAATTGAAGATTTGGTCTGACGTGAGATCATACCCTTAAATGAGATCTCTCAGTTTTAAATTAAACGGCCCAATTTCAGATGAATCGGTCGAAACTGTTTCATTCTTAAGGTTCAGTTGTCGGATGGCATACCTCTTCTTCCATCTTTCCAGCCAACCATCACTTGCAGTAAAATTTTCCTCGTCATCCCTTGTTGAAAAAAGACAGTTTGTGAAATTCGACAGCCTTAGCTTAAAGCATGGGGCCGCTATTTGGACTTCCCAACCCTCGAAGATTAAAAAACCATAAAAATAAGGCTTCAGAAGTCTTTTCCTATTCTCCTTTCTTCATAGTTTTCCGCAACAAATTACTTCCATCAGTCACATTTTTATTAACTGATTGTTCAATATGTTTCAGTTTATGTCTCCAATCTCCCATAGTCACTTCTCCAACACCTAGGCCAGCAACAACCTTATTTGCTGACACCCTTATTTAAGTGTTTTATAGCACTTAATTTTGTTTCTAAAGAAAGCACAACAAGCTATAAAAGAACTGAAAAACGGTAGGTCTCCAGGACCAGGGGATATCCCAGCCACACTAATAAAATGTAGATCACAAAAATTGTTTGAAACCATCACTTGGTGCATAAATCAATTTATAAATGGTTCTCCCGTACCCGACGAGTGGAAAATTGCTTATATTTCGTCGATCCATAAGGAGATAAGCTTAAATGTGAAAACTATAGAGGGATATCAGCCGCTAGTACATTCAGACATTTGTATGGACGAATAATTAGAGACCGCATTGAGAAGGAATACAAAGACCAAGAGGAATAAGAACAATCCGCTTTTTGCAACAGCGGAATTCAGTTGTGATTTTAAATTTACAATTCTATTTCTACACTAAAGGTTAATAAAATTTGGGGCAGCTTGCCATGCAAGGTCAAATGCTATCCCGACTAGACTGGTATCCCTACATAGTGTTTGAGAAGATGGGTGTAGTAGATCCTAAAGAATGTCATCTTATTTTACCTTCGCATCTCCAGTGAAAAGATTGCATATAAGACATATATAATATGTAACCCCTTTAATTTTAGAATATAATTATGATTATTCTGTAAGTGTAGTATATTTGCTCCCTATGAAATAACAGTTTATATAGCTGCTGTAGTTTACTTCCACAGAGCATAATAAAAAGCCCCAAACCAGCTCTGCATGTATACAACTTTAAACAATGTGAAATCTAATGTTATGGGCACTAAAAATACTGATATTACAGTCAAAACAGTACCAGTACAAAGCATTGATGGAGAAATATATAAATAAATAAACAACTGTTTATGTAGCATCAACTGATCATACAAAATTATAAAAATCTAGGAAATTTTGCAGATAACACTGAGTAAGAAAGCAGTTTACCTTAGTATGTGAAATATTGGTATGATGTGGTAACAATTAATGTTAGAACCTAATAGGTAACAGATATTTTTATGTGAACCTAGAACCCAATGCCAAGTCCATTCCTAACCCCCTTAATCTTTACGGATTTATAAATAAATAATTTATGCTGATGTCGTGTTGGTAGAAAAAATTGAAAGATAATTATGCAAAGACTAAAGCAGTAAAAACAGACTGTAAAAAAGGGTTTACAGTTTGATAGTGAAAAGTAATAATTGAGTTTGGTATCTGTTTTACTACAGAACAGGAAAAAAGTATAGTTTAATTGAAGCAGATGTAAAAATCTCTTTTTGTATATTTTTTATAATATACTATTCATTGTCTCCCAACTACACATCTATCTTCAATAAAAAGTTGTAATGAAATTTGATATTTACCCAAACTCTAAAAAATATTCAGATAAAGAACTGTATTTATTTAAAAACTAATGGATGAAAAGTAAATAAATTTATTACCAAAAATAAAATTTTAATTAATAACAGCCAAAATACACAAATAACATATATTCAAAATGTATAACATGGTACAATTTATGTCCACTGACACAATTAACTGCTCACCTTGGATTTATCTCAATTTGCAGATATTGTTAATATTGGACCACATTTTATAAAAGGTATAGTGGAGCTACCTTTGAGAAAAACTAAACAATAAATGGGCAAATAATTGTGAAAGTGAGTGTATGTTGACCATATTAATAGTTCTGGAAGAATTAATTTCCATATTTCTCTGTCTAATTACTCATCACTAGTATTCTTACTGATAAAGCATGGAATTTGTGCCTGCTTCTATTGTTTGTGAATTTTCTCTCCTTTGCTTTATTTTTTTCCATGCTCTTCATACCTGTCATAATACTTTTCTTATTACCTCATATTGTTTGTTTCATTAATTGTTATAAGTAAAAAATATTTAATTATCAATAAATTGATATATACTTTCACCTAAAATAAAACCATTTACATGGATTTACACTTTTATAAGAATTTACAGGTATTACTAGTAGTAAAAATTACTTCAGCCGTTTCTTTTTGGCAAAGGGAAATAAACTGCTGACATCTCCATCTGGAGGAATAGAAACTACTCCAGGTGATGCTGAAATTGCTTCTTCATCATTAGTATCTTCCAGTCCTTGTAAATTTTCCTCTGCTTCTTCTAAACTATGCAACAGTTGCAAGCCAGATTCTAGTACTGCTGAATCTATGTCTAAAGAAGCAAAGTGAAACTCTGGATTTTCTATTTCTACAGCACCTGCATCTTCATCTACTTTAACTCTAACAATACTACTATATTTATCAGAAGGAGATGGACTTTTTGGAATCAGAAGTACTGCATAATGTTCATTTAATTCCAAACACCTTCTTTGTAAAACATTTACATAGTTTACTACTCTAATCTGATAATAATCATGTAAACCTCTAATTCCACCCATACCAGTTTCTATTAAAACTTTTTCTATATTACTAGGAAAACTTAATGGATTTTCAGGACAACTATCTTCAGCTGAATCAATGACTTTTTGACAAAACTTTACCAAAAAAGATTCTAGTATGTCTGTCATAACATCTAAAACGCTTTGATGAGTAGTTTCATAACCAATATGAGCAAACATAGCAGCTATACACTTAGCCAATATTTTTTTAACAATTGCTTCTGATAATGTTGGTATTTGTACCTCCTCTCCTTCTGTAAAGGCTGTCGTTTCTTTGGGTATAAAGTTAAGATTATTTCTCTTATGTTTTAATTCGATTTCAGGCATTATGGGCATTGGAGGTGCAGCATCTTCAGGTGGAATTAAATTCATTTCAGTTGCAAGCTCTGCTACACGTATCATCTCTGTCATATCACTAGCATATTTGTGCAATGAAATGGCATATGATATTAATGGGTCCAAGGGAGGTAAACTAATGCTTCCTACAGTTTGCCGGTCACTATCATCTTCATATTCTGCCAAACAACATTTATCCATTGCTTTCTCAATATCTGCTGTAACATCTGGGAGTGGAAAATCTGACGATGATGGTGTATCAATCTCACCCCAATGTTTCGACATAATACTTATTTCACATAATATATTTAATATTTACTTCAAGCGCTTCAAAAAAACTTATGACAATTTAATAATAAATACAATTTACGTCAAACTCAAAACGTAACCTGAATCCGAGTTTTCTTCTTATTCTTTGAAGTATGTCCGCTTTGGTTCTTCTTTCCATCAAACAATAAGTATTTTTTTATACCAGTTCTAATTTATTGTAATAAACAATACATTAAACAATTAAAAATATGAATTAATAATCAATTAAAATAATTAATAAATTAATAACCATAATTTATATGTAGTATAAAATAATATAATCGTAATTTTATATTAGTTTGTATTAGAGATTGCCTATACAGTAGGAAGCATCCACAGATATGTAAGAAAGAGTGGTTGGTTTACCAAAAATACTAGCTGATTATAGCCGCAAATGTCAAACATGGAACAACAAATTTCGGTATAGCAGTGTTGGCATAGTCACAGAATAATAAACATACAGAATACCCACTCTCCACGGAAAATTAAGTACGCGCATCTCCTCCGCGCAGACGTTCCGCCATGTTTTAGGAGGATTTTAAAGAAATTATGTGGTGTGCATGGAAAAATTAACCAGGTTTATTTGACTTACGGCAATCATAGACATACTATACAATTATATTAACATTGTTAAATATAATAACATAAATATAATATAATTAAACATAAATATAAACAATTACATAACCACACAAATCATATGTCTGTGTCCTCCTCAAACATGGCGCGCGTGCTGAAAAACTTCAAAGGCGGCATCTGAGAGTGTCCCTTCTGATTGTTTATTATTCTGTGGCATAGTTTTAGAATGTAGATGTATACTTCAAATATAAAAAGATAAAGCTTTAGAAAAAAACATTTTGTTTATATTGTGTTATGAATTCTACAATTGTTGATATATATAAAACAACAATGAGTAAGTATTTGTTTCTTTGGAGATTAATTGCAGTTCATTATTAGAATTTTTTTTAGCAATTACCCTTTGACAGATTAGGGGATAAATTTGGCAATCGTCAAATCAGTAGTTGCCAGATTACAAAAGATGTTTGCAATTAATCTTTAAAGAGACAAATATCTACTCGTTATTACTTTATATATAATAAAAATTGCAGAATTCATAAAATAGTATAATCAAAATGTATTTTTTAAAAGCCTTATCTCTTTATATTTGAAGCATTCAAATGCATTATAAAAACATGCCAACACTGCCAAACCCAAATATTTGTGACATTTGCGGCTATATTCAGCTTGTACTTTCGGTCAGAGGATATGACACAAACTCAGGACCGGATTCAAATTAATTACGGCTATATTTACAATACCTTTATGTAAATTTTTATTCCACCAAAACTTACAAAATTCAGATTCTTTAACTTAGTTTTGGTTAATATATTAATACTGTGGAGTTGGTGTGATAACTTATGGAATTAATAATTAAAATTTTAAAAGTACATGTCGAATAAATTAAGAACTATGACAAACATAAAATTAAGATCTTCTGTAAAGGCGTGAAGGAACTCTTTTCGTATAAAAATACATAATATTTAAGAAAATTGTTAAATTAATGAAATTCTTTTTTATAAAATATAGTTTTATTTATTACATAGAAATTTCTAGACAACTTAAATGTTGTTTACAACATAAAAATCCTGTATCAAAAAGTTTAAATACGCGTTATAAAGTTCCTTGTGATTTTTTAAAGATTTAAACAGACAAATTACAATAAGATATATAATACCTACACAGTTAAAAGTATATTTTAACACTTTCATTGAAATTACACATGCTTTTCGCGATTTTATTTGTATCCAGTTGATAAAGTCGGAATTAAGTGTAGTGCTATTATAAAAATAAATTAGTAAACATATTGGAGAAAAAGTGTAAGGACTATTTAATATAATTGGAGATACATCAAAATAAGTTCCCGATAATATGAATATTTTTAAAAATGAATGAAAATTCTGTTGGTTGTATTTCTTCTTCTAACAACAATCAATAAAGTTCATACTTCAACTCTGTTACTTCATTTAAATATTCAACTAAAAACCACTATAACCAAATGTTGTATATTTAAGAATTAAGTTTTATGTTTAGAGTAGAATCTAAGTTGTATTTTAGACATTACTGTTTGTGTTAGTCTGTATGCAGCTTAAGATCATGAACTTTAGTGTGTAGACAGCTTAAGCTGACAGCTGACAGAGAACAATGATGGCCGCTACTTAGAGCCCGTAATGTAAGTTATATGTTTAAAAAAAAAAGAAAATAAAGTTCTCCAGAATAGTTATTTTTATAATATCCACCTCCAACGAAATAAAACATGGTGTCAGGTGTGGGGTGGATATTATAAAAATAACTATTCTGGAGAACTTCATTTTCTTTTTTTTAAAACATATAACTTACATTACGGGCTCTAACTAGCGGCCATCATTGTTCTCTGTAAGCTGTCAGCTTAAGCTGTCTACACACTAAAGTTCATGATCTTAAGCTGCATACAGACTAACACAAACAGTAATGTCTAAAATACAACTTAGATTCTACTCTAAACATAAAACTTAATTCTTAAATATACAACACCAAACACCCCTATTTATCAAAAGTGGAAGGTAGATCCCGCTGACTGGAAACTATATCAACAGCTTGTAACCAATTATGTTATATATTATTATATATCTTAGACTTTAGTCCAGAAGAAAATAAAGATACTAAAATAGTCTACTAATATTCTTACAAAAGCTGCTGATATATCCATAGATAAAACTAAATTATGTAAAAGAAAACCGGTGCCTATGGACCTCGGAGATAATATGAGATGTCGACTCTTATATTGCAATAAAACTCTGAGAAATGTCCACCCGTTTACAAACGAAACGGTTGGGGGATCGAAGACATATATGTCGCGTAACCACCAGGTATATGGCGTACAATGGAAGTGCGTTATATAACAGCGCAGAGAGGGTGGAAGGCGAGTTTCTGGAAACTGGAACATGTTGACTGAGGGAAGAAACCCCAACAGAAAATCCTGTTCCTCCAAGCTTGGGGTTGGAGTAATGAGCCAGTCCCTCATCATCTGGAAAAAACTTTTTTGACTAAAAATTCTAACGCCGAGACTGGGAATATGGATGGAAACTTACGACAACGATACCTGGCAAAGAACAGGACTTTGAAAATTGGTACTTGAATCACTTAAAGCATGACTCATAAGACAATGGAAATTTTAATTGAAATGACGAAGCAAAAAATGGACATCAAAGTGCTCTCTGAAACCAAAAAGAAAGGCTAAGGAACTGAACAGATTAAAGACTACATTCATAAATGGTCAGGAGTAGAGAAACATGTACACGCTAAATCAAGGGTCTCAATTCTTATAAAAAAAATCGTTAAAAAAGTATAACAACAAGACTACGCATACATGTCTGAAAAAATTCTGACAATAACTGTCACATTGTACGGCATCGAAACAATAGTAGTTGGAGTCTATGCGCCAATAGACGATTCAAATCAACAAGTGAAGAGTTATCAAACATTTGTGATAAAATAAAAAGACATCAAGAAATATATAACACTGTTAGGAGACCTAAATGCCAGAGTAGGTTCTCAAATAGACGATGACGTGGTGAGACAGTACGGAGAAATAGTTAAAAATGGTTCAGGGGACAGTTTAATCGAATTCTGTCAACTTTGTCTTTGGTTTAAAATTAATGAATACCTAATTCCAACAGAAATATATTCATAAATACACATGGGAACGACCTCCACTCCAACAAAACTAGATCATAGACTGATCATAGATCAATAATGAGCCAGAAATCAAAATTTAAGTGCCAAGACTGCAGAGTAAAAAGAGGATCCAATTGTGGGGCAGATCAGTACTTTCTTTTAGCTAATCTTTTGTGCCCTTTTAAATAATACTACAAATAGAACACCGAAAATGAGAGAAACAATACTATACAGTACAAAACGAAGAGATATAAATTGCACTTCTTATTCCAGCCAAGTATTAAACATATTTTTCAATCTAGATTAGAAAAGGAACTAAATGAGATGGAAACAAATATAGACGTAGAACAAGAATACAACTTCAAAACAATAATAAAAAAAATCTTATGAAGTATTAGGAACAGATAACAAAAACAAAAAATATCACGAACCACCATGGATGGTAGAAAACGTAAAAGAAGTGATACAAGAAAAAAACAAAAAAATTACATCTTCGAGATGGTAATAAAACACAGTAATTGTCGTAGACAACCCCAAGTCAGCAAAAGGAGTCTAAAGAAAACCAACATAAGGTGTAGCACTTGCTACAAAAAAAAAAAACAGAGCTCTCCAAGGCATAAAGCCTGGCATTGGAGGGTGTTTGGTCAGACAATGAACACGGTGTGCTCTGAGACTGAAGAGAGCTATTGTTTGGAAGTATGACATATTTATTTGTTTTGAAAACAATGGCCTATGGGCACTTTCAGTACAATATCCAATAGCAGACATGCCTCATTTGAAGACTCTTTTGCCGGTTGTAAAAAGACATTTATTTATTCATTAAAATACAATGTTTATATCATGTAGAAAAAAGATACACAGAGATATTTTTCTTGTAAATCCCTTGTTTTCGAAAAAGATCTTTGAGTGTGTCCCATACTTCTTTAGCGGTTTTCGATTACTTTACATGTACATACAAAGAGGATTTGAGAGAAAACACAGTCTAGGCTTTGGTCTTCGCATCTTTTACACTATAAATTTCCATTCCATCCAAACATTTACTTAGGCCTTTAAGTTTGAGATAATTTTCAATGGCAAACAACCATTCTTTATAGTTTTCACTGTTTACCGTCATGTATATAGGTATATAGTTACACACCCTGGCACTAGGTGATGCGCAAACGTCGTTTTACTTATTAACACGGAACTGGCTTTGCTGGGTGGGAGTATGCTGCGAACAAAGCTCAAAAATATATTATAAGGCTACAACGATAGGTGGCGCAATATAAATATGGATTAAATACTCAGATATCAAATCAACATATTTATTTCATGGGGTTCCAGAACAAACAGAACGTTTTATCAAAAATTACATTATTAAAAAAAAAAAAATAAATAAAACAATTAAAATTTTTTATGTTCGTTTTCTTTATATATCTTTACATATTTTCTGCTACATCATTTGTAAAATCATCGACAAATCTTAATTTTTGATTTATAGTTAATCCACAATAATTTTAGATCGAGTTTCTTGCCATTAGTTGGAAAATGAAAATAACTACAGTTAAAATTATGCTTTATTTTTTATAAATAAATGTACACATTAAGTACTATTTTCAGGAAAGTTAGGAAAATACCTACTATATGTACAAACAAATTACTTACATCTTTGATTTATTTATGACAGTTGTACAAAAATTAAATAAGTATATACATAATTATGTACAATACAATGGCAGTGAGGTTGACTATAATACAATATTGGTATAATACTCTATATTATTTAACCCTTTAATGTCAACACAATGGAAAGTTGTTTTTTAAAGTTAAATTTTGCAATTATTCCTACAAGAAGCAAGAAAGTTGCCTAAAGGCATGCGCAGTGTGTCGTCAGCTGATTATTTCCTGCAACTTCTTTCAATTGCGCTATAATTGTTTGGTGCCATTTTCGCTGAAAGTTTTCATACGTACTGACATAAGGACAAAAAGAACAACCGACCGAAAACCATGGACTGGAAAAGAAAATTTAATGTTCTTTAATATGGTGATGATAATGAATAAGACTCGGACTAAGACTCGCTCAGGTGAGGACTATTTCAAGGGTAATACTATTGCAGGTATATGAGGATATTGTCTTGGAATGTTGGAAGTCTTACAGGTAAGAGTTTGGCGTAGATTCGTTTAAAAGAAAGAGAGTAAACATTGCTTGCATTCTAGAGACCAAGGGAAAGGACAAAGGGCGAAAGAACTAGCTGAAGGATATAAATTGTGGCATGTAAGGAAATGTAACACTAGGAATGAAACTGGTATAATATCTGATTAGAAAGATTAGAGAAATGAACGATAAGGTAGTAGCAGTTGTAAGAATGTGTGAATAATGCCAGTAAAATTTATATTGGATAACAAAGTGTTAAATATTGTGTGTGTATGCTTCACAAGTCACACTGGGTAAGAATGATTGATTACCTTTCCACGATCAATTAGGAGACATAGTTAAGATATATTCCATCGAAGAAGAGAGTCATAATAGGAGGTGATTTTAATGCACATGTGGGTCAATCAAAGACAGAATATAAAGCTATCCATGGAGGACTTTGGAACTAGAAATGACACTGGAGATAATATGCATCTCCAGTGAATTAGCAACAGTATTAGATATAGCGACTATTAACACATTCTTTCAAAAGGGAGAAAATCATCATATCTTTCTCCTAATAGCATATTTCACACTTTTTAATGTTATTATTTTCGATTAAAGTTAGTTACATATGGGATGCTATATACTAACCACAGACGATAATAGATATATTTCAGAATATGTAACATATCTAATTATGTATTAATATCTCGTAAATAGACAACAGAAACTAGAACAGGTCACCTAGGAAATATGCCAGATAATCGAGCTGTAAAAGTAGTCCAGAGATGGAAGCCTCAAGGAAACAGAACAAGAGGAAAGCCCCGTAAAAGAAGGACAGACGACGTAGAGAGGGATCTTAAAACCATGAACATTATGCAGTGGCGAAGGAAGGAAAGTATTCGACAGGGCAGAATGGAAGAACATTGTTAAGCAGGCCAAGACTCACAAAGGGTTGTAGCGCTATTAAAAGAAGAAGAAAACAGACAACAGCGGCGAGTAGTGTTAACTTCTTGTTAGATTCCCTTGACAATTCATTTGAAGATAATGCAGTGGATAATGCAATGGAGTGATGAAAAGTTTGTAAACTATTATACATAGAATGAAGAGATATAGATTTCATACTCCATTTGACCATTTAACAAAACAGAATTAAACATAACAAACCTTACTTGGTTTTGGTACTGTTGCGATAAAATATGACTCATGCCTAAACTGTAAACATTTTATTATTCTAACTACTCTACATTATCGTATTTCTGTAATATATGAGATATAATACATATTAGTCTAGCTCCCATGGGTGAGTAGCTTTTTTTTAATATAGTTAAAACATAGTTCGTTACTATATTAATACTAAGATACTAAAACAAAAGAAAAAACGACATTTAGAAAATCAGCTACAGGAACTAGAAAGGCTCAATTCACAAAGCGAAGCGCGAAAATTTTATAAAAATGTGAACCACAACAGAAAAGAATTTAAACCTAAAATAACCATAATAAAAAGTAAGGAAGCCGAAATTACCAATGAGTTGGATCAAATAGTGGAGAAATGGGCGGAGAATTTTGCTGAGAAATTAAATATATGCAACCAAGAAGTGACTGATATAAATGACCACAGTGGAGACGTAGACGATGAGAGGGAGAAAAATAATATACCAACAGAAGAAGAAGATGTTGCCCAGGCCATAAAAAGGTTAAAAAACAACAAATCCCCTGGAGAAGATGGTATACCCACTGAGCTGTTCAAGTATGGAGCAAAAGTCCTAAAAAAATAATAATAAAACTTGTTGCATCCATTTGGAGAGAAGGAAAATTCCCAGACAGTTGGAATGTAGGTTTACTAGTATATACTGAGGAAAATTCTGAAAAGAAAGGTCAACAATTAATCAGATTTTCCTTCTCAGACAAACCTTAGAGAAGACATATGAATATGGAATTGATACCCATCACCTCTTCTCAGTTTTTAAAAGCGCTTATAACAATGTAGACAAAAGCGCACTTTATAATGCCATGAAAATGCAATATCGTCCGGTCTATTAAAATTAATAGAGTAAGGTGGCTAGGACACCTTGAAAGAATGGACACTGGAGACCCCCACCGACAGATATTATATCAAGAGCCAGTAGGAACCAGGAAGAAAGGCAGGCCAAGATCTGGATTTAAAATCAAGTCGAAGATGACTTAAGGAATCTAGGGGTCAGAAATTGGAAAGCCATCGCGAACGATATTGGGGGATGGAGACTAATTCTTGAACAGGCCAAGCCCCACCCAGGGTTGTAGAGCCAAAGATGATGATGACGAAAACATAGTACGTTACTTTATAAAACTTTAAAACGTATAAAGTAAGGTAAGGTAAGGTAAGTATCTCAATAAAACAATTCAGTTCTATTATCTTTCCAGGACGTTAAAGGGTCAAATTGTAATAATTTGGCTTCGTTTGTTTTGTTATATTTATGGTATGTTGCTATTTTCACTATTTTCTGTTATTGGACATGAATTTAATAAAACATTATTCAGTTCTTTCATATCGGACCAATCCATTAGTTGATTTTCAATTTTAAGTTTTCGTATGCAGCCCTTGAAGTTTGTAAGTGACTTTAATGTTCCGGTGGGAGCATTATCTGAAACAAATAACGAACAACTGTACAATAAAATCCAAAATACCATAAAATATATTATTATATAGATATATAAGACACGCAGGTAGTGCATTGAAGGTTGATTATAGGCTATAAGTTTCAAAGAGATTGTTTGAGCTGAAGACTTTTCCAAATTACGACATAAACACCTAAAAAATCTTTTATAAATACGTTTGTAGCCCAGCCGTCAGAGATTTGATCTCTAAAAATCATACGAATCACACTGAATTTTGCTGAGAATCTCAATTTTAGAAACCCCTTCTTCTTCTTCAGGTTCCTTCTCCTATCGGAGGTTGGAAATCATCATCGCTATTTTAATTTTATTGGCCGCGCTTCTGAATAATTCTAATGAGCTGCAACCGAACCGCTCTCTCAAATTTCTTAGCCAGGATAACCAGGTTTCTCTTCTCTTGCATAATTACCCTAAGTAATACGTACTTCTTGCCCCTCATTATATGACCCAGATATTGAATCTTTCTAATTTTAACAGGATTCTCCTGTAGCACCACATCTCAAAGGAGTTTAATTTTTGATTTCAGACTGTTTTATTGTCCACGCTTCTTCAACGTAGCATTCTTGTGTGGATCTCTAGATTAAGGTTAGGGTTGCAAAGTAAGTTCTTCAATTTTATAAACGTGTTTCTTGCCATTTATATTCTAGATCTGATTTCTTTTGTTTGATCTCAATCTTCGGTTAGCCACGTTCCTAAATATTTATGTAGGAAATATTTCTTATATGAAGTATTTAGCATAGTTTTATTTGTTAGTTACGCCACTGCGAGATACCACTAAAACCATATTCTTAAGGCGCCCCAGACAGGTCGCCATCGCGGGGAAAGGGCACAGAAAAATATAGACAAAATCACACATGCCTGACCTAAAAGGGATTCGATATTTGGCACTGGAGCTGTGAAGGTTAATTTATTGTGCAACGCCCGGCAGAGGAATGACAAACGACGAAAACAATTAACCAAGGGGTTGTCTCCGATATTTTAATTTGCAGACGATTATCCGTAATCTTGTAATTTTGTGTGTACCTGTAAATACCATCCGTACAGTTTATTGTAATGTAATAAAGACGTATCGTTTGGATCGCAGACTTTTACTCTAACGTTAGTTCCCTTTGAAATAATAAAAGAACTTTTAAGTAAAACCTACATTTATATGTTGTTACTCTTTCGATCGTTGTCTTATTGATGATCAGGTTATCTACATTTTGTGTTTTTTTTTGAGAATATCATTGATTTCGTTTTCATGAGATTCATTTGCAGTCCGTAACTTTGACGACATGCATTATATACATGTTATATTATGTTCTGTAGAACTTCTATGCCACTTGCAAATATGACCAAATCGTTCGCATATCTAATATTATTAATGCTATTTCCGTTGACCAAAATACCTTCCACAATATCCAATAAAGCTTCTTGAAATATCACTTCACTGTAGACGTTGAATAAGAGTGGTGAAAGTATGCACCCTTGTCGAACTCCTCTAAGTATACATACTTTCTCTGTCAGTTCTCCTTCGACTCTTATTCTTGCTTTCTGATTTTGATACAGATTCGATATAATTTGTAGATCTCGACTATCTATGTTTTTGGTCTTCAGAACACTTCAAAGTCTTTATGTTGAACTCTGTCAAAAGATTTTTTAAAATATGTGAAGCAAGCATATATGTACTGATTCATATCCAGACATCGTTGTGTCAGAACCCTTTCTAAAACCCATCTGTGAATCACTTATTTCTTGTTCTAATTTCATGTGGATTCTGTTGTGTATGATTTTAAGGAAGGTTTTCAATGTGTGGCTCATTAATGCAATTGTCCGATAGTCATTGCAATCTTTAGCATTTGTGATTTTTGGAATCGTTACAAAAGTTGAGAGAGGCCATTCTTTGGGTATCTGTCCAGTCTTGTATATGCAGTTAAAAAGGTCTACCAAGACATCAATATTATTTTCATCAATTATCTTTAATAGTTCAATTGGTATTTTATCGGGTCCTGGTGCTTTTCTACCTTTTGTATGTTTTATGGCATAAATAACTTCCTCTTTCATTATTTCTGGTCCCGTGGTTTCTCCGTCAACTTCCAATTGTTCTACTTTTTGGTCATAAAATAGGTGTTCAATGTATTCTTTCCATCTATGTAATTTGTCTTGCGTTTCCGTTATAGTGGTATCATCTGCATTTGTTAATATCCCGATTTGTTTGTTACGATTTCCTGAAATCATTTCTTTAATCTTCTTATGGGTGTTGAAAGTGACATATCTTGCCTCACATTCTGTTTTATTTGTTTATTTCTTTCTTGATATTTAATTTTATCTTTGTTTTTATGTATTCTTCTTTCGTCCATTTTTCGAGAATTTCTTGTGCCATCCATTCTTGTTTGGTCTTCTTCTAGTTCCATGACCGTTATCGATCGTTGGATATCATGTTGGCTACCATATTCGCTATCGTGACTTTATTGACAGCAGCTCTAAATAACGATGTAAATGTCTTGTTTGGTAGCTTTTGTAAATATTAATGTTTCCCGTCCCACAGTCTCTATTGTGTTCTTTGTATTCTTCCATTTTGTTTCAATATCTGTAGTGTTCTTATTTTGTTGTTTTATTTCTTGGATACTCTGATTTATTTTATTTCGAGTTTCTTAGTATGTATTTGGTTTAAGTTTATCAAAGTATATTTGTGGTCTAGATCTTTTCATTAATGGTTTTCTCCGAGTTTACATCTGCTCCAATGTTTTAAATAAAGTTTGTATCAACTTGACGGTAAAAATTCGATATATTTTGATCTGTGTGTCCTATTGACAAAAATTAAAATGCGTTTTATGCAGCTTTCGTGTGCACTTATTATATTTTGTCGCAAAATAAATTCGGTTTTTATAAAAATGTGTACGGACTTTTAAAATAGTTATGAAGCTTACCTGGTAATCCTCCAACGTACAATGGTGCCTCCATTTCATCCATGGTAGAATTGATATCGCTCTGGACCCAACTTTTTCTTATACCATCAACGTTTACTGTTAATTCAGAACTTGAATATAATGCTGTTACGTTGTGCCACTTATTGTTACATAAAGCAATATCGGAGTTGAGGTTGTTAGTTACGTTGGTAATAACTCCATTGCCCAAGTTTACCGCCATAACTATACCACCATTTTGTAGTTCTATGGATAACGCGGGATAGTCTCCCTGGTTAGAAACACTTAGTAGGATACCGTTTTGTTCTGACGTCCTAAATTCAAAGCTGAGTTCCAACATTTCGCTGATCTGAAAATCTTCTTCTAAAAAATAAAAATAATATCTATAATATTTGGCTAAATAAGACAGAAGAAAATCATATGAGACCATCCTATGAAGATGGTGTTGATTTATAGCTAAAATTGCGAATAGAGATGGAATGTTCATAAATCCTATTTTCTATTCTACGATTTGTTTGGCCTATATAAGATCGAAGGCAGACTGTACAAGGAATTTCGTAAATTCCGTGTTGTTCATTTGGAATGTTGTCTTTGATTTATCGGACAAGATGAACGTTTTTGTTGGGGTGTAAATATTGTCTTTATTCCTTTTTATTTACGAATTTTGTCGATTTTGTCAGTGACACCTTTGATGTAAGGAAGAAAACTTTCATATTATGAAACAATCACATGATATTGATGTCTGTGGATGCTCCTATTGGTGTGATTTTCGCGGAACCGTTTTGGATGAGAGTTTGTTTTAAACAAAAGAACTCAGCGGGTCTACTTGCATCATCGCAAATCCGTATTGATCTAGAGATAAGGGTATTACTGACTGAATTAATTTGTGAATGTGGATGATGAAATGTGGGATGCAAGTAACGATTGGTATGGGTAGGTTTCCGATAAACGGAGTGATTTAAACCTTGGAATTGGCTTGTCTTTATGATACCGTCCAAAAATGGTAGGAATGCATTAGTTTCCACCTCCATCGTGAACTGGATACCAGGATGTACATCATTGAGATGGGTTTGAAAAGACACCTAAGCATCCCTGCTGTGGGGCCAAATGACGAATGTATCGTCAATATATCGTAGCCAACATGTGGGTTTAAACATTGATATGGATAGTGCTCAGGTTTCGAAGTCTTCCATAAAGATATTTTCAATTACTGAAAATAGTGGGAAGCCCACTGGTGTACCATTTATTTGCCTGTTGAATTGATTTTGGAAGATGAAATAAGAGCTTCGTATATAGGAAGGTTTGTAAAAAGTGAAACGATATCGAAACTTACGATAACACAATAAAAGCTGATTCAGCTGAAACTGCACTTGTATATTGGGTAGAAACGGAAGTTTTTTCTATCAATAGATCCATAGAAAATGGACTTGGAGGAGCCCCGATGATAAAACTAAAAACTTAATAGTGAAAATACTAAAATTGTATTAAGATGCCACATGAAAATAGCTTCAGAACAATATAACATTTTATTTAGATTTGAGAATTAAATAGCGGGTAAATGGTCAATCAGTAATATTGTGATTTGAAACATGCGGACAGTTTTTTCGATCAGTGTTTAACTTACCGTTTTTGTTATAATATCGACTGTTAAATTTCTGTTCGATTGATCCGTATCAGTTATTTTTTTCATAATATATTCAAGTTTAACTCACACTATACATATTTTGTTAATTTGAGTTTTATTGTGAGGCAACACAAAATAAAAATGAATATAAAAAATAGCATAAGTAAACAAAAGTACAAATTAAGCAGATAGGTTTGAAAAAGTACTGAAAAAATGAAAGAACCCACTAGAACTAGAATCCGAAATTATGAGGAAATTGGTTAAATGGAATGTGAATATTGTCAAATATTGGAATGATAGCCAAACATATCAGATTAAAAAAATATAAATTAAAATTACTGATATTATTTATCAAAACACAAATTAAGTTAACACTTAATTTATCTTTTGTAGATAAGCGTATGATTCAATTATTGTATGTACTTACTGTATATAGCATATGAGTCTCCTCCAAAGTAAGCACCTTCTTCAACGTTTGAAAAGCATAATGTTATATTAGAACTCTGTACGTTTTTGTTATTTCTTAAAAATTGCTGTTCGTTGTTAATTTCTAGGGACCTCATGCAACCTCTGAAGGGAAGCAAACGACTCATCTAAAAAAATTCGAAAATGAAATCGCAATGTTTATTACCGCTAAATCTGCATTTTGAAATGTTGTTTTGTTGAAAAAAATATGCAATATAACTACTGTTTTCTAATTTGCAATTATACACATATTATTTAGAACTATTGGAGGATTAATTATTCTAAATATAAAATAGAAATAACATTTTAAGATTTTTAAATTTTGGAAGAAACTATTGTTTTTTCCAAAATTCAAGGGTCTTTCTTTTTTCTCCACTTATATAACAATTTTAGAGATATATTGAAGTGCGTATGAAAGTTAAAAACTTTTATATAACTTTGATGATCGTGGCAAGATAAGTTTTAATTACATATAACCGTGGTAGTGAACGAATCTGCTGATGATTTAGTTGTCAGCGACGGATAAAGAGGCAGACAAGCTGGGCTACCGTCCGTCAAATTTTGAGAGGCGCCGATATAAAAATAAAATATTTTTACGTTCAACGTACACGAAAAGCGAAATATTTTAGCATTATTTTAGATTGTTCTCCGATATAAGTCATAAGGAACAACTTTCATTTAAAATAAATATACTAAGATGGTTGCGTTTCGATTTAATTTGAGTCTCTTATCATTCTCTAACACGTGTTTATGGGTCTACGCGTCATCAGAGCGACTCTTAAGAAAATTCAAACCAAACCAAAACGCACCGACTACTATGGCAATTATAGGAAAAATAATTACCAGAGTATGCTACTAGCGACCTCTAGTAAGGGAAGATATAGTTAAATGTCGATAGTAATTAATGTTGAATATGCGAGAAAATGGTATATGGGGCACCGGTACCATTCGAGAAAATCGTTTAAATAAGGATATACCTTTATCTTCGAAAACTGCTTTTCAAAAATAGGCAGATCGTGGTGATTGTAGTGGCGTTATTGAACGCAATAATGGCATCATTTTTGTACGTTGGTCCGACAATAATATTATTACTGCTGCGTCTACCTCTCATGGCATGCAACCAATGACACTTGAATAATTTTCTTTTCTTGTTGAGAAAACCTTTATACAAGTCCCTCGCCCGTGTCTCATAGGAAAATGTAACTCATCGATGGAAGGGATCAAAATATAATAACCATACATGATTGATATTAGATCAAAAAAAGGTGGTGGTCATTATTTACATTGTTACAAGACGCATCATGGAAAATGCTTGGCATATTTATAAGAAGACAGGCAATTCAGTAAAACAAATCGATCTTCGCAGAGATATAGCTCCTTCGTATCTTATGAAGTATGATACAGAAGCTAAAGGTGCAGCTCGACCGAAACCCTAAATTTAAAGCAGTTTCGGTAGTGGCACCAGCGACACCGTCAAATTTGATAGACAAGATCACATCTTGTCGAGACACGGGCGAGAGACTTGAATAATTTTCTTTTCTTGATATACATTCCGAACAAAAAAAGACGACGGTGCGGATTTGAAAATTGTACTTCTATTGTTAGAACCATAATGTGTAGAAAGTGTGATTTGGGATTGTGCAGTGATTGCAATGCTCAGTTTCATACAAGGCAATTCTCGATACATATACAGGGTGAGTCATGAGGAACTTTACATACTTCTACCATATGTAGAGTCCCTCAGGGAGCATATCATGTGGCCACTAAAAAATGTCAACTCCTCTTCTTTATTAATTAACAGGGTGATTTGTGTAATTGACCATTTATTTCATTTTACTGTAGTGTTTATACGGCTCATTTGATTTTTTAAATTTTTGCATGATACAGTACACTACTATCAAGCATTCGACTGGTATTAGCTAAACTAAAAAATTCCAGGACTGGCTTTGGAAAAATTAATTTAGGGATTCGCATTAAATATTACACCCTATATATATATATATATATATATATATATATATATATATATATATATATATTTTTTTTTTTTTAAATGCAATAAGTGATTTTCAAACTACATAAATAGCCAATGAAAACGACATATGCGACAATGTTGTCGCACTTTTATTAAATTTTTAGTGAACGATCAAATCTTACCAAAACTAGAACAACCATAATGAAGTATCAAATTATAAGGTATTAATTTAAAAAAATTTAAAAAAATGTTATAAATTTCAAACATTTTAATTAAAATGATCAATTGTTTTTCAATTTTAAATTTTTACTCATAGATCGTATTGGGGCATTATTTTTGATAAATAATAAATTAAATTGATTAAAAAGTCAAACCTCTTGTATGTGTTAGTTTTTGTTGATTGTAAATGATTAAAATTTTATGTCAAATAATAATACATTGCATCAACTGTACTAAATAAAAATAAATCTAAAGAAGTTTAAAATGAAGGTTGGCGTTGACCGTTTGACGTTTCTTGATATTTTATACCAATTCTCATTATTGTCATTATCAATTGTTATTTATGTGTACAAGAATACATATTTCTTCTGTCATATCTACGTTAAGTACATTGTGTTTGTTTTGGTAGAGATTTTGTTACATTCGTTCAAAATGCCACATCAGTTTTCGACCACAGAATATGCAGACATAATATTTGTTTATGGATTCTGTAATGGGAATGGTAGGGCTGCTAGTAGAGAATATCGCAGGAGATTTCCTAATCATCTAACTCCCAGTCATCCAACATTTGGGTCAGTTTTTAATTATTTGCGAGAAAATGGCACTTTTCCTAGTGGAACAACAGAGCAACATGTAGATGAAGCGCAGGAAAAGCGCACTAGACAAAAAAGCCGAGAACTCAATGTTACTCAATCAAAAGTAAGTAGAGTCTTACAAAAAAATAATCTATACCCATATCACATTCAAATGGTTCAGCGACTACATGCTGGAGATGAGATCGATAGGTTGGAATTTTGTAGATAGATTAACAATAATCGACCAACGCTATACAGGATACTATTTACAGATGAAGCCCAATTTACCAGTGACAATAATTCACGAAATTCACATGTGTGGGCAGAAGAAAATCCCCATGCTATTCGAGAACGTCGTTCTCAGTTAAGGTTTTCGGTTAACGTGTGGATTGGTGTCATAAATAACCAATTAGTAGGTCCTCACTTTTTTGATGGTCCTTTAACAGGGCAGGTCTATTTGAACTTTCTACAAAATATTTTGCCGAATTTGCTTGCCAACACGAACGTTGCTATCCGAGGGATGTATTTTCAGCATGATGGGGCACCCCCACACTTTTTACTGGCAGTGAGACAACATCTCAATAATGTTTATGGCAACAGGTGGATACGACGTGCAGGTCCTATTTCGTGGCCTTCAAGATCCCCTGATTTCAATCCCGTTGATTACCATATTTGGGGACGATTGAAGCAACTAGTTTACGCAGTGAATATTAATAACCGACAACAATTAATTGATAGAATTATACATTGTTGTACTACTATTAGAAACGATCCCCAGAGTATCCGTAATTCAATACGTCAATTAACAATTCGGCAACAAAAATGTGTACAGGCTGCAGGGTTCCATTTCGAAAATCTATTTTGAATTATTTTTATTTTGTTACCATCATTGTATCTTTTCCAGTTCTAATTTATGGGTTTATCATAACTATGTACATATTTTTAGTTTTTTTAAAATTGTTCTTCGTTATTGTTAGTAGTTACTGTTTTTTGTTGTGCAGTGGCTCAGTTTATCATTTCAATTAAAATGTTTGAAATTTAAAACATTTGTTTAAATTAATTACCTTATAATTTGATACTTCATTATGGTTGTTCTATTTTTGGTAAGATTTGATCGTTCACTAAAAATTTAATAAAAGTGCGACAACATTGTCGCATATGTCGTTTTCATTGGCTATTTATGTAGTTTGAAAATTACTTATTGCATTTTAAAAAAAATATATACAGGGTGTAATATTTAATACGAATCCCTAAATTAATTTTTCCAAAGCCAGTCCTGGAATTTTTTAGTTTAGCTAATACCAGTCGAATGCTTGATAGTAGTGTACTGTATCATGCAAAAATTAAAAAAATCAAATGAGCCGTATAAACACTACAGTAAAATGAAATAAATGGTCAATTAAACAAATCACCCTGTTAATTAATAAAGAAGAGGAGTTGACATTTTTTAGTGGCCACATGATATGCTCCCTGATGGACTCTACATATGGTAGAAGTATGTAAAGTTCCTCATGACTTACCCTGTATAAAACATATTTTATGTTTAAATATATAATTTAATATACCTTTAGCATTTTTTCTTATTTTGCTAGCTGTATGTCATAGAGTTACATATATGTTACAGCAAATAACTTTTTTCAGCTAAATTTTGGTTTGCAAATAAGCTCAGAAACTTGACTACAGGACTCATACGAACAATAATTTACCATAAAATATATGATTTTCCAAAAATATAATAATTCAGGATATTAAAGGTTAATGGTTATTTAGGAGTTAATGCACGTCTGATGATAGAGATATTTAATGAATTATCATCTGTATAACAATATTATGATATTAAAACTTACACGTCGAGAAAACAACTATATTGTAAACCAAGTTACTTACCAAATCTGGAATTTCAGGGTATTCTGAATTTTGCGCAACTCCTCCGAAATAAATTTCGTCTTTGGGTTTCAGCCTAATATTAATTCTACTTGGTTTTGTATCTTTGTCGAGGAAAATTGTAAGTTTTTTCATTTTTCTACTTAACCGAACATGATGCCAATGTCCGTCGTTAATTCTTGTTGAACTTATCGGCAGAGTTTTTAACTGTTTCTTTCTACCTTCGATATTAAGCTGCAATTGACCGTCTTTTAACTCCAACAGGATATAATTTTTTCTCTTGTTACTCTGCAATAATAATAGACATATTGAAAATATAATTACAATATAATTTAATCTATACATTAATATTATTTTACCATAAATATGCAAAAATAAAAAGTGTTCTTGCCTTTAAAAAAGTACACTTTTTCAAGCCATATTTTGTTATATATATATATATATATATATATATATATATATATATATATATATATATATATATATATATATATATATATATTTTTTTTTTTTTTTTTTTTTTTTTTTTTTTTTTTAATGGCATAGGCAAGTGCCATACAGCCAGTCACAACATAAAAATATTCTACCCAGAAGAAAAAAAAATGAGTAGTACAATATAAAATATAAAAAGATAATATAAAATTCAAACTTAAGTATCCTTACAAATTTTAAGCAATAAAATTATTATTAAGGATAGGATAGGGATAAAACATGGACACTCGTTTCTCGTCTAGGGACCCATCAAGACATTGCTTTTAAGACAAACTAGATTAGGTCACGGATAAAAGGTAATAAAAAATGGGGTAAAACAGAGGTTAGGATTCTAATTACAGTTAAATATTGAGCTTACTTTCGCAAATAAATTCCATCAAACATTCATTTACAACTCTTATATTTAGAGATAGCAGATAGCACATATTGTACTGAAAAAATTGAAAAAATTGAAAAAATTTTGATGTTAACTAAATTTTTTATTAGATCTTCAGTTTGTTTTGTGTATTTTTTACATTCGAAGAAAATGTGATTTAGATCCCTTTCTTTTTGACAGTCTGGACATAAATTTGAATTTACGATTTTTAGTTTGGACAGATGACTAGAATAGCAGGCGTGTCCAAATTTTATTCTAATTATGGATGTTATATACCTTCGTGGAACAGAATAATTTTTGAACCAATAATCACTTGGGATTGAAGGCTGTATAGAAGCATATTGCGAGGAAGAATGCGTACTATAATATATGCCAAGATTGTTTCCATTTACTATTGATATTATTTTTAATTATTGTTAATGCGTCTTGTCTACAGATTTGGTGAGTAGCTTGCGTTCCGGTATCAATGACCTTTTTAGCTAATAGGTCAACATGTTCGTTGTATTTAAGACCTATATGTGCTTTAACCCACAAAAAATGAACAACTCTTCGGTTTTTATAAATGTCATAAACAAGTTTTTTAATTTGAAAGACATATATATTTAAGTTATTGCTAGGAAAATTTACAGTTTCAATGGCTAACACAACAGACAATGAGTCAGATACTATTGTAACAGATGTATTCTGAGTGTTTTCAAAGTATCTTAATGCTTCATATATTGCTACAGCTTCAGCACTAAAGATTGAAAAACTAGGATTAATTCGATAAAGTTTTTCTGTATTAGTTGATGGAATGTAGAAAGCACATCCAGTACCAACAATAGACTTTGAGGCATCCGTATAAATAACTAAAGAGTCTGACAGACTAGATAAACAGGACCTCAAAATATTCGAGCTAACAGAAGAATTTACATGGTAATTCGGTTGTATCACAGTAATGGGTTGCAAGCACGAATAAAAATGTTCGATGTTAAGATTATCCTCTGATTTAAAGTCGTAATAAAAATTTGTCAGGCTTCTAAAAGCCTCACAAAGTGGAGGTGAGTTCTTAAGTCTCCAATATCGATTAGTTAATTCTTCTTCGTTCAATTTTCTGATATTTGAGTAGAGAGTAGTGTTACGATTTTGTATATATCTTTAGTAAATAGGTAACTCCATTTTTAGGCAAATTTTTAAGGAAAATAATAGGAATAACATATGGACTAGGACTAGAGTTTTTAATGGAATTTATAGATTCAGTTAACTCTTCCTCTAGTATTGATGCATTTATTCGTGGATTATCGCTTTTATCATAATTAAATTCTTGTAGTTCTTCTTTGGATTTAAATTGTAAAAACTATTGAGAACAGTTTTCGTTACTTGAATATAACTCGTACTATGAAGCTAATACATTGGCTATTCCAGATCTAGATGTATGAATTTTGCTATTATATTCTAAAAATCTTATTGATGAGTTTGTGTGGCGTGCCGAAATTTTGTTAATTTGTTTCCACACTATTGCTGCTGGGGTAGAACTGTTTATTGTTGATAAACAATTTTTCCACGACTCCTTTTTGCTTCTTTTACCACTTTTCTACTAATAGCCTTAACTTCTTATATTCTAAAAGATATTCTTGTGTTTTTTGTTTTTTGTATTTATTGAATGCTCTGTGAGAATAGATTCGAGATAAAGGCAACTAATACATAATATATATGAAAATGCAACTATGATAGTACAACTAGATGAAAATACAAATCCCATCCCCATTAAGAGAGGAGTGAGACAAGGAGACGTAATATCGCCAAAGCTTTCCAAAATAGCCCTAAAAGACGTCTTAAAAACTACAAATTGGTCAACCTATGGCATTAACGTTAATGGCAACAAGTTAAACCACCTCAGATTCGCTGACGACATAGTGATTATAGCGAGCACATTCGAGGAACTGCAAATTATGTTGGGGGAACTACCAGCCAGCTTCCAATATGTCGGCCTAAAAATGAATATGAAAAAAAAACAAAAATAATGACAAACACAGATGATCCTAGACATATAACTATAAACGGCAGTGAGATAGAACAAATCCAGGAATATATCTACCTAGGCCAAATCCTAAGACTTGACAAAGAGAACCAAAGTGCGGAAATTACTAGAAGAGCAAGACTAGCATGGGCAGGATTTGGAAAACTTAGTTGGATACTTAAGAACTGCAAAATACCCCAATACTTGAGGAGCAAAGTGTTCAACCAATGCATCGTTCCTATCATGACATATGGATGTCAAACCTGGACCCTAACCAAGCCAAACATAAATAAACTAGCCACAACAGAAAGAACAATGGAAAGAGCAATGTTAGGTTAGGTATACGACTGTCAGATAAAAAGAGGAACGACTGGTAAGATCCAAAACAAAAGTCGAGGACATAACAACAAAAATTGCCAAATTTAAATGGAGCTTCGCAGGTCACACTGCTAGACAGAAAGAGCAACGTTGGAATACTACAATACAGCATTGGAGACCTTACGAAAGTAAACGACCAAGAGGGAGACCACAGATGAGATGGGTTGATGACATTAAAAGAACAGCCGGAACAAATTGGAAATATATTGCTCAGGATAGAGACCGATGGAAGGAGTTGGGAGAGGCCTATGTCCAAACATGGACGAGAGAAGGCTAAGAAGAAGAAGAAGTGAGTCTTGTTTATAGCATCCTGACAGTAATTTCTAACAAAATACAGATGAATAAGTCCCCTCTTACTCCTGAACAAACCATAAAATATGCTTCGCTCCCGTACTTCCCACAAATCACTAACAAACTTAACAAACTTACCTGTTAAAATAGCCTTAAGAAATACCAGAATCTGAGGAAAGTTATTTTCGAAGACAAAAACTCCATTGGCTCCTCTAGAACAAACTAATGTCGTCTATCATGTACCCTGTGCAGAGTGCAACTCCTGCTACATTGGCCAGACTAACCGCTCTCTTCAACGTCGACTAACGTTCCACAAAAGCGACATTAGATTTCTAAACCATTTTGTGCCCTTGCATAACATGCCATTTCAACCAAACACAGTATCGATTTCACGAATACCAAAATACTGCGCAAACAAATAATTATCACAAGCGATCCATCCTTGAAATGTGTCAAATTCTAAAACATCCAGCGCCCCTAAATAAGAGAACCAATATCGACAACTTGAGCCAGATATATCACTCTCTCATCATACAAAACAAATAAAAAAACCCCTTACAAGACAGTAACTTTATTCCCGTTCTTCTTTCCTTTTTTTATTTGTTTGTTTTTTAAAGAAAAAGAAAAAATGAATCCTTTTTTAAAAAAGGTCTGTCTCCGTTCCGTTCCCAAATTCTCTCAATAATCGTACCTCCCTGCATTCCAAAGAAACACATGTACGAGAACAAGCTACATGTGAAAATTATGACACCCTACAACTGATAGAAAACAATCGAAAAGATTAGTGTGGTTTGACCATCGAGCAAAAAGACAATAGAGGGAATGTAAAGGTAGTGCGGGCAAAAATATTGTTAGACAGGAAGAGCGATCTTTAGAGGCCACATTAAACACGGAAAGAGAGTCTCACTCCTTGTTTGACATCAAATTTAGTTGGGTTATGTTATTGTTTGTCCCAAATGTAACATGAAATCTTATTTATATTGAAGTTTTTTAACAATTGTGCCGTATTTTAGACTATTACCGTTAATAATTAATTAAAACTTTCTCGTCTAAGACACATTCTGAAAAGTATTATATAGCTACTGTTAATAAGTGTCAGAAAATTTAAATTTGGCGCATTCGCATTTCCGGATATGTCCGCCATCAGAGGCCACTTTTTTAGTCTCCTTTTCATAAGGATTAGATTCCCTCTTTTGTCTTTTTACTCGATGGGTTTGACCCTCGAAAGAGCTTAAAACAACATTCAAATGAAGCCATCGGTCATAATTAAATGAACAATAGTACTCTTACAGTTTTTCTTGTATTTTTTTTTTGTTTCATTTCTCTCGTTTAGTTGTTAATTTTTAATGTTAAGTTATCGTAGAGTTTTTATAACATCTAAAAAACCTACAAATTGTTTTTGTAAGTATGAACTCTGTTGGTTGTTTAATTATATTCTAAAATCTTTTTTATTTGTAGTGAACTGATGATGCTTTTAAAAATAAAAGCGAAACGTATTCGAATATCAATGAAGTAGTTGACGACTTTCATTTGCCAATTATTGACCTATAAAACCTCTGATATTCAACCAACGAATATATTTTAAATTTAATTAACGGTCGTATTTTTTGCTATATAATTTTGCTATATGGGACGAAATATTTTCAGGCAAGGCAGTGCGCCCATACTGAACTATAAGAGTATATTCCTCCAGAGTTCTCCAACTCTCTGGGGCTTTGTTTGGGCAATATTTTTCTATGCCATGCATCTCCTGTGCACGATGGTGAGATTGGGGAGCGCAGTAGTCGCCGCATCAATGTCATTGTATTATGAGTTAGTGGTGGTACGGGTCTGGTGATTTGCCGAGCATGGTGTATGTGTGTATGTGCTGTGTTTAATTAAGAAATTTATAGTTAGCGACATAGCTGCAGCTGCTATGTCATGGACACTTATGGCTCAGCTATGTAAGAAACTGATGCGGCATACCTAATATCCCAATAATAAGAAGAACGGAAGAAGAATTATTACGTCTACAACCAACACGAACGCTTTCAGCGCTATAGTGTAGAAACCAAAGAAGAATAAGTAGATATTTCTATAGACTTGTTTAAAGTGGAGACATCAAAAATAAAAATATTCCAGTAACGAGCATACTACAGATTGTGACTACTAACTAATAACATTATTACTTACCGCAACAAATATAACACCGTTTGGATATGAAGTTCTAAAATCGAATTGCATTGTGAAGTTTGTCCTCCAAAATTTTGTTTTAATGTAGGTGTAACTATTCGGTTTGTCTCCAAACTTTATGGCATCCTGTTCGATATCGGTATTATCAAACTCTGTACATCTTTCAGTATTTTGCATTGTATTTGTCATACTTAAACTTCGCATTTGCGGTTCAAATTCCTTCAAAGGTTCTTCCTTCCCAATAGTAGCGTTCCCGAACTTTTGCACTGTAGTATTATCGAATGAAAGACCCCTAAAATATATAAAAAATAATGAATATCTTTTTTTATTACATAATAGTTTGCATTTTTTAATCATGCTGTTTAGGTCTCTCAAACGGACAAAATCATAGGGACAAAGGCAAATTTTATACAATAATCCAACCCAAAATTTCCGTCAAGATATGGTTTAAACAAGTTTCCAACAGAGGCTTCATCAAAACTATTTGTAGAATATGAAGCAATCATTGTATGACTCCAGTCTACAAAAGAAAAATGGGACTGGAAAATAAAATGTATATGTGGAGAGCTAGCTGATCTACACAATATACTGTTAGAATGTCCTTTACATTTTATTGAAATATCAAATTTTTTTACCAAGCTAGTTCAAGTTAATGTTCAATTACTTTCTAATCTAACACATCTTTTAGAGTCAAAGAATCTAGATCTATATAAAATTTTATATAGTCATATTAATTGCTTAAAATTGAAGCTCTGATAAAAAAAAATAATAAAGAATAAAAAAAAAATGAAGAACAAAATAAAAAAAAACCAAAAAGATCTAAACCTCCGAGGTGTAAAATCGGGTTTATGTCTTAGCGTAGTAATAAAAAAAATAAATAAAAATAAATAAATAAAAAAAAATTAAAAAAAAATTTAAAAAAAATTAATAAAAAAAAAAAAAATAAATAAAAAAAGATACAAAACAAAACAGCAAAAACAGAGTAAACTAGTAAGTAAGTTTCTAACATTCCATGTCTTAACTGTCAATACAATACAATCGTTTTAAATATAAATACTAACAATATTTTTTGTAAAGAGAGAACTCAAAACAAATTGACTGGCCAGTTCGTTGTCAAAACCAGTGCCAATAAAACACACACACACACACACACACACACACACACACACACACACACACATAATCATGCTGTTCTGACAAAATGTTCATACTATTTAGTTATCTTACTTTTTACTTTACTAATTTGAATATTTTAGAAGGATTCTGTATAATGATTTTTATTTATTATCTTTAGTAGGGTTCGGTCAAATAATTTACTTTCTATACAAAAATAGTTCTAAATATCTTTCATATATATATATATATATATATATATATATATATATATATATATTCATATATATATATATATATATATATATATATATATATATATATATTCATATATATATATATATATATATATATATATATATATATATATATTATATTGTTTATAACGTTTAACACAATTTTGCAAAAAATACCAATGTGTCACTGATCGGGATGTTTTGGGGTCGTTTTCACCCCTAAAAAATAGAAATCTACCAAGATCAGTTTTAAAGTGAAGGGTAGGAACAATCTAAAGGTGTGTAAAGGGGTAGTGAAGCGCAATAAATGATGCCGTATCCTGTTAGCATCACTCAGCCTCTCCTACTTATTCTTATCTTCACCTCCAAGTTGGTACACACCGATAACCTGAGCAACCCCACTGGAGATTGGGTAACCAACCCCAGTGGAAGGTGGGATCAGGGCTGAAAAAGAAGAGAGCCTTAGCCCTTCGAAGAATAGGGGGTTGAGCGAGTGGCTAACAACCCTTCCCTGTCAAACTCAATTGCTGCGAATACAGTGGCTAATGAAACAAACGGAAGGATTTAACAACGACGAACTCAGCAAAGAAAAATGGACATTATTATGGATTTAAAATTTGGAACCTGGGATGTGCAAATCCTCTTAAAGGCAGGGCCTATGATAAGTATGGCAGAAGAAATTGAAAATTAAGTGGTTGAAATATTGGCACTGCAGGAAATCAGATGGAAGGGCCAGGGAGAAATTTGTAAAAATAAGGTTTTACTTACTATACAACTCCGGAAATGAAATGAGACAAGGTAAAAGAGCAGTAGGGTTTATAGTAACCAAAGAACTGCGAAAAGCCATTATCGCATTTACACTAATATCAATTGACAATGGTTAATGTATATGCACCGACGGAAGAGGCTGATGAATACGAGGTTGAAAGATTCTATGGAGAACTTTAAGAACTATGTGATAAAATCCAAAGGCATGATGCTGTCATAACATTAGGCGACTTTAATGTTAAGCTGGGAAAGAAGAAACTTTCGCAACTATATTTGAGAAACATAGTTTGCATATTGAAACTAGTCAAAATGGACTTATGGTTGAATTTGACACAATTTGAAACAGCAAATAATTATGTAGTTGTCAGCACTAACTTCCAGAGAAAAGATATCCATAAAGGAATATGGAAAATACCAGGAATCAATGAAGACGTAACTTAACTAATATTAGAACGTATTGCGGGGCGAACTCTGACTCAGATCACTATCTTGAGGGGGGCAAAATTGCGACAGAAAATCGCGACAGTGGCAAAAGGTAAAAATAGTCAAATTAAAAATGGAATGTTGAAGTATTCAAAAGTCCAACAAAGACACAAGAATATCAAAATACTCTCCAAATAAAACTCAACTAGATCAGAGAGGAAGCTACTGCAGGGGAAGAATAGAGACAATTAAAAATAATTGTAACGGAATTTGCAGAAGAAATTGTCGGAAAAGCCAAAAGGCAAAGAAATGCGAAATCGTATGATGATGAATGCAGAGCTGCAGTACAGGAAAAAAGGCAAGCTAGGCTTAACGAACTTCAAAGAAACACAAGAAATAGCAGAGAAATTTATAATGAAAAGATAATACAAGCGACTAGAATATGCAGAAGAAAAATAAGAGAGGCTTTGAAAAAACATAAATCCTAGAACATAACAACAGACACGAGAGCAGAAAATTCTATAAAAGAATAAAAGAAAGCACACAGTCATTTATACTAAAATTGACAATATGCAATGACAAGGACGGAGAACTACTAACAGAAAAACAAAAAATTATAATGAGATGGAAAGAATACTTTGAGGAAAACCTAATGCAGACAATGGAAATGATCAAAACGAGACAATATATTTTACGGCGAAGCAGCATATTGAAAATCCAAGTTATAAAGAAGTAGTTCAAATAATAAATAAACTAAAAAACAGTAAAGCGGCAGGAACGGACGGAGTTTCGGCAGAATTGTTGAAATATGGAGGAACCGAACTCTGGGGAAGAATCCATTACCTGATAAAGTTGGTATGGACCAAGGAGCAAATACCGGAGGAATGAACAGTTGGTCTTATACAGCCAATACATAAAAAAGGAGATAAGATGGAATGCCAGAGTTACAGACCTATATTACATTGCTAAATGTAATATACAAAATCCTTTCTGGCATAATCTACACTAGATTGTCAGAATACTCCGAAAATATAATTGGTGATTATCAAAATGGATTCAGACCAAATAGAGCCAATACAGACAACATCTCCATACTTAGAACAATACAAGAGAAAGCCTATGAATACGACATAGAACTATATAATATGTATACCAAACAAATATATCAGCCTCATAGAAATAACGTTGCAAGAACTGTCTCCCCTGTTTGACTTCAACATGGGGGTGAGTCAGGAAGACACACTTTCAACCATGCTGTTCAACCTAGTTCTTGAAGCAGTCGTCAGAAAAACCAATGTAACCGAAAATATAAACATCAAAATAGTACAAATTACTGCATATGCAGATAATATCGCCATTATTAGTAGAAACAAGACAAGACTAATGGAAACGTTCAAGGAAATTGATCCTGAAGCACAAAAAAGAGGGCTTAAAATAAACGAAACAAAAACTAAGTATCAGTATATAAATTAAGTACATGACCATCAAAAGAAAACCTGAGAATGAAAATAATATAGCAATAGACGACCTTAAGAGAACGGCAGGAAAGGATTGGATGCAGATCGCCCAAAATAGAGACCAATGGAGATTAACAGGGGAGGCCTATGCCCAAGAGTGGGCGTTTAAGGCTGATTAGATAGATAGATAGATAGATAGCAATAGACAACTATACTATTAAACGTGTAGATGCCTTCACATATCTGGGCACAAAAATCAATCAGAAGAATTCCGTAAGTAGCGAAATTAATGCACGTATTTCCAGTGGAAATCGTACATACTATGCTAATAAAAGATTGATGACATCGAAATTATTAGACAAAAGAACCAAAATGACTCTCTACAAAACTTGGATTAGACCCTTAGTAACCTATAGTTCTGAAACCTGGGTAATGACGAAAAAAGAGGAAGCTCAACTCGGGACAGTCGAGAGAAAGATACTGAGAAAAGTATATGGCCCGGTGCAGGAGGAAGACGTCACAAGGAGAAACATGAGAAACGACGAGGTAATAAACTGGATGAAAAGTATGAAATTGTGAGATTTGTGAAAAGTCAAAGACTGTCATGGCTGGGACATGTTCAGCGACAGGAGGACTCGAAAACGACAAATAAGACGGAAGCCGGTAGGAAGGCGGAAAAAAGAAAGACCCAGGGCGAAATGGTTAGATCACGTGGAAGACGACCTGAAAATCATGAATATAAGACAATGGAGGAGAATGGCCCAAGAGAGATCTGAATGGAAGGATATAGCCAGGCGAAAAGAGAAATTCAAAAGAAGAAGAAGGAGAAGAAGTATAAGCTAAATCCAAATTTCCATGCAAATCAGTGGAGAAAATCAATGGACACAAGGTATGCAATGGCATTGTTTTAATTATAACTAATCTAGGGGTGAGATTTAGGGGTTAAACTGTGATAAAGCATCATCTTAAATGATGTTGTTTAATGTTATTTGACATTCATCATTTAGATCAATAGCACCAGTCTAAAAGTAGAGGTTAAGTAGAAATGAAGTCCAAATTGTCATGCAATTCGGTGGTGACGTTCATTTACAAGAATAAGTCGTTAATAAGTGGCAACCATCAAGGTTAAGGCCTGCAATTCAAGTAAAGGTATGTAACACATAGAAAAATCTTATGTAATACGCTTCTACATATTCTGAAGGTATTTTCTTGTGGAATTTTTAATATTATTAGAGTATTATTATAAGAAAATAGTTTCAAAACCATACAAAGAGATCTTACTTATTATTAATTACGATATCTCGAATTCCTCCAACAAAACCTCGTCCTCCTATTTGTAAGTTTTCGATCGTAATTTCTTCAGGATTAGTAACTGTACTTGAAACACCATTTATCTTTATCGCTTTATTGGTGCCCAAGTCCAATTCTATGTTGTTGTAGTCATTCTGTTTAAGCTTCAAATCAATTTTTTCACCGTCAACTAAAATATTACCGTCTTGCATAGATATGCTTTGAGCTTCATTGAATTTGATTATTGTACCAGTATCCACCATCGGCCTCAAAATAAAACTTATATTTTGAATGATTTCTTTGGCATAATTTAGTGATAAATATCCTTGATCTTTTATCCACACGTGGTTAAATGAGAGAGTCTGAAATAAAAAAATTAAATGATTAAAAATGAAAAGTGAAAAAATTTGTTAATTTTACAAAATAAACAAAAAGTATGTAATTAAAAAACATTGATAAACCGTAATGATGCGTAAGTCCTCATTAAGCTATGATAATTGTTTCCATTTATCTGCATAACTTGATATTTTCTCATTTTAACGGAACATACTTCAATCATTGCATGTTCCTTGCAAGGTGTATACTAGTATTTCCTAATACAGTGATGGCGAACCTTGTTAGTTGATTATTTAGTTCTTTATGTCCTCTGATATGTGCTCCAGTTTTCCCAAATTTTCGACTAACTGTTAAATAATGTGAACACTTAAGAAATCGCCTACATGACGCACACTTCTTCTCTCTTAAAGCAATACCAAAAAATATAAATGGCTAAGCAATTTGGTATTATGCAATGGAACTTCAATGGGCTTCAAATTCATCAATAGGAATTGCAAACAGTCCTTGAACTGAAAAAGATAAATGTGTGTCTTATCTTAGAAACACATTTTACTAGAGAATGATCAGGTTCCAAAGATATAAAATATCCAATACAATATACCCAGATAATGCAGCAAAAGGAGGTGGTTCGGTTATAAAAAAAAAAAAAAAACTATTAATCACTATCAAGAGATGCGATAACACACAGCAGAGTTTCAGATCACAGTTTTTAACGTGGTGAGATTAGCATTGTGACATTATATTGTTCTCTTTGACATGTAGTAAAGCTGCTGAGTTCATAAAACCAACAACTCAATTAAAATTATTTATAGGTAGACTCACCTACTGATCAATAGATTCAAAGTCAAGATATTTGACTTAATAGTCTTACTGGAAGACTTAATAGTCTTACTACTAATGGAAGAGGTGTGCAACATAAATTTGGTTCCTTTCCTTATTCTGCTTACCACAGTGATTATATCGTATATAAAAAACATCCACCACGATTAAAAAATAAAGAAACAAATGAGATGGAGGAAGAACAAGTTAAAACGAATGATAAAATGATACAAATCAGATTATATTACTGGTCCCAATATTATTGGACCCAAGATCACATCAAAAGGTATTCCACAAGGAGCTGTTTTAAGTCCACTTCTTTTTAATTTGTACACATACGATTTGCACAATTTATGGTCTCCCAATATTGTTTGCTTACAATATGCTGATGATATTGTCATCTATTCACATAAGAAAACGTACAGTGAAAGCACTACTGAACTCAAACATATTATGTACAACTTGGATAATTGGACTTGGTTAAATGGATTTAATATTTCCTACCAAAAATGTGCCATAGTATTTTTTTCAAGAAAACACCCTATTAAACATCACGCTGTAACCTTACATGGCAATGATATTCCAATTGTTTCGGAATTTAGATATCTTGGTGTCATACTTGACAGGAAACTGCTTTGGACTCAACATATTAATTATACAATTGGTCGCTGCGAAAAAGGTATTAATTTTCTTAAAATGGTGTGTAAGAGATCGTGGGGTGCAGATCAAAACATTGCATTGAATTTTTATCGAGCCTATATAAGATCTATAATAGATTACTGTTGTGTGGTATATGGGTCAGCTAGCATCACCAATTTACGTAAACTTGATAGAATTCAATTTAAAGCTCTAAGGATTGTGTTAGGATTGATGAAAAGCACTCCAAATGAAGCCACCCTAGCTCTAGCATCTGAAAATCCACTCTCATTACGCAGAGAATATTTAGCAAGCAAATATTTCCTAAACCAACATTATCGTGGCACTTATAATGCAAAAATAATTAATGAATTAAATACAGTGGATTTAACATCTACATACTTCGTTAAAAAAAACTCTCCACCACTTGCAAGAGCAATTATAACTTGCAACGAACTGAAGTTAATAAATTCCCCTTGTAATTTTATCTGGGAATCGTTGGATATACCACATCTAACAAGTGTTCTAGCTACAAATATTATTATCCCAAAATACCAAAACGAATTTTGCTACACTACTCTTAAAGAAATCTTAAGTGGATATTCAGATCATATTGTGATCTATACAGACGGGTCAAAATCACCAACATGTACAACCAGTGCTTACTTTGTACCAAAAATGAAGATTAAAAAATCATTTATTTTAAATAATCAATCCAGCATTTTTTCTGCTGAAGCGTGTGCTATATACAAAGCCCTTGAATTGTGCTGTGAAAACCAGTGGAACAAAATTGTCATATGCAGTGATTCACTGTCAGTATTGCACTCCTTACAAAACTTTAAATTCACAATCAATAGCAACATATTCATATTAGAAATTTTTCAACAGTTACTAAAACTATCAGATCCATATGGTACTAAATTTCTATGGGTCAAGGGACACTCAGATATTGTTGGCAATACTATTGCTGATTCTATAGCTAAAAATCCATTACAGCACCCACATATGGTGATAAAAGAATTTAACACATGTGATCTACTTGCCTATATCAAACAACAAATTAAATTTAAATGGGACAGACAATGGATTCAGTTTGGTGAAAGCAGGGGCACTAATTTATACAAATTACAACCACAGTAGATGTAAAACAATTTTACAAAGATGTTACACTAAGCAGAAACACAGTGGCAACTGTCTTAAGATTAAAAGTAGATCATGGATGTTTCCCGAAACATCTACACAAAATAGGAGTTCTCCCAACAGACCGATGTGAGTGTGGAACTAGTATAGCTGATTTAAATCACATATTCTTTAACTGCCCACTACATCGTAATACAAGCACGTGGCTGATAGAAGAATTGATAAAAGAGGGATTAAGTACACCACTAAACGTAAATCTCCTATTAAGTGAAGACAATATAAAAATCTTTAAAATAATTATGATATTTCTTGTAAAAATTAAATTAAAGGTATGAGTGTAAAATTGATCGTATGTTTGAACATGTCCTTTGTATGTTTACCATATATGTTGCCCACCTACCTAACCGTGGTTTATGTCTTGTTTGTTACAATAAAGCCGCTCTGATGAATCCCTGAGCGTGAAAAGTGTCCTCCTTGTACAATCCTGTATGAATGAATACTAATATTTATATGTAATTACGTGGCTAAAGGTTTCAAGCCAAAGCCATTAAAAAAAAAAAAAAAAAAGATTATATTACTCCTAAAGAACTACAAGTAGAAAATAATATAGTATAATATTGTCGTCACTCTCATCCTAGTTTCAATGTCTTTTGATGATATCTTTTCAGGTAACCATACCACTTAAATTGTTTTACTTCAATGGCGTCTTTAGTGGTTACATTTATTCCCAGTTCTCTTCAGATGTTTTTGTTCCTCTCTTTATCTGGTCTGTTTTTCTATAGTACCGTCTCCAGTAGTCCATTTTCATTGCATTTATTCTGGATCTGTTGCATGTGTAGTTCTCACAAATCTATACGTATATGGTTTTATACATACGAATTTTATTTTGAGTAAACTGTTTAACTATCTCGTAATTGCCGTGCCTGACTCATTCTTGGTATTATTTCACTGTCACTTCCACCATTTGATGTCAATTTCATAACCAATTACGTAGAGTTGTCCATAGCGTCGCAATACTACGTAGTACTACGCAATAATTATCACCTGGATTAGACCGACCAACCTCCTTTTTCCTCAAACAATGTGCAGAATCTGTAGCAAACCCTATATTGAATAATGAATGCTTCTTTTAATCAAGGTTCTCTCCCCTCATCCTGGAAATAGGCTTCGGTTATTCCTATATTGAAGAAAGGAAATAAACGCGATTGTAATAATTATCGTCCAATCAGCCTGGTTCTTATTGTCAGTACGGTCATGGAATCCATTATTTCGGAAGTTATGTATGAGTCTCTCCTTCAAGAAAATATCATCCCTCACCAACAGCATGGCTTTATCAAAGGTCCTTCAACGATCACAAACTTACTTCGTCGTGTAAGTGATTAGTCATCATCTTTATATAATCGACATCCTTTTAGTATTGTCTACTTAGACTTCTCCAAAGCTTTCGACCGTGTTCCAAAATATCGATTACTAGCTAAGTTGGACTACTATGGTATCCGCGGAAAGTTAAACATTTAGCTTCAAAACTACTCACTAGATAAGCCAGTCAAGAATGGAGTCACACAAGGATCAGTACTTGGACCGCTACTTTTTTATCTACATTACATAGTGATCTTCCGCTCATTGTATCCAGAAAGGTTTCCATTTACGCTAATGATACGAAATAATATGTGAATCCAACTACTAACCCATATGTTCTTCAACACGATCTTGACGCAATTTTTGAATGGTCCTCATAACGGTTACTTCCGCTTAACATTGAAAAATGCGTTATTCTACATATCGGCAAAAATAACCCATCACTATCCTACTTTGTTAATGGACATCCCTTAAACTCGGTAACCTCACACAACGATCTCAGAGTGATAATTAATAGTGACTTCAATTGTTTTGATCACATAGTGTAGGTGTGTAAACGACAAAACTCGAAACTGTTTTGATCCGTAAATATTTTACACGTATATCGCTAATCTCTGTAAGTAAACTTTACTCAATATATATATATATATATATATATATATATATATATATATATATATATATATATATATATATCTCTATTCTTAAGCTTGCTGAGTCATGTGGAATGTAGATCTCAGACGCAAAAAAATCCTACTTGAAAATGTTCAGCGTAAAGCCACAAGACTGGCATACGGCTGTGTAAGACCTAATTATGAAGATAGACTAACTATTGCTCATACCTCATAACCTAAACGCCATTTTTAATTTAAATCAAGACAAAAAGATTAAGAGGTCATCGTTACAAATTAACCTGCAAGGCCCAGGGTGAACTTCTTGCCAAACACATTATTTAATATCTTGAACAACTTGGATCAAGACTCCATATCGGCAACTAGTGTTAACATCTTTAAAAATAACTTGATAGCTCTTTATTTCATTTATAGGACTGCGTTATTTTAAGACCGTATGATTTATTTAACTTTATAATTGGTATTAGTTTTATATTGGTATTTTTGATTGCTTTTTGGGCATAATGGGAACTCGTCGCTCTGCACTTATTTGTTATATAATCTAAAAATTCAATAGCAAAAGTAAGTTCCCACAACTTACTACCAGGTACCACAATAAAAAAAATAAACAAACGAGAAAAACAAGGAGAGTATACAGGATTAAAATCAAGGTAGCTATGAAGGTAGGTATGTTTCACAAATTGACAATTCAGTTTTTAATCACATTGTTTTGTCATTGTCTTGAATTTTAATTATTTCACAACAATCAACAATTAATTTTTAAAGGGAAGAACTGGTAGACATTGTAAGGATATTAGGTAAATTTAATAAGAACTGCAGCTAAGAGAGCATTTCAAACTATAATGGAAAGAGAAAAGACAGTTTAGATTTGATTTGATGTATAGTGCCTCTATTATTCGCTTATACATATCTAGTGTTAACAAGATTCGTCAGAGCGACTTTGTATATATCATTAAGTGTATGTATATGATACCTATATTATTTAATGTTGATCCTGAACAGAAAATGGTAGAAGGACCTGCATCTACTAGATTAATTCCTATCCATTAGACTATCACTGCTAACCAAGATAACACTTTTGGGCTTCTTTTTGAAGACCAAAAAGATCTTAAGTGTGCAAAAATTAAAAAAACATTTAATGTAACAAATGCTATTCAGATTCGAGAAAAATAGCGATCAAGATAGATGTATCTTCAACATGTAAGAAGAAGATTGCTAGCAAATTTCATATTACTATATCTCCCTGGTAGAAAAACAAATCAGACTTACCTTAGTTCGCGTAATTCCATAAGAAATTCCAGCATTACTTAACTGTGTTTCCATCTTCAAAAATCCTAGTAAAGGTGGCTCTCTAATGGGAATACAAGTCTTATTGAATGTAGGTGGAATACCTCCTAAGTAATGTTTCGACTTTCTTATTCTGAAGAAATTTATAGGATCTACTGCTTTCGTTGATTCAGGGAAGGGCATATCATTATCTACTCCCAAGGTGAATTTGTAATACCTTTTGGCTTCTATTACCCAAGTTAGTACAATGGAATGTTCCAGACCGTCATTGACTTTTTTCTCACCCTTTAAAGTTGTGGTTTCGGTTTCATTAAACATCATGGAGAAGTTAATTTCACCATTGCGCAGATAGATATAAGCGTAAGTGCATTTATCAAACTGAAATACAAAAACATTATTAAATTATATATTTTTGAATGTATTATATATACTAAACCTAGAGCTAAGATACGATTACAAGAATTAAAATTAAACCCAAAAGTCTTCCGGGTTGAAACGCGTCGATTATCATAGCATCGAGCTTTCGACATCCTCTTTGATGTCTTCTTCAGGGCTTCTTAGGTATCAGTCTCCTGAGCCCCCAGACACTACTACACTGATCATTAACTAATGCTGGTGATGCACCACCACCATATGTCTCATAGCTCTACAATTAGTCAAGGAGTCCTGGAACATCTGTGAGAGTGGCCAATTAATTAGGACTAACCTGGTTGTATTAATTAAAGGTTACTTCAATCCCAGGTTTCGGTCCTAGAGGCAGCGTGGATGAAACCCGTCTTGCGAGAACATCTGCCGGATCTTTCTTGTCTACACGTGAGTGTCCCAATACCTATATAAAGTTAACCTTATTGGTGAACACAGAGGCAGCTAGGACTCTTTTGCATTCCAGAAATAATTTGAAAGTTACGAAAAATTTACTTTTGTGTAAAATATTAGAAATGTGTCAGATAACTCTAATTTTGGAAAATAGTGTTGTAAAATTAATTAAGAACGGGTTTTTAATAGGATTAGGTAAACGAGATGGTTTATACACAATCAATTATGAAATAGTTAAACAAAAATGTTACTCTGTCCAAAATGATCAAAATAAAGAATCTATTAAATGGCGTGCATACATGGGTTTTTACATTTAAGAATTTTCTATACTTGAAAGTTTTTAGCGAGGGAGGGTGTTATGAATCGTTAAAAACCTCCTTGTTGCTTCTTCTCCTTTTCTTTTACAAGAAAAGAAAGAAGAAACTAACAGATGATAATTGATATGAGGTTGAATGCTCGAATAAATGAACTTTGAAAAATTAAGGCAAATATCGAGCACAAATTTAATAATCAAATCTTGTCCAAGTACTTTCGCTTTCTACAGCATAATCAGGGGCATTTCGTTAAATTTGGGCTATCCAGCAAGCGCAGAATGTAACAAACATGAGATTGGACATAAATTATACATAACACTACATTAATACAAGAACATACAATTTAAAATTATTAAAAATTATTCTACGCTCTACATTCTTGTCAGCAACCGGAGAGAGAATCGTTCTCTCCATGTGATTGACCGTACTTTGCATAGTTATTGTTATAGGGGAATCTGAAGATCTTTAATGTAGTGGTTTCCCGTTGCCTTCTACATCCTTATGCCGTTGACTACTAATAGGTTCATCAGCCTTTGGAGTCAATTTCTCAACCCCAGGACAAAAAAGTGCCCTACCACTTACTAACTCATCCGCCCGAAGCCGTTGGTCAGTTAGTGGGGGATTGCTTATACCGGCAATCACTTGGTAATTTAAATTGATAATAAAAGAAAATAAAATTTTAATCATACCCGAACTTTATTTAGTAACAACGTAATAACGCACTGATAAAAGTTGAAAATATTATTCGAGAAATTAGAATACGTTATATACTTCAAGCTTCTAACTTGCTCCATCTTCATTAAGTCATCATCATCATCATCATCAATCAGCCAATCGCGTCCACTGCTGGACATAGGCCTCCTTCAGTTCTTTCCAGTGTTCTCTACACTGGGCCGCTTGTAGCCAGTTTCCCGCTACACGTTTTATATCATCGGTCCTTCTAGTCGGTGGTCGTCCTTGGCTTATTTTATAGTTTCTGGGCCTCCATTCCATAATACGTCTTGTCCACCGTCCATCTTGTGTTCTGGCTAAGTGCCCTGCCCAGTTCCACTTAAGCGTCGTGGTTCTTTCGAAGACGTCTTCCTGATCTTTGCCTGATTTGTTGGTTTGTTATGTGGTCTCGAAGGCTCACGTTCAGCATTGCACGTTCCATGGCTCGTTGTGTAACTCTGAGTTTATTCGCAGATTTTTGCGTGAGTGTTAAAGTCTTTGCTCCATAAATTTGTACAGGCAAAACACATTGGTTATAAACCTTTCGCTTGAGACACATGGGAATTGAACTTTTTAAAATATGGCTTAATTTGCCAAATGCTGCCCATGTTAGGCCTATTCGCCTCTGTATTTCATGTGTTTGATTGTCTCTGCTTATTTTGATTTCGTGTCCCAGATATTTGTAAGTGTCTATTTGTTGTTGGTATTATTGTCAATAGTTATATTTCCACTCATTACGAGATTTGTTATAAGTTTAGTTTTCTCAAAGTTTATCTTTAATCCTGCTCTTTCAGACAGACTTTTAAGCGAATGCATCATAGAAACTGTATCATGTAAATTATCTGCGATTAATACAACATCATCTAAAAATATTAGGTGATTTAATCTTTCTCCATCTATATTGATGCCCATATCTTGCCATTGAGTGCTCTTAAATATTGACTCTAGAGCTGCCATGAACAATTTTGGTGAAATATTGTCTCCTTGTCTAACTCCTCGACCTAAGCTGAATTTTTCTGTCTCTTCGTGTAGTCGTATACTTGATGTAACGTTCTCGTAGATGTTTTTGATTAGTGTCGTGTACCTGTAATCTATTCGGCTTTGATTTAGGGCTTCTAGTATTGTTTCAAACTCTACAGAATCAAAAACCTTCTCGTAATCGACAAATGCAAGAACCAGTGGTATGTTGTACTCGATGCACTTTTCTATTAAGATCTTTATGGTATGCAAATGGTCATTTGTGCTATATCCTGCCCTGAAGCCTGCCTGTTCTTTGGGCTGATACAAATCAAGTTTAGGTGTTAGCCTCTTTGTTAAGATTTTCATAAAGAGTGGGTGTCTGATATTTTTGGGATTTTCATAAAGAGTGGCTGATGGGTCTATAATTTTCTAATTTACTAATATCGCCTTTTTTGTGTAACAAACTATTACTGCATTGTTCCAGTCTTTTGGAATCGTACGCGCATGTAAGCATTTATTAAACAGTTAACTTACTGATTTTAATAAAATTTCTCCTCCTGCTTTTATTGCCTCGATAACGAGTCCATCCTCACCAGGCGATCGATGGTTCTTCATTTCCTTTAAAGCTGCTCTTACTTCTGACACAGTAAAGTCATATAACTGATAAATCAGTTTCATTATTTTAAAACGTAAATGTGATCATAAACCAACTTTACTTATTACCAGCAAAATCACTCCAAACACACACACACACACACACACACACACACACACACACACACACACACACACATACACACAGATACACTCACCCGCTACAACATAGGTACATAATGTACAAAAAGCCAATTGGCTGAAGTATGACCGGTTTATATCGGTAACACGTAAAAAAATCAGATAAACCATTAGTAAAAGCAAATCAGAATAGGTAGATACATAATATGATATACTTACATCAGCAACAACGTAGAGGGTGGCATTTTCATCAAAAGTCGTAACTTTGAACTGTATCGAGAATTTCCTCGGATCCAAGTTGTTGTTAACTCCATACTCGAAGTAACCTTTTCCCCCGTAGAGATTATTAAGGCTTTCGTCAATAGAAACGTTCCTAAGTAGACAAAAATACATGTTTCATAAAGAATATATTATTTTTCTAATTAATTTTTAATTTCTATTAAACAAACTTTGAGATAATGAATTAAAAAACTGAAAATATTTTTAAACGAAATAGCATTGGAGATAATAGATATAAGTACGAGTCATAACTACTAAATGTTCGGACAAACGAAAATTTATTGAAAACGTTCATTTTCACAACCTTGCTTATTTTTTTACCTTAATTAGATGGCTTTGGTAAAGACCAATTAGCCAGACGATTTTTTTTAACTATAATAATTTAAAAAAGAAAACTTTAAAAGAAAACTCATGCTTCTTCACAATAACAATGCTTAAAGTATTAGTAGTGCTTAAAGTTAAGTGTGAGCAGTGTAATTTGTGTTTTTTTTCTATGTAGAATTTAGTTTTTTTTAAATATATATAACCTTGCTTATTGAATTAAACAATGAGATCAACAATACATTAAAGTCTACCATTAATAATAAAATATTGAACTGGCTTGGATTTATAAGCTTTGAATTGCAGTATTTTCGGAAAAATAAACGAAAATATTGTGGCAACTAAATGTTCGGACAACTCAAGAAATTACTGTTTTAATATAGGGTTACATCTTCTTCTTCAAGTTCCGCTCCTATCGGAGATTAAAAATCATTCTGGCAATTATAATTTTGTTTGTTACGCGCCTGAATAATTCAATTGAACTGCATCCAAACCATTCACGGAGATTGCGTAGCCACAAAATTTTGTCGTCACGTCTTCCTACGCTTCTTCTGCCTTTGATTTTACCCTGCATTATATTCCTTAGTAGTTCGTATTTTTCACCTCTCATGATGTGCCCCAAGTATTCCAATTTCCTGATTTTTATAGTTTATTTTCCTAGTTGCTCGAGAACTTGTTCGTTTGATTTGCGATCCATCAATGATATTTTCAAAATACGTCGGTTCATTTCGGATGCTTCTAGGTTTTTAATGTTGGATTTTTCAAGTCTCCAAGCTTCAACTCCATACAAAAGGGTAAAGAAAATATAACATCGAAGTAGTTCATATTTTTCACCTCTCATGATGTACCCCAAGTATTCCAATTTCCTGATTTTTATAGTTTATTTTCCTAGTTGCTCGAGAACTTGTTCGTTTGTTTTGCGATCTATCAATGATATTTTCAAAATACGTCGGTTCATTTCGGATGCTTCTAGGTTTTTAATGTTGGATTTTTCAAGTGTCCAAGCTTCAACTCCATACAAAAGGGTAAAGAAAATATAACATCGAAGCATTATTATTCTTACATCGCCAAGCGCCTTTACAACCACAGCAATCATATCTGATATTGTTCTAACTAAAGATTGACACAAGTCATAGTCCAACTATCCCATAATTCACATAATTTTCTCTTTAAATCGACAAATTCGCTTTAAAAAAAAATCTGCTTATGTTATTCTTCTTTAGTCTTCTTCTTTTTATGTTGTGACGTCGGGTAGTGTATTTCAGCCAGAGAAACAGGATTCGTTCATATAGACATTTATTTCGAACTAACATATACAAATGAAAAAAAAGTATTTAACGTTAAGTGTTTACTGAATATAATGCTTAAATACAAGAACGTACTGTTCATTTATTTCTGTAGATGGGTGTGACGATATTCGCTATGATAAACTAAGATATCGCGATGAGGAATTGAGGCCGTACTCGTTCCTCAACGCAGAACAAGTACTCGGACGGGGATAAGGATGTCTATCTAGTTCAACACACTAGATGGAAAGAATACGCCAATCTCGTTCAACGCACCAGATTGACGCGGTCAGAGGAAGGATTGTCAATCTCGCTCAGCGCGCCAGATCGACTGGGTTCGGAAAGGATTTGGGACACGTTCAACTCACCTGTCCCCAAGGTCGGATATTCTCAGCTCAATGCGTCGAGAATGGTTAGCTGTCTTTTAGTTTCGACTTTTATACTATTCGAGACGGAACAAAAACGTGTTTTGTTTAACACATAGGCGTACTCTAGACGATAAAATATATTATCGTCACAATGTAGACATGACTCTGTTTGGTTTTCCATGTGCCTCCAGTAAGTTGCCGTTCCATCGTTTTCGTGGTCTTCCTACTGATCGTCTTCCTATTGGGGAACCGTCTCTTGCCGTCTTTGCTACTCTATTTGTTGTCACTCGGCATGTATGATCGGTCCATTCTACTCTTCTATTTCTTACCCAGTTCTTGATGTTCTCTACCTTGCATCCACGTCGTACCTCTGTACTTCTAGGTCTACCCCATAGTTTCTTACCATGCCGCGTATGTTGTTATTGGTCTGATGACTGTTTTGTAAATTCTGCATTTTATTTCTTTCCCGATATTTTTATTTCTCCATATTGTTTCATTTAGGCGATCTTCCACTTCAGTTTCGAGCTTTCCAAAGCTACATAATGACTGTGATGCCTAGTTATTTCAATTCCATCACTTGTTCTATTATCTGACCTTCCAGCTCCAATTTACATCTTAGTCAATTTGCTGTTGACCATGCATTTTGTCATTTTTTGGGGAAATTAACTTAAATTTTCTGGCGATTATATTAAATTGGTGTAGCATATGTTGCTAACCATGTTCACTTTGAGAGAGCAGTATTGCGTCTTCTGCATAGCAGATTATTTTAAGTTGTTTTTCTCCCATTTGGTATCCTTTTTAGTTCTTACTTTTTGTAATATTTCACGCATAATCAGGTTGAACAATAGATGACTCAGGGAATCTCCCTGTCTTATTCCATTGTCAGCTTCAATAGGATCGATTAGTTCTTCTATTTTAACTTTTATTGTGTTGTTTTGGTAGACATTTTCGATCGTTTTGATTATTCCTAGAGGTAACTCTTTTACGTACAGTAAGTGGATAACGTCTTTTAATTTGACCCGGTCAAATGCCTTCTTAAGTTCCACGAAACATAGATATGCCGGTTTGTTGTATTCTAATAATTTCTATTGCACTTGCAAGACTGTTGTTGCACCTGCAACAACACAATCTTGTTGTTCTTCTGCTAGTATTATAATTTTATTCAGATTATTTGTTATCATTTTGGTTGTTAATTTTAGTGTTGTGTTTAATAAATTAATTCCTCTGTAATTTTCCGGGTTTGATTTGTCTCCCTTTTTGAAGAGAGGTATTAGGATGCTTGATCTCCATTCTTGAGGAATTCTGTTCTGTTCTATTTTTTTTGGATTAGTTTTAATAGTTGTTTGGTCAAATCTGGTTCTCCGTACTTAAGAAGTTCGTTCGGTATTCTGTCCTCTCCTGGTGATTTTTTTTTAATTTCCTTAATGCTTCCTTTACCTCTTCCTCCTCAATATTTATTTGTTCGTTTGTCGTGTCCTCCAATGTTGGTGGTTCATTATCGTTACCTTTAACAAATATGGATCAAAGGTTATCTACCCATGTTTCCTTCTGAATGTGTTTCGTTTTTATTAGTTCGTTTATTTCTGTTCTTTGCCCTATGATCATTCTCCATATTTCTTTTTGTGTTTCGTAGAAGTCGTGTTCCATCTTCTTTAGTAGAAAACAAAAATAACAAAAATTACTTACAGTAACTTATGGTTGTTTTCACCATACACTTTGTAGTCTATACGAGTCCATTATATGGTGATTAACTGAATAAGCTGCTTTCCAGCGAAAAACTGGATGAATTGACGACAGTTGTTTCAGCTTTGTTCTTGTAAGCAGACAGCTGGACATGTTTTATCATCTTGATATCAAGAGATAAACCAGAAATTAAGAAAACCATAATAGCTTTCTCAAAAATAAAAGTACAAACTTCATTAAAAAAGCATCTATAGTGTCAGAACGGTGCTCTCTGCTTGTCACCGCCAAAATTAGGATCTCAACATGACTTCTAGACGATCTAAATGGAAATGAAGTCCCTATTTTTTCTCGCGAAGATGCGAGCTGTGTTGAATTTCGATTCTGTCTAGCCTATAATTTAGATATTCCTTTAAAATCAAGTAAGAGGAAGAGACAATTCGTGAGATTAGAAAGATATGACGATTGGTTTTGCTTAGCGGCGTTTACCAATGCAAATAAACAATTGTGTTTATGTTTATTTGAAAAATTAAATAAAAGCTTAGGAAATTTATACGATATTCAGAGTGGACAAAAACATGGTAAACATTATAAAAACCTAACTTTATCTTTAAATAACGCAGTAAACTAATTTATTTTATTACTATACTTACCTTCGTTGACCAATGCATTTGCCGTTGGTTTTATTGAAGTTCCATACTCCAAAGTTTTCTCCATTTAATATTACTTTGTAAATATACGAAGCTTTTTTTGCTGATTTTTTTGTAGATGTAGCTTCACTTTCTGAACCAATTTCTAAGCTGTGATCTGGATAAATAAAAGCGGTATCTAAAAATGTTCCCTTCTCATATTGTCCTATTTGGACTTTTAACATCGAGCCAGTCCTATAACAACAATGCTAATGAGCTCAAAAAATAATTTTTATCCAATAAAAGAAAATAAGATAGAAACTAATTAACTAGTTTTATTTAGAATAACTTGCAATTAATTAACAATATAAAAATAGTAAAATTCCAGAAGAAAATGTCTTCAGAATAATATTAAGATGGAAACTAATACCAAATTTTGACAAATTATATGTTTTCCTCATATTTTGTTTCCCTTTTCCGGTTTATTGGATTTTTAATCTGGTAATTACGCTTTGCATCATGTATAGCTTTGGTCGTGTTCATAGATGCACCCATAACTCCCTGACAACCAACTAAAGTCCACCCCCTCAATCGGACTACTCGTTCGGTAGGTCCTCTCCAGAACCGTGAATAACATGAATAGCCCTTCTTTTCTTTCTCTTTATCTCTCTCTCTGTCTTACCTTTACTGCAGATTCCTCTCTAATATTCCCTTCTTTCTGACGATTTGAGTTACTGCTATCAGTACTGCCTTGTATTCAGCCTTTCCCCTAATTGCTACCTGCATTATTGTATTTGCGGTAACTCTACCTACCTTCCTGTGTAATTGATTTCTGTCGTCATTGAATTCTGCATTCGAATACACAATGCTCGACTGTATCACACTCAACATTCTGCGCTGTTTTCAATCGTTACCTTCCTTATTCTTTCTAGGTAGGTCCTGAAGGACCGTAGCTTGTTAGCAACTGGGCGAAAAAGTAGTGTCTCGCCTTATTTCATCCCGCCTGCAATATTTGAAATTAATACCCTCATCCAGGCCACCCTATGCTCGTTTGTCCATTCTTCCTGCTACTACTCCGTTATACTGCTATTCCTGGCTACTAGTTTCTTCTGCTCATCCTTTCCGTAGGTTTCCGCCCTTTTCTTCACCATCAGGTGGATGGGTAAGACACCTGTAGTTCTGTATGCACATGCTACTCTTATCAGTGCTTTTCTTTGGGCTTTTTCTAGCATTCTCCTACATTCTTGAGAGTATAGTAGAGTGGACCACTCCCATTAAAATTCTCCTTTTGGCAGTCCCTGGTCCTGCCGCATTAGGCATAATTCTTGTCAGCGCCGAAGTTTTCTCTTCTGCCATACGAATGACGTACTTCACGTGCTCACCAAAGGGTCACCTCGTATCTAGGACTATTTACAGTACTTTCCTTTTTTGTCAGGTAAGATCTTTTCTCCCACCAGTGCAAAAACTATATGGTCTCTGGCCCTGGAACCCTTGGGGACCATAACTTCAGTTTTTTCGGCCACCAGCATGAGGTCTCTGTTTCCCATCTACGTCTTCACTTTAATGAGTGCTCAGTTTTCGTTGTGCTCCACCAGAACCACGAGGTCATCTGTATACGCTATTGCCTGTACACCAATACCTAGATCGACCTTCTATTGGTTGACCATTCACACCGATTCTTTCAATTTGCCGTTCTTTCTTAGGGATCATCACACATTTTGTTTTCTTAATGTTCAGTGAAAGTTCATATATCTGACTCACTTCTGTAATTCCATTCATTAACTCCTGGAGAGCTTTATAACTACCAGCGAATACCACAGTGTCATCCGCGTATCTGACGTTATTGATACATTCTCCATTAATTCGAATTCCGGCTTCAACATCTTCTACTGCTTCTTGAACGATGTATGGGGTTAACTTCTTTTAAATCTTAAAAAGTGAAATATGAATTTATAACAGTAGCAGGATAATCCACAGGGCGGTGTCTTAGTAAACAATCTTCATCAGAGGAAGTCTACCAAAGTTAAAGACAAATTGTAATCTCCAAGTAGAGCAATGGATCAGTATTCTGTGTGGTTATATTTTTAATTGTAGTACAGTGGGTCAAATAGATGTTAATACCAGCATCCACCAATGTAATGTTAATGTTAATCCACCTGTTCTTGGTGAAATATAAGTTGCACCCAAGATGCAACATAAACAGATGGAGTGATGCGCTGAACTAGAATATTTAGTTTTTGGATATGAAAGTATATACTTACTTTTGTAGATTCACAACATTTTCTTCACTTAAAATTTCTCCGATTTCGGTATCGACCTCTTTAACTCTCACAATAAGAATGTTATTTTCTACTCTGATAGATAAATATTCTTCATTGGTCAAACTATTCCACCATCTGAATAACCAGCAATCGTTACAGTTAAACGTTATTGAAAGACTTTGGAAATATTGTCTCTTTGGTACTCGGTAGGACATAAAGCAGTTTGTTAAGTTCATTGGCACCTCCACCTAAAAAAATGTATGTTTATACACCAAAAGTATTTCAATGTGTTGATATGAACGTAGCGAATTTGGTTAACATAATTGACAAGAGATTTATTTCACGTCTATTAGCGAAGAAACTACGGTTATAGTTACAATATTTTAAGCAATAGTTATAAGCAAAGAAGGGGAACTATATAATCTATCTATACGACGGTAACGACGCCACCTAGAAAACAAATCTGAACTACGAACATTTGACATTTCAATCATATTTTGTTTTTGAAACGATACGGTTGATTTATTGCTAATTCATTCTACAAATTAATGATTCAAATATTGTTAATCAGAAATTATACTACTTCACAGTAATTATTTTTTTCACCAAATTGCTAAAAATATAGGTTACCGTAATTATAAGGTAAGAAAAATGACGTATAATATATATATATATATATATATATATATATATATATATATATAACTAAATTACTAGTTATTACTATTTACCACTACGTAAAATTAGCAATGCTTTACCAAAATATAATAAATTTAAAACTAAATAAGATTAAATAAAGGTACATAGAATTAAATAAAATTAAATCAAGTAAACAGAATTACGTAAAATTAAATTAAATATTTTAATATTAAATAAAACTAGGTAAAAGCTATACCGTTTCTGCTTCATTTCCCATGTAAAATATTATAATAAAATGTTAAGGTTTGTTCTGCTCATTTTTTGAGCGATTTGTGGTACGGGTAGATAGTGACGTAAGCTTTATAGGAAAGCCTTTAAAGGAGATATGGAAAGGAAAGGGGGTAGCGAATATATTGAGATAGACAAAACACACATTGTGGTATTGCTAAGAGGGCATTACATCATATCTCCTTTGTTATTGGTCTAATTGGAGCGTATGATACGTTAAATGAAATATTGATAAAAAATCAAACAAGGCAATTACCAAAAGGGCACTATACAGTGTCTTCATTATTAATAAACGTATAGTTATATACAAGATATCATAGGATACTATAAATACAAATAGATTTACTTGATATGAATTACAAATAGATAAGACAAATTTTGATTTATTGACTTAAATAAGATCTCTGGCTGAATACAAAATAAGCAACTGATTGAATTCTAACATGCGACATAGCCAATGAGAGGGGAGGATATAACGAATATATTCAGATAGAAAAAACAAACAAGGCGACTACCAAAAGGGCACTACACAGTATCTTCATTACTAATGAACGTATAGTGACATACGATATATCATAGGGCACTATAGATAAAAATAAATTTACTACAAGAAAAATTTAATTTATTGAGTTAAAGAAGACCTCAGGCGAAGTACAAAATAAACAACTGATCGAATCCTAACATGCGACATAACAAATAAAAGGGGAGGATATAATGAATATATTCAGATAGAAAAAACAAACAAAGAGACTACCAGAAGGGTACTACACATCGATTTTATTGACCTCGGAAATAGGCCTCTGACTGATTAGTCATTTGATGAGTCATTTGAAATATGACTAAAAATGCAGAATTTAAACTTTTACATTACAAATGATCGTACGTCACGGAAAACGTCTCCAAAAAGACGGTTTTGAGTGTAATTTATAGCAAGAGTAAAGTACTTTTGAAAAACGTACTAGTGTAATTAAAAAAGAGCAGTAATGTGAAAGTTTAAATTCAGCGTTTTTAAGCATAATTCAAATGCCTCACATTTGTTGCCAAAACTCAAAACTGGATTCCCGGAAGTAAAGGTAGTAAACTTTTTTTAGCATCCTAAAATTAACATTTTCGGCAACATTTTGCTTGTTCTTATGATTTATAGAGGTTTAGTGGCATTTTCGTCTCTGCATTCTTGTTTAAATAAAATTAATTGGTAACAAAAATATTATTGCTATGTATAATAACAAAACGGTGTAAATAATGTTCACTTACCCCAACTACTTGTTGTTTTACTAAGCTAATTAAATTCTGCAACTCGTTTAGTCTTGTGTCTATGTTGTTCAATCTATCCTTTACATCTTGACTCTTCTTTTCCTCATTCTTGGAGCTCTGTGGAACTTTTAAATTCACAAGCGCTTCTCTAGCTATCCTTAAATCTGAGTTCAAATGTGTAATTTCTAAAAATATACTCTGTATTTATATAGGATACAAGAGATAGATGCATTATGTAGTTCACATTATTTAAGTCATATATTAATGAATAAAGATATCGATATTTAGTAATAAAATTTTGAAATAAACGTCTATACAGTAGAACACGAATCTCATGACAGGGCGGAGTTTCCAGTGCACAAAGAGAGAAATTATTCGGCTAGAAAAGAATGAAATTTACCAGAACATTACAAACATTGTAAGGGAAAGGGGGCTAAGTTGACGAAGTAGGTAAGATGACGAATAGGTTAAAATAAAGCAGTCGCTGGAAGCAATGATGACCGTGTCAAAACATCTGTTTTGGCGCGTACTTCCCACCTAATTTGTTTGGACATAGATCATCAGTTTGGCTACAAACAGCAAAGAGTGTAACATATGTTCTGCGTTATAATTTTAGTGATCGCAAAAATAACCTCTACTTGTGGCTAGGTAAGTGCTATCATTATATCTACCATTAAAAGCAATTCATGCATGTTTAAACTGTGATTTAGGAAACGAATTAACAAAACAGTTCATTTATTTTTGCTTTTACCAACGTTTTTGGTTGAAATAGCTTAGGAGGGTAAGTTGGCGAAAAACAAAGTAGATAAGATGACGAATTCGTCACCTTACCCCACGACGCTTTATTCTGATATTTTATAATTTTTGTGGGGTTTTTAGCTTATAAAAATGGGCAGAATATATCTACGCAAAACAAATCGACTTGGACAAAAGAAGATATGAATAAAGTATTGTTCTGAAGCTATTTTCTTGTGGTATTGTAAATTAATTACTATTATACTGGGAATAAGCCACAATTAAAGATAAAAATACGTTTATTGACGTTTCAATTTCCACTTAGGAAATCGTTCTCAAAATACAAACAGTAAATTAAACAAATTTTGTTTTTTGTTACATAGTGAAAAATTCTTCTAATAATTTAATTTTATCTGACTCATTTATATTGACAATTCAGACATATATTATGCATTTTAAAGTAGACGACTTTAAAATAATATTGCCAATATTGTTGAGTTGCGCTCCTGAGACGACTTTACTTATAAGATAGTTCATTCGATTACATGAATTCAACTTTAACTTGAGAATATCCGTCAGAAAAAAATCATAGCATGTAATTCGTCTTTAAAAAGACAAACACATGACATGATGACAGTAAAATTCTCCTGTTGGTGATTCTATAGTAAATTATGAGGGAAAAACCAGGAAAAAAACCTCATAATACTATCCCGACATTGTATTTGTTCATGAATTTAGTTTACCTTCAACAAACATCAAAATTCTGATTAAAAAACATAAATGATGTATCCTCTATATGTTACTGACTTACTAATACTGGTATTTTCTTACTAATAACTTCCTCTTTCAATATTGGTAACCAGATCCTACTACATTCTGACGAGGAATTTGCGACACAATTGGCCTCATTTAGCATAATTAGAGCCGCTTCTTTGATTTTTCTTTTTTTACCATCCGTTTCTTTTAGGACTACATTTGAATTATTCCATTGAACCCTATGTTCATTATCCCATGCGTGTTTGCAGATTTGAGATCTATCAAATTCTCTATTTTTAATATAAGATTGATGTTCACTTATTCTAACATTTAATGGCCTTGATGATTCACCAAAATAAAACTGATCGCATTCACAAGGTATTTTATAAATGCAATTCTTTGTCCTTTCTTGTTCATTGTTAGGTTTGGTTTTGGACAAAATAGATCTCAACGTGTTTGTTGTTTTGAATGCTGTTGAAATGTTGAATTTATTTCCTATCCTTTTAAGTTTTTCTGATAGTCCTTTTATGTACGGTATTGTTATTTTCCTCATATTATTCCTTGTGTATGCTGTAGGATCTATATAGACTATCTAGTAGAAAATTCCTTATTTATAAACGATAAAGGATAATCATTTTTTAATAAAACAGATGTTAACAAATGTTTCTCCTCTAAGAACGAATTTTCGTTAGAACAAGTAATTTTGGCTCTATCGTATAAGGATTTAATTATTCCCTTTTTTACATTAATATTATGATTTGATTTGAAATTTAAATATCTATTGGTGAGTGTTGGTTTTCTATACCCCTGAGTCTCATATCCAGTATCGTTCTTAGAGATTAAAACATCCAGGAAAGGTAGCGTGTTATTATATTCCTTTTCCATGGTAAATGTTATTGTCTCTTCTTTATCGTTTATATAATTTAGGAATGTGTCCAACAACTCTGATCCATGGGGCTATATTGAGAATACATCATCTACATACCTCCACCATACTGTGGGTTTAAAATTTTGTTTAGAAATGATATTTGTTTCAAAATCTTCCATAAAAAAACTTTCAAAACTTAAAAGGATAGGAAATAAATTCAACATTTCAACAACATTCAAAACAACAAACACGCTGAGATCTATTTTGTCCAAAACCAAACCTAACAATGAACAAGAAAGGACAAATAATTGCATTTATAAAATACCTTGTGAATGCGATCAGTTTTATTTAGGTGAATCATCAAGGCCATTAAATGTTAGAATAAGTAAACATCAATCTTATATTAAAAATAGAGAATTTGAAAGATCTCAAATCTGTAAACACGCATGGGATAATGAACATAGGGTTCAATGGAATAATTCAAATGTAGTCCTAAAAGAAACGGATGGTAAAAAAAGAAAAATCAAAGAAGCGGCTCTAATTATGCTAAATGAGGCCAATTGTGTCGCAAATTCCTCGTCAGAATGTAGTAGGATCTGGTTACCAATATTGAAAGAGGAAGTTATTAATAAGAAAATACCAGTATTAGTAAGTCAGTAACATATAGAGGATACATCATTTATGTTTTTTAATCAGAATTTTGATGTTTGTTGAAGGTAAACTAAATTCATGAACAAATACAATGTCGGGATAGTATTATGAGGTTTTTTTCCTGGTTTTTCCCTCATAATTTACTATAGAATCACCAACAGGAGAATTTTACTGTCATCATGTCATGTGTTTGTCTTTTTAAAGACGAATTACATGCTATGATTCTTGTGGTATTGTAAATTAATTACTATTATACTGGGAATAAGCCACAATTAAAGATAAAAATACGTTTATTGACGTTTCAATTTCCACTTAGGAAATCGTTCTCAAAATACAAACAGTAAATTAAACAAATTTTGTTTTTTGTTACATAGTGAAAAATTCTTCTAATAATTTAATTTTATCTGACTCATTTATATTGACAATTCAGACATATATTATGCATTTTAAAGTAGACGACTTTAAAATAATATTGCCAATATTGTTGAGTTGCGCTCCTGAGACGACTTTACTTATAAGATAGTTCATTCGATTACATGAATTCAACTTTAACTTGAGAATATCCGTCAGAAAAAAATCATAGCATGTAATTCGTCTTTAAAAAGACAAACACATGACATGATGACAGTAAAATTCTCCTGTTGGTGATTCTATAGTAAATTATGAGGGAAAAACCAGGAAAAAAACCTCATAATACTATCCCGACATTGTATTTGTTCATGAATTTAGTTTACCTTCAACAAACATCAAAATTCTGATTAAAAAACATAAATGATGTATCCTCTATATGTTACTGACTTACTAATACTGGTATTTTCTTATTAATAACTTCCTCTTTCAATATTGGTAACCAGATCCTACTACATTCTGACGAGGAATTTGCGACACAATTGGCCTCATTTAGCATAATTAGAGCCGCTTCTTTGATTTTTCTTTTTTTACCATCCGTTTCTTTTAGGACTACATTTGAATTATTCCATTGAACCCTATGTTCATTATCCCATGCGTGTTTGCAGATTTGAGATCTATCAAATTCTCTATTTTTAATATAAGATTGATGTTCACTTATTCTAACATTTAATGGCCTTGATGATTCACCAAAATAAAACTGATCGCATTCACAAGGTATTTTATAAATGCAATTCTTTGTCCTTTCTTGTTCATTGTTAGGTTTGGTTTTGGACAAAATAGATCTCAACGTGTTTGTTGTTTTGAATGCTGTTGAAATGTTGAATTTATTTCCTATCCTTTTAAGTTTTTCTGATAGTCCTTTTATGTACGGTATTGTTATTTTCCTCATATTATTCCTTGTGTATGCTGTAGGATCTATATAGACTATCTAGTAGAAAATTCCTTATTTATAAACGATAAAGGATAATCATTTTTTAATAAAACAGATGTTAACAAATGTTTCTCCTCTAAGAACGAATTTTCGTTAGAACAAGTAATTTTGGCTCTATCGTATAAGGATTTAATTATTCCCTTTTTTACATTAATATTATGATTTGATTTGAAATTTAAATATCTATTGGTGAGTGTTGGTTTTCTATACCCCTGAGTCTCATATCCAGTATCGTTCTTAGAGATTAAAACATCCAGGAAAGGTAGCGTGTTATTATATTCCTTTTCCATGGTAAATGTTATTGTCTCTTCTTTATCGTTTATATCATTTAGGCATGTGTCCAACAACTCTGATCCATGGGGCTATATTGAGAATACATCATCTACATACCTCCACCATACTGTGGGTTTAAAATTTTGTTTAGAAATGATATTTGTTTCAAAATCTTCCATAAAAAACTTTCAAAACTTAAAAGGATAGGAAATAAATTCAACATTTCAACAACATTCAAAACAACAAACACGCTGAGATCTATTTTGTCCAAAACCAAACCTAACAATGAACAAGAAAGGACAAATAATTGCATTTATAAAATACCTTGTGAATGCGATCAGTTTTATTTAGGTGAATCATCAAGGCCATTAAATGTTAGAATAAGTAAACATCAATCTTATATTAAAAATAGAGAATTTGAAAGATCTCAAATCTGTAAACACGCATGGGATAATGAACATAGGGTTCAATGGAATAATTCAAATGCAGTCCTAAAAGAAACGGATGGTAAAAAAAGAAAAATCAAAGAAACGGCTCTAATTATGCTAAATGAGGCCAATTGTGTCGCAAATTCCTCGGCAGAATGTAGTAGGATCTGGTTACCAATATTGAAAGAGGAAGTTATTAATAAGAAAATACCAGTATTAGTAAGTCAGTAACATATAGAGGATACATCATTTATGTTTTTTAAATAACGTAACGTATAAAATCAGAATTTTGATGTTTGTTGAAGGTAAACTAAATTCACGAACAAATACAATGTCGGGATAGTATTATGAGGTTTTTTTCCTGGTTTTTCCCTCATAATTTACTATGGAATCACTAACAGGAGAATTTTACTGTCATCATGTCATGTGTTTGTCTTTTTAAAGACGAATTACATGCTATGATTTTTTTCTGACGGATATTCTCAAGTTAAAGTTGATTTCATGTAATCGAATGAACTATCTTATAAGTAAAGTCGTCTCAGGAGCGCAACTCAACAATATTGGCAATATCATTTTAAAGTCGTCTACTTTAAAATGCATAATGTATGTCTGAATTGTCAATATAAATGAGTCAGATAAAATTAAATTATTAGAAGAATTTTTTACTATGTAACAAAAAACAAAATTTGTTTAATTTACTGTTTGTATTTTGAGAACGATTTCCGAAGTGGAAATTGAAACGTCAATAAACGTATTTTTATCTTTAATTGTGGCTTATTCCAGTTTAATAGTAATTAATGAATAAAGTATTTAGCGATGTTAGAGATAGTCATAAAAGTGTGAATTCGACAGCTAAAAATTATAACATACCAGAACCGACTTTACGAAGATATTTTTAGATATATTTACAGAAGCATCCCGATGAGTTAAGTTACAAAACAGCCATACTCGGTTTCAAGTTTCAAAATAAATTATACTATTTTAATGGGAAATAAGCCACAATTTAGGTAAAAAATGAAATTTATTTGACGTTTCGAGTTCCAAATCGGATCCTGTCATCTACATACAAAATTAATTACTATTTAAATTGGAATAAGCCACAATTAAAGGTTTAAATACGTTTATTGAGGTTTCAATTTCCACTTCGGAAATCGTTCTCAAAATACAAACAGTAAATTCAATTTACTGTCTGTATTCACTGTTTTTACATTCAAAAACACACAGACAAAGCAGTCTGTGCACAAACACCCGATACTAAATATATTGTATAACAACGATAAGTTAAGCACTGACATTGCAAAAACTGTTTGCATGTTTAAATAGCATTTTTGCCGATTGACCATTTACCTAAAAAAATGTAATTTTCACTATATTAAATAATACCAGATCGTTTGATTTTTAACTATCAAAAATAATGGAATATATAATGACAAATATGAATTTGATGGTAATAAAATCTAAAGCCAACATATTAGCAATTATTTCTTGACTTTGACTATTAACAACCCTCTCGGATAATTTGCTCTTAAACTCCATCCTATAATATTAAAAAACACTAATTTAGCTATATCTACTTTTTTATATCCCAATTATTTTCTTCCTCTTACAGTTTTAACAGAGTTCTGAAAAGAAATTTGGCATAAAATGTGTAGAACTAAAATAATTTAAACAGAATACACAAATACAAAACGTAAAATCACAACAAAATCAAATTTAAATAACGCGAGTAAAAGAAACAATGCAACAGTGTAAAAATATCCAACAGCTCATTGCATAACGTTTACTAAAATATACGCGAATGGCTTTGCTAGACTCTAACTTTCAAATTTGTTTCTGCGCAGTGACTTTTTAATTTAACGAGATACATACCTGTTTGACTGTACATAAAATACAAAGAAAGAGATTGATAAGAAAGAGATAATATATAAATATTGCATATGAATCTAAACTAACAAAAATTAGAATTTTAGCAATTTATTATCTACTGGATCTAACCTAATGGTTACACTGGTTGCGCTTACCTTTAGGATCAATTTGGTCTTGATACTTCTGATACTTCTTATCAAAATTAAACTGTTTGTCGAAAGCAATATCGTCTGTCTTTTTATAAATTTCTCGCATTGTTTCAGAAATTTCACTTGCATTTTTTATTGCTCTTTCCATTCTAGTAATATTGTCATTTTGTGTGAGGAAGTTGTTGGTTTTTTGTATATGCTGGGAATTTTCATTATTGTTTTTTCCATTTTCCAGTATTCCGTATTTTAGTTGGTCTATTTTACGCTTGATGTCATGTAGATCTGTAAACTATGGTAGTAGTCAAAACTAAAGATTTAACAGATAATAATTTTAAATATTTAGTAAAACATAAGAGTTAAAACTATAATTTGATATATTTAAAGCAGGGAAAAAACGTCATCCCTTGTACAATATGTCTCAAATACAGGGCATACAATAAACATGAAACAAACGAGGGTGCTAGCTAACATTGAAATTAAAAGAAAACGCGAAATTAAGAGAATCAATAAAAATAGAAAAAATCCCAAGAGTTTAAACTAAAGAAATAATACCAATAACATGGAAAACGAAAATAAATCAGGCAACAAGATTGACGAGTACCACCCCTTCTACTTATACACGTACAGGGCTAATCACAAGAAGCGCTGCCAAGAACCGTTCGACAGAAGTGCACCAAGATCCTCTAAAGTAACCGCTTCGACAGGTAGAGTCATTTTCCCCCATGAGGATATCGACTTCATAGAAGTCGAAGAAAAAAGAGAAAGGCCCGAGGACCCAAACAAAATCATCCCTCCAACATCACCGGAAGAGATAAACGAACTAATTAAAAACAGCTCTCTGAAACAAGCACCTGGACCAGGCCAAATAACAAACAGGGGTCTAAAATACTAGTGTTCCTAACGAACATAATGAATGTGATGCTGAGATTCAAGAGATTCCCAAACCGATGGAAAGAGACCCATGGCTTTCCGTGTAGAAGTTTGTATTTACTCGACTGTCTGAAGACTCAGGGAATACAGAAATAACGTTATAACAGTCTATTGAGACCAATTCATTCATACAAGGAAGTTTTGACGAATTGTGCTCCTTTCGACGTTTATTCATATATCCGTCCACAAAGAATTCTATACAAACCCAAAAGTAAAAACAAACTTTTTGAACAACTAAATATACAAATGTTTATATGAAGACCCTGACGAAACCTTTATTAAAAAGGTAAATTTTACATGTAGATTATCTTAAGTTTGTAATAGAGATTCCTATATTATAGGTTTTTCTCTTCTTCTTCTTCTTCTTCTTCTTTTTTATAAGCAAAATGCTTGTTCAATGTCGATTAATGCCTCTATTGGAGGTTATCATTCCATCTTTTGCGTAGTCGCCCGATACTTCTTCTACCTCTTGGTGATTTGTCCCTCGCTATTCTGACTAATCGGGTCTCTTCCATTCTGTTTATGTGTTCGTTCCATTTCTTTTTTCTGTTCAGTGTCCACTCATTTATTTCTGGTATATTGCATTTTCTTCTGATCTCTTCACTCCACATTCGATCCCTCAGTGTGTTTCCTGTAATTCTCCTCAGTAAATGCATCTCCGCTGTTTCTAGTAGTTGCTGAGTTTTGGAGGTATCCGGTCTTGTCTCTAAAGTGTATGTGATTATTGGTCTTATTGTTGCTTTGTAGATTCTTGATTTCACGTCGATATTAATGTGCGGATTGCGCCATATCGTGTTATTAAGACAACCTGCTATTTTATTAGCCTTTTGTACTTGATTTTTCACTCCCTTCTCCACATCTCCGTAGCTAGACAGTGTAATTCCTAGGTAATTTGTCTCCATTACTTGCTCAATGCTGATACCGTCGATTTTCAGTTTACATCTAATTGGTTCTTTACTGATTACAATTGTTTTAGTTTTCTGTGTAGAGATCACCATATTAAAGTCCTTTGCCCTTATGTTGAATCTATGGGTTAGTCTTTGTAGATCGTCTTCATTGGATGCAATTAGGGCCGCATCATCTGCATATCAGAGTATTCTGATTTCTTTGTTCCCCATTTTGTATTCTCTTCCTTTATTAATAGTATTGATGATTTCATCCATGATTAGATTGAATAGCGTTGGACTAAGCGAGTCTCCTTGTCTTATTCCATTGACCATATCTATTGGATCTGTAAGCTGGCCATCTATTCTGACTTCCATATTGTTGTTCTGGTATATGTTCTCTATTGTTTTTATAACATCTAGTGGAATTTCTCTATCGTAAAGAAGGTGAATTACATTTTTAAGCTTTACTTTATCGAACGCTTTCTTCAGGTCTATTAGACATATGAATGCTGGTCTGTTATACTCTAGTGCTTTCTCGGTAATCTGTTTTATGATGAATACTGCATCTGTGCACGATCTTCCTGTGCGAAAACCCTGCTGTTCATCCGCTAAGGTAATTCTCTGATTTATTTGGCCTTGCAATATTTTGGTTGTAAGCTTCAAAGTGGTGTTTAATAAGTTGATACCTCTGTAGTTTTCAGGTTGTTTTTTATCTCCTTTTTTGTATAGTAGGATAAGCTCGCTTTTCTTCCACTCTTCAGGTATTTTATTATGTTTGATGATTTTGTTAATTTGTGCTGTTAGCTGTTCTGTTAATGCTTCTCCACCATATTTCAATAATTCATTTGGAATTCCATCTTTACCTGCAGCTTTTCTATTCTTCAGTTTTTCTAAAGTTTGTTTTACTACTTGTACGGTTATCTCGACTTCCTCGTTTGTAATGATTTCTGGTGTTTCTGGTTCTAACATCATTTGCTGTTCATCATTATAAAGCTTCTTTAGGTATTCAATCCATGTGTCGTTATCTATGTGTTTCGGTTCGATTAAGTCTTTCATCTCTGATCTTTGGCCTCTTATGAAACGCCATATTTCCTTTTGTAGACTGTAAAAGTCGTGTTCCATTTCTTTTGAGAAGCGTTCCCAGTGTTCGTTTTTAATTTTTCTTACTAGTGCTATTGTTTTGTTTCTTATCTTTTTGTAATTGTTGTATTCTTGTGGTGTTTTGTTAGACATGTATCTTAAGTAAGCTTTCTTTTTTTCTTTGCATTTTTCTTTCACTTCTGCGCAGAACCACGGAGTTTTCCGCTTTTGGAAATATTTATTTTTAAGAATTTTCCTTTCTTCTACAGCTTCTTTTGCTGAATCTAGAATGCTTGCTTTAATTTTTGCCAAGCTTTCTTCGATTCCATCACTTTCTACGATGTGCACGTTCTCGAGTTTATCTTTGACTCTCTTTTGGTATAGAAGTTTTGTTGATTCGTTCTGCAGACTCTCGACTTTTACCTTTGTGGTGTATTCTTCTTTTTTATTTTTATTGTTTTTATTGTTACATATGCGTGTCGTCATTCTGATTTTTCCAAGTATAAGCTTATGGTCGCTTCCTATTTCTGCAGATGTTAGTGCTCTTATGTCCAATACTTGAGAGGGATGTATTACCCTGTTCGTCAGGATGTAGTCTATCATTGACCTTTGACCTCTTGTATTTTCGAATGAGTATTTGTATTGTTCCTTGTGAGGGAAAAAAGTGTTGACGCGTAGTTCATTCGTGCTACATAGGTCCGTGAGGAGATCTCCATTTTCATTTCTGATGTCTTCGTTATGACGCTGTTTTATCCCTGGTACGATGTCGTTGCCAACACGGGCATTAAAGTCGCCCGTAACGATCATAAATTCATTTTTAGGGACTTCATTTATCGTGTTTTGGAGGGGTTCGAAGAAGCTTTCTCTTGTGTCTGCGTCTCTGTTGTTCTCTGGAGCATAAATGGCTATTATGTGTAGAGACTTATCATTTAGTTTGAGTTTTACGTAAACTGTTCTTTGTGAAATGTATTTTTTATGTATAGGTTTTTCTAATTAAAGTAAATAATTGTCTTTACCGACAGGCTTCGAAACTAATTAATTATATTAATTAATAATCTTCGAATTAAGAAATGGAAAAGATGGAATCGAGAGGTTTGGAGAGGAGCAAGTCTTGGACCGGGAGGATTGGCAGAAGAGAGCGGGAATACGGCGATAGCCGTCTTCAAAATGTATTGTATTTACAAGTTGAATCCTGTAATATATATAAGAAATGGAAAATAATGTCCAAAATTCTGTTTGGAAAAAACCGACATCCTGCCCAGATCTAAATATTGATAAGATTTAATAGTAGAGGTTATTTAGACTGTGATAACGAAGTTAGAATCCGTGGGGGGAAACGAAATGTGACGAGAAGTGTAATTAATAGTAATGGTACTTAAGTATAATTTTTTTAACTTTATTGTGAAATTAACAATATATTTTTTAAGAGGTTAAAATACGAGCAATATTTCTATATATTACATATTACAACAACATTCTTGTAGTACGTATGTTTCTATGTATTAAATAATACTACATTATTCTCGTAAGTAATTACCGCATTGTGAGTTAACTTCTACTTTTGAGCAATAATGTATCTCTTAATACATAAATATATATGGATCATCAGAGACCTAAGTTTAAGATAAAACTCTGACTATAAACGTATTTATTCTTTCTAAACTAACAACTCCATAAAATTTATGCCTACATACTTCATCTGCTTCAAATTATCTCACGTTTCACACCAATAACTACTTACTTTTAGAAAGATCCTTTAAATTAGTTATTCTTTGTCTTAATCTATCAGAATACGCTTGTGCAAGATCGGATTGAGTTACAATGCTATCCCCTATCTCAGGCAGTATAAGTTTTTGAGCTTGCTTTAAAGATTCTTTGGCACTGTCCAAATGATCTCTTGTTTCTTTTATACCATTTATAATGGCTTCATAGGCTCCACTAGCGTTAATTTTTTTCCATTCGTCTTTCGTAAAGTTGAACATACTAAAAATATGAACGATATATAAATGTATATAAAAAACTATAATAAGTAAATGATAGTAACATTAATGTCCATATTAATAACAATGCACTACAAATGTCATTGTCAAAAAAAGCAAAGGGAAAAATAATATCAGCCAGTGTAGGCTTGTATTATTTTCTGGCTTCAACAATATTTTGCACCACTAAAAGCTATTAAATCATAAGAGGGAAGCTTTTTGTAGACTACCAAGTGTCTCCACAAACATATGGTAGTCACACACTAGACTTATAAAAGCTGGTGAGTGTTTCAGACTTCCGGCATTGGATCACATGAATAACTGAAAGATTAGCCAATTAGTTACAGTACTAAAGAGTTTTACAGTAACAGTTTACAGTAACAAATAGCATCTGAGGAAAAAAATACTATAATACCGTAATTTACTAATGGGATTTAATTAAGGGGTCAACACATCAAGAAGGAAAGATCGCGAATGATAAAAAAACAACAAGGAAAACATAGCAAGATCCAGAAAACTCTACAAATTGGCTGAGTTCTAAAAAACTAACTTAAGCACTAAAAAATACAGAGACAAAAGACATTAACAAGTTAAATCAGGCATTAGTAGAAACACTAATAAAGGCAACAATGGAACAATGCTCAAAGCCAGACAAAAATAATAAAATCCACTTCCACACCACATTAAAACGAAGAGAGTTGTTCTATACTCAACCTAACACACTAACACCTTAAGAAATAGGTTCTATCAATAAAGTATATAACAAACATGAAATCCTTACAACAGTTGAATAGTTCTACCGAGGATCTTATAAAAGTCAACAAAAGATGCATAACACACTCGAATAGAAAGAAAACAGAAGAGGAGTGGTTAACTAGGGTTCAGTAACATACCAGATATTACCAAACATGAAATGAAACATGCGTTTCAAAAAAAGACAAATGGGAAAGCTCTTGGAAAAGTTGGTATAGTAGTGGAGACTATTAAAGTGAGAGAAGTTCTTCCTTAAAAAAATTCAGTCTATTCATTTATCAATGTCTAGATTACAGTATAATTACAAGCGATTAAAACAATGTTTTAATAATATTAATCTATAAAAAAGAGACGGAAATCGAAGATTCCTAAGTCACCTGTAGATGAGAAAATAAAATAAAATTAGGTATATTAGATAATAGAACAGGCCGGTTTTCGCTTAGGTTTCCTTAATAGAAAAAACCATAGAATACCATCGTCCACTAGTACTAGTTTTAGTACTGTACTTCTAACTCTGTCCCATAGTGTTTTACTATCAATTTTTCTAAGTGTTTTCATCTCTGCTGTTTCTAATATCCTTTTTCTCCTATCTGTCAGACAGGGTGGGCCGACAAAATTTTTTCTGGAAAATAACAACGCCTGTGGTCAAAAAAGTTGAGTTATACTAAAACACAAATTTTAAGTCCAAAATGAGTAGCTAAAAATATTTTTTTCCACTGCCACAAAGACTCTATATTTTTTTAATATAAAAGGTCATTGTGGCAGTGGAAAAAATAAAAAATAATAATTATTTCAAACGCAGAACTTTATATTTTTTTATTATATAATTTTTGAAACATCAGGGTTATTTATTTTGTAACTTAAAAAAATTTAAATAAAATCTGTATTGTTCTGGCGGTTTGATGCATACTTTATAACGTATAGCAAACTTTATTTGCGTATTTTTCCACTAACTAATAAGTAGAGAAAAATTTATTTTAGGGACCTACTTCAAAGAGTGTGCCGAAATTCCCCAATAACAATAAAGTAGACGTTAGTATAAACAAAGTTAATATTACCGATTATAATATATTATCATTCTTAAAATAACGTGACATTGGAGGTCAACGCTTCGCTTATGCTGCAGATTTTGCAGTGGTGTAAGTGTAAACCAATATTTCAATCAATTAAACCGCCTAGCGACCCTTAAATTATTTTTAGTGTTTTACCGACAGTTGAGTAAAATACCTGTACGATATTTGTCAAGCAGTGAAAAGTGGTGCTTGTTCAGAAAAACTTTCTAAGAGACAGCCTGGAAAAATGGTTCATTCTCGGTGGCTTACCACTGTTTCCCGTATCCTTCGGTTATACGTAGCAACCAGAAACCTATCGGAAAATTTACAAATACTAAGCCATTTTGTAATGAAAGTGTATGCGCCCATGTGATTTTGTATTAAGACTCACCCGTCATGCATTTATGGTGCAAGGCATCTATTCAAGACAATAAGACTCTGCGACTATTTAGTACCAGAATTGAAAGACATAATCTATAAATGTATTCAAAGAAATGGATACTTTGGGAGCCCAGAAAATATTATTTTGGCTATGTTGTTTGATAAACGTAAACACATAAGACAATTGGGGTTCCAAAGAATTTTGAAGAGCAGACAGTTAAATTACAATGATCAGCGACATTTCGTAGTACCAAAATTATTTTTTGGCAGTAAGGATTACTTTGAGATTATCGAATGCCAGAAAGTTTTATGGACAGAGCCTCCTGTAACTATGAAGCTATCAAAAGACCAACTAAGGGAAGTTGTTGAAAATCCTAAAACCAGTCTTTTGGCATACGTAAAATCATACCCTTGTCACACACAAGCGGCTGAGAGGGCCGTCAAAATAGTAACAGAAGGTTCAGCTTCTGTCTGTGGAAGTGAAAAAGGAGACGGTTATATAAGGAACAGGCTGAAATCAAGGGACAATATGCCTAAATATGAATTAAAGAAAGACTTTTTTTTTAAATAATGTGATTGTTACTTTTGAAAGACATTCTGTTTTGTATCGTTATATATTTATAGATAAACTATTTTTGTATTTGTATTGTTGTATTATGTGTTCAAAACAAATTTAGTTTTAATATAAATTATTTTTTTGTATGCAAAAAATAAATCTACCATACAATACATTTTTTTTTTGAAAAATTATTAATTTTATACATCGCTGTGGCAGTAGAAAAAAAAATTAGTTGTCAAAAAAAAATAATATGATCAAATTTATCGTATAAAACACTTTTTTTTACTCAGGCAACCATAATAAATTAAAAAAAAACGAATTTGACATAATATTAAATGATTGAATTTTTTCGTAAAAATCTCGTTCTTGGTCTGTGGCAGTGGAAAAAAATTAAATTAATTATAAAAAAAAACACTGTGAAATAAGTTATCTTATCATACATCTTTTCTGGTGTCAGGCAAATCAATTAAAAAAATAAAATAAAAACACATTACTCAACGTCCCACCCTATATTCTTTCATTCAGGCAACCTGTGACTTTGTTTACTCTATTCACTTGATCTTCCACTTCCGTTTCGAAATTTTCGTAGCTAGATAATATGATGCCTAGATATTTAAACACTAAACAAGTAAATTTTCTGTTATAACCATGCATTTTGTCTTTTTTGGGGAAATTAACATGTTAAATTTTCTGGCGGTTAAATTAAATTGGTGCAGCATACGTTGTAAATCATTTTCACTTTGAGAGAGTAGTATTGCGTCGTCTGCATAGCAGATTATTTTAAGTTATTTTTCTCCCTTTTGGTATCATTTTCTTAGAAAATCAAGAGAAAAATTCATGAAAAAACTAACGAGTTCCGATTGGAGGGAGGCATAAGATAAGGAGACCCGATGTCACCCAAGCGCGTCACAGAAATTCTGGAGTGTGATTTCAATAAAACTCAATTAGAACAAGACCGGGATAAATATCGACGATATCGTCCTTATTGCCAATGATTAACATTCATCAGATGGCGCAAAATCGGACTAAGTGGAAAAGCATGCGAGAGGCCTATGTTCAGCGGTGGACCTTAGAGGCTAGTTGATGATGATGATGAACATAACGTCGAAATAATGCTTAATGAACTTTCACAGGCAATCAAAGAAGTGAGATTGCAAATAAACAAAAGTAAAACAACTTTTATAACAAACTTGGTCATCGGTGAGCAATACAATTAGAAGAAGTTACACAATACAAATATCTTCTTCATGACTTAAAGATCATCAGATACCACCCGGCACAAGAAATACAAAGAAAAATTGGTCTAGGTTGGGCTTCGTACGGCAGATTAATGGACACATTCAATAGTGAAATCCCTAAGATATACAATCATGCGTGCTTTCAGTTACAACATATTTATGCAAGATATGTAGCACGGCTCAGCAATGATAAATGGACTAAAATATTGTTGGAATGGAGACCAGTGGAGATAATAGAAGTCAGGGAAGACCACCAATGCGATAGACGATGACATACTAAGATTATGGTGATAATAATAATGATGATTTTCTTGTAAGTATACGAAAACTAAATTTTTTAACATTTTCGACATGTTTAGAATTGTTTAGACTGCCCAAATATTTGGATGATTGACGACAATATATGATCATAGAATATAAAGTTAAACGTACAATAAACGACAAACTTATAAATAGACTTCGGCAAATATGCATATTGCATATTTTGCATATTGTGCATATTTTATGCAAATATTTCATATTTTGGCATATTTGTATAAAGGTTTGCATAAAGTGCATAAAAGTTCAGATTTTTATACTGTATTTGAAAATTTTTAAACATACCAATTTATTTCAATTCTTGTATAAAATTTTGTAGTCATTTTAATCAAGAAATGATCTAAGTACGTAATCTCTACAGGTACAAAACATTTACAATTTCAAAGAAGATCAATTTAAGTAGCCCTCAACATTCTTAAAAAGTCTCGGTCACTGAGGCATTCAGTTATTGGATAATCGCTAAGGGTTCGCTCATTTGCATTTTATGATCTAATCCCCAAATCTATCTACAATTGATTGTATCTTAACAGCAGGTAAACGGCTAATAGATTTGTTCCTAATTTAGGGATTTTCCAAAATCTCCCAGTTTATTGAATTAGGTACCTAAACATTTCTAATTTGATGCTCAGATTTGTAAATCATTTTTGTTTTGATATTCAAAGCGTAAACACTCGTTGTGCGTAACAAAAAGGAAGATTGTAATTTGATAATGCCTAAAACAACCAGTGCTTCAACTTGGATTAAACCTTATAAAGAGCTGTCTATGGATATGGGAAAAAGCTACTGTTCAGTCTGTGGCAAAATTGTAAGTATCTAATATTTTCTATTAAATATCTAATATTTCATACATACAGGGTGTTTCCAAATGACACTTACAACGTTTGACTGTAGATACTTCTCGAAAATTGAACAAAACGATATAGTTAATGAGGGGTCAAACTTATTTACTTTTCGAGATACAGGGTGTTAAAATTAAAAAAAATTACAACAAAAAAACAACAATAACTTTAAAATCAATAAACGTATTTACTTGAAATTTAGTACTCGTAGGTTGTTTTTAAATGAAAAATAGCTTCCTTTAGTGAGAAAAATTGTCCATGGTACAATACAATGGTGTGTATTTAGAAAAAATTTTTCACCTTTACTTTTTTTTATGAAGTCAGCTATTCTAAAACACAATTATTTTTATTTTAATTGAATTAACAAAAAAAAAACTTTTGTTGAATTTTAAAAAAAGTTATATGATGTACTAATGGTTAGTAACAAAAACTAATTTGTGGATTAATACTGCATTTAAAACACTTAGCGAGTGTTTTTTTTCCAAACCAGTTATTTGATTAACCAAAAACACCTTGTATATTTTTATATTTTAAAGGTTGGGTTAAAATAAAGGTTTTTGTTTTTATTTATAGATAGCATGTGAGAAGACATTTCAGATAGACCAACATGTGAGAACTGCTTCACACATTGCAAAAAAAGGAAAAATAGGAGGAAAACATCAAACTTCAATGGCTAAATGTTTCCAATCTACTTCAAAAAAATTAGATGAGCAAGAAACTTTTAATGAAGACTTGTGTCGCGCATTAGTGTCTGCAAACATACCGCTTTCAAAATTAGCAAATGTAAATTTTAGTTCGTTTCTAAAAAAATATTGCAAACTTAACGTTCCAAGTGATCGGTCTCTAAGAAGAAATATTGTGAACGGGCTATACTCGTCGGTGTTAATTAATATTAAAGAAGAAATTGCAGATAATTATTTTTACATATCTGTAGACGAAACCACTGATTCCTCAGGAAAGTATATTGCTCATTTATTGATTGGTGTTCTTAAAGAAGATACCTTACCAAAATCTCATCTTATTTCATGCCAGCAACTTGAGAAAACAAATGCTTTAACAATTTCGCGTTTTATACAAGAAACATTAGCAACGTTTTTTCTTCCGACAACTATTCCTTCTAATAAATTACTGCTTATTTTATCGGATGCTGCTCCTTATATGGTGAAAGCAGGACAAAATTTAAAAATATTTTTCCCAGATTTAATACATGTTACTTGTGTAGCGCATGGATTAAACAGAGTTGCAGAGGAAATACGAAAAAAGTTTCCTCTTGTAAATACCATGATATCCAGTGTCAAAAAAGTATTTTTTAAATCTCCTATAAGAATTCAACTTTATAAAGAAATGCTACCTAACATTCCTCTTCCACCACAACCTATTTTAACGCGATGGGGAACATGGTTAGAAGCAGTTAATTTTTATGCAGATCATTTTGTTAAAATAAAGAACATAATTGATACGTTAACAGATGAAAGTTCCCAATCTCTTTTGGATTCTAAACAAACTTTTCAGAGTAACTTGCTTCAACAAGAACTTTCATTTATAAAATCAAATTTTAGTTTTGTTCAAAAAACAATTACTCATTTAGAATCACCAAAACTGTCATTGTTCGAAAGTACAGCGTTAATAAAAGAATTTGCGTCATGTTGTCGGAACGTTAGAGGTAATATTCGAAAAGATATTTTAAAAAAATTTGAAGCTACTATGGAAAAAAATAAAGGTTACCATATTCTTTCTGAAGTACTTAGTCAGTGTTCTAGCTGGAAATATTTCGGAAACAATTAATTTAGAACCAAATGTTTTGGTTAGTTTGAAAAATGCTCCCGTTACATCAGTTGATGTTGAACGAAGTTTTTCCATATATAAATATATGTACTCAGACAGAAGCCACAAGTTTTTGTTAGAAAATTTTGAACACCACTTGGTCATTTATTGTTACCATAATTCTAAATAAGTTTATTCATACTTAAAAATGATGTAGTTACTTAAAATAAATGTAAATCTTAATGAATAGTAGGAAATATTTAGTTATGTACACTTTTTTTTAAATAAAATTGTTACTATTTTTCGATTTTTTTATTTATTTGTATGCATATTTTGTAAAATATTTGCATATTTTCGGGTAAACACGTGCATATTTATGCGCATATTTTCTACATTTTTATTTGCATATTTGCCGAAGTCTACTTATTAATGTACAAAAACAAAATGAGTCGAACGAAAAGTTAAAATTGATGTTTGTTAAACAAAGTTACCCAAATTATATAAGTTAAATAAGTACATTTTAAATTGTACTAACCTGTGATAATCTTCAACTTTTGTTTCCAACTCTTGAACATGTTCCACAGCCTTGTCATATAAATTTTGTGCTTTAGGTATTTCTTCCATTTGGCGTTTCACTCTATTATCTAGTTCCTCATATTCTGCAAACTTTGATATATTTATCAAGTCAGTGTAAACTGTTTCTAACGCTTCTAGGACGTCCTCGGTAGCGTTTAGTTTATTTACAATATCGCTAAAGGTATTAGTGAGTTGCTTATTCTTGCCTTTCATTATTTCAAATTTTTCCTTGACCGATTCTAAACGTTGGGCATTTAGTGTATTTTTATTATCTGCTTTTTTGGACAAATTGTCTGTATATGATAGCTGATCGAAAAGAGCATTTAATTTATTTTTTAAATCTTCGATATTTCGTGGAGGTGTTTTCGGAACTTTGCCATATATTTGGTCAACTTTTAAATTAATCGAAGTGCAGTACTCGAATATTTTTTTATCATTTAATTTTTCTATCGTTTTTGAACGCTGTTGGATTTCTTTTAATATCTTACGGGCTCTGGTTAATGCGTCTTTCAAACTAACCTGTTTTGTTCCAAAGTTGTCTAAAGAATCAATAATGCTTATTAACTTTTTACTGGCTTCCCCAGTTTCTTTCAGCAGTTTACTTGAACCTTCAGTCAATTTGTCAATGTTGTTGATATTATCTTCTAATATTTCATTGTTCTGAATCATTTTCTTTTCAAGCGCCTTAATTGTGGCTTCGTATTTATTAATGTCGTTCGACTCTAACAGATTTTTGAACTCAACGTCTTTCTGGTTATACTTTTTGGATAACATGTTATGTTTATTTAGACGATCGGTCAGATTCCTCCATGGTGGCCCAATACCATCTTTAAACATCTCGTAAACATTTTCTATATCTATTTTCATGTTATCGATTTCATCAAATAGTTTCATAGTGCATTCATCACAAGCTAAAATAAAAATGTTAATATTATGATTAAGTTATTACTATTACATAATTATTAGTACATATTACATACAAATAGTCAGGCCATGGATTTCGGAGGGTGCGGGGTTTGCAATGCTATATATCGTGCCCTCAGTTCTCCATGCTATGGCATGCTGGACGAGCCTTACAGTCTGTAGTCACTACCCCGATGTATGAGCGGGAACACAATAAGTATAAATACTCATATGCCCATGAATCACACCTGGCGAGTCATGACGGCATTCATATTTCACTCATCTTCAACTGGTCTTGGGTGAAATGTCCTTTAATCTATCCTATCAGCCTCTCTTGGCTAACTCTTGTTTCTTGTTTCTTCCGACCCCGAATGGCGATTAGGTTTCCGAAGGCAGATGGTTCACTATTTTATTCACACTATCCTTTCTTCTCTCCTAAACTGAGGAAGACATCAGCGAGGATGTCGAAAGCTCGGCCCGGAAAGCGACGCGGTTCAACCCGAAAGACTGGTGAGTTTAATATTAATTTTTGTAATAGTATTAATCTTAGCTCTAGGTTTCATTATGATATTTAATGTAGATTTGATTAGCTGAAATATTCAAATTTATAGTTAAGTTATCACTTACATTTACAGACGCCTCCTTCGATATATTCTCTTTCTTTAACACATTGGTTACATTTGTCACCAGTGAATCCTTCTTGACAAGTACATCGTCCTTCTTTATCACACAGACCCAAATCCCCGGGAACAATACCGTACTTATTACAGTTACAGGATATACACTCTGTAGAATTTTTGGGAGAGTAATAGTTTCTGTCGCATTCGTCGCAATGTTTTCCAGTGTAACCTATAACATAAATTAACGAATTAAGCAGCGATTGAATCTACTAAAAGCTAAAAAGAAAACTAGATAATGGTGGGAACCGTATAAATTAAGAAACTGTCCCAGATTTTTTGATATACTCGTATTCGTTTATTTGGTATATCCGCCACGAAGTTTGAACTTCTATTGTCCATGTTTGAACATAGACCTCTCCCAACTCCTTCCATCGGTCTCTATCCTGAGCAAGATATTTCCAATTTATTCCATCTATTCTTTTAATGTCATCAACCCATCTCATCTGTGGTCTTTCTCTTGGTCACCTTACTTTCGTAAGGTCTCCAGTGTTGTATTGTAGTATTCCAACGTTGGTAGTTTTGTCTAGCAGTGTGGCCAGCGAAGCTCCATTTAAGTTTGGCAATTTTTGTTGTTATGTCCTCGACTTTTGTTTTGGATCTTACCCAGTCGTTCTTCTTTTTATCTGACAGTCGTGTACCTAACATTTCTCTTTCCATTGTTCTTTCTGTTGTGGTTAGTTTATTCATGTTTGCCTTGGTTAGGATCCAGGTTTGATATCCATATGTCATGATAGGAAGGATGTATTGGTTGAACACTTTGCTCTTCAAGTATTGGGGTATTTTGCGGTTCTTAAGTATCCAACTAAGTTTTCCAAATCCTTTCATCAATATTTTTATACTTACAGCATACAACATATGCATTATAAAAACATGCCAACACTGCCAAACTAAAATATTTTCTTCCATGGTTGAAATTTGCGGCTATGTTCAGCTTATACTTTCGTTAAAGTTTACCCCGACGACCCCGACTATCATAATATTAAACTTTTTCTTTGCTATAAGTTCTTTTAGCAGTATTGTTTATTTCGGTGAAGATGGAATATAGGTATTAAATCTTTGGAACTTACCTAATTTGCACTGACAGACAAAACCACCATCATTTTCTGGTCTACAACTTTGTGCATTATTCTGTTGAGCTGATGGACAAAGGCAAGGTTTGCATGTTTCTTCTGGATCAAGATAATAACCCTCTTCACATATTTCACAATGTTCTCCAGTTGTGTGATCGATACAATTCTATAAAAGAAACACAATATTGAGTTAGTTTGTTAAATTATTAATATTGAAAAAATAGTGACACGCTATTGTTCTATTATTGAGTTATAAAACTAAACATCAAAGACTTCAAATTGAATTTTAAAAATCAACATAACCGTAATTCAATATGCTATAGATAAAAACTAAGATAAATAAGCATAACTTAAGATTTTACCTTGCAATGGCCAGTTTCTGGATCACACTCGTTTGAGTGTCCTCTGCATTCACATTGTTTAGCTATTCCAATAACACGGTCTATCCAAGATAGTTCTGGATCCTTAGGAAAATAACGATAGTATCCTTCGTTTGGATCTTCACAAGAAAGCCCTTTGTATTCAGGTGGGCATTCACATTTTTCTACAGAATGTGTTATTAGATAAGCTGATACTTCGTTCTTTGCTTTATCCAGAAGGACTTCCTTAATTCTTAAAAACAAACTTAAATTAGAAAAATTATTGTGGTTTAACTACACTGTCGACATTATGTCAATTAAATAAATATGATTTTTGTTCGCCCAAATAAATATGAGTTTTAAGGTAAATCGTCTACAATTGTCACAGTAGATTGTAGGTGATAATGAAGCTGTTAAAAGTGGAATAAATATACTTAACAACAAAAAAGTGAGCACCCTAGTACAGATTAATTTAGTGCAGAATGGGTCATCTTTAATTGCAGTGGGTATAGCTGAACACGCCCCTAAGTCACAATAAGTTTTTACCTTTTTTATGTATCCTGCAACACCAGACAAAAACTATGCTGAATATTTTAATGATGGTGATCTACACACGGGGAAAACACTTGTTATCATTTTTATTTTTCTTCTACATGTACCCAGTGCAGTGTAGTGCTAGCGTTTTTTGAAAGGGCATATCCCTTAAAGTATTTTTTGCATGTTTTAATAACCATTATTTTATATACAACATTAAATTTGAATGTAGCTAACGTTCAATATTAAGATGGGTTTACAACTCTGCGTGGGTCAAAAACTTCTCAAGAACTTCTTCCAGTCAACAAAAATACAGAAGGTAAAGTTGTATCAGAAATATTATTATATTCTGTAAAATTTTACGATAACCTGTAAACACACCAATAAACATGAAGGTTACCACTTTTTATCGAATGAGAGTTGAATTCTAATAGAAAAAAATCAGACGGATCAGACAAGTTGTGGCGATGTTAAAAATGTATTGGTCTGTATTAACAAACAATTTTGGAAAGTAGTACAAACGTTTCTCACTTTCCGAATTCTAGATGTTTGGAATTAATCACTTTTAATAAATTCAAAAATAATTTTCAATCAACAAGAAATCTCTCAAATACTAACCTGTTATTAGCTTTTATAATAAATAATGTAACGTCCTGCAGAATAACCATAAAACAAGATCTACTCAATTTATCAACACATTCAGTGGGAAAATCCGAATTATTGGAGGAAACTATCCAGTTACCAAACTCTGTCGATTCGGTCATTTGTAGATCATTGTGATTTCCTAGGGATCTTATTTGAACATTGTTTCCCTCTAAAATTACGTCAAACCTGCCTCCGGAATTATCCACCGCTAAGTAACCGCCGTAAGAAGGGGTTATATCACCCAAGAATGATTTTGGTAAACTTAATTCGTCTTCAGTTACCTAGAAATTAATTTTATCATTAGTATATTAAAATTTAATTTGTAGAGATAGTTAAAATAAAATAGTACTGGAAACAATTTTTTATAGATATACAGATCGATTTTAATGAGACGCATCTTACAATTTTTTTAACATTGTAGTGAAGAAACCTTTAATTGATGGAATGTATTATGTAGAAATATATTTTGTTAATTGTCTGTGTATTGACCTATACTGAACACTTTTCAGCACAATAAAACTTCTCAGTATAGAATATACATTTATTAATCAACTTCTAACAAATAGAACCTTTAACGTACGAAAAAATGGCAAAATATCTATGACTTTCAAACACACTGATAGCGTTTCCCAAGGGTCGGTATTGAGCTATAGTTTTTATGCTTGCTTTAAACGCTATACGTTTTTATGCTTTAAATTTGAGCTATACGCAGATGATTTAATAATTTTCTGCTGCGGCAAAGACACTGTTGCTTCAGAATTCTACTGACCAATTGCTTGAATGGACTGCAGTGAGTGGATTTAATTGTTCTGTTAAGATGACAAAATCATAAGTTTTCTTACAGGGCAGCCAGTACTATAAATAAGTAATCGATTCGACTGTTATTTGATGTAAATTAAAACCCTGAAAAGTTTTCAACACTTCCATAAAATTTATTATAAATTATTATCACTACAGCTGTTTCGGCAGAGTACCTTTCTCAAGTGATATAATTTTGGTATACGATTACACGGTCTTTAACTGAATAACTTGAGGAGCGGAGAATTGTTTATCTTAAATTGGTTATTCGGTATTATTCCTGTATTTTTTAATTTGTTAATTTTCATTGAGCTTCCAGTCAAGTTTGCACTCTACGCAGATGATTCAATTTTTTTCTGCCGAGGCAAAGACACTGTTGCCACTTGCAAACTACTTCAGAATGCTACTGACCAATTGCTTGAATGGACTTCAGTAAGTGGATTTAACTTTTCTGTTGAAAAGACAAAAATAATTAAGTTTTCAGCATTCACATTCGACAGCAAACTTACTTGGAAATGCCATTTAAAAGATCTCAAAACTAAGTGTATGACAAATCATAACTTTTTAAAAACTCTGTCTAATCATCATTGGGGTGTAGACGAAGACTCCTTGCTTCAGATTTATAGATGTCTTATTGGTTCTAAAATAGACTACTGCAGTTTCATTTATATGTCAGCTAGCCCATCACATTTAAAACTTCTAAATTCTGTACACAACACTGCACTCCGAATATGTCTTGGAACCTTCAGGTCGAGCCTAGCAAAGAGTTTATACAGAGAAGCTAATGAACTTCCCCTCTGACTACGTCGCAGGCAACTCCTTTTACCACATCTGAATAATATCGATCTTTCAGCCACAACTCCAATATTAATATCACCTAAACCTCCCTGGAATAAATTGATAGCAGATTTTAATCTCTCTTTAACTAAATTATGATCAGCAGCAGAAAAACCCACAATTACTTAGACAAACCTTTAAATAATTAATTGCTAACAGAACAAATTTGCAGTCGTATTTTAAAAATATCATCCAAATGTTTTGGCAAGATCATTGGAATAAAATCCCTTCCAAGCTTCGTGACATCCATCCCAGCGTCAAAAAGCTTGAGTTTCCTTCCACTGTGGTAATATTCTATCTGTTAAACATATTCTCGTAGACTGTCCCCACGTTAACAACGAAACAAAAAAGAATCTGTTGAGTCGAAACCTACAAAATATTCTCAGTTCACCAGATCAATTCCAAAACCTTACTAATTTCCTCCATGAAACCAAGCTTTACCAGGAAATTTAGAAGAAGAAACGTAGTTTAGAAATTGATAATTAATAATTGTACCAATATTTAATGTATTTATTTACTAATTGTAATGTTACTGTATATTCTTGTAATGTAATGTAATAAAATTGTACCTGCGTCAGTGACCTACGCTGTCAAGACACGTAAAGCTAAAGGTTTTAGCAGATTTAAGTGAGTAAGATACTAAGCAATCAGAAGCGTTTACTGAACTAAATTTGATTTTTTAACTTTTAATAATTGGACTATAGAATGTTGGAAAAATGTTACATTGTTTTGAAGATGGATCTGCTTCAGGTGAAATATACTGTGGGAACTGATAGATATTTGTCTTCTAAAACTAAGAATGTGATTATATACAGGCATAGACTCACTAATTTTTAGAAATTCTATAGAGGAAACTGGAAATAAACCGTTTTTTTCTAACCCATTGATTATCAAGCCGTGCGGTATTGTAGGACATACGTTGGAGGGAACAAGTCGTTCCGCTGGTGTAACTAACCTTCTTGCTCAAGAAGAAGCATCTCAAAGAACTTCATCGTTTGGCTATTTTGCGTTGGTAAATACAGAGCTACACAAAGTTTGTAAACATGCATTTTACCGTGCATGTCGTACATGTGCCTTACCTGCATTACCTGTGCCGTGCACAAACACGGCATAAGTTCTAAAGCAGTACAACGCTTACAAGTTCTTTTGCAACTCGAAAATACTCCTAAAGATTTAAGGGGTTTACAGAATAATAGAAAAACTATTCCTGGTAATATTATGCACATTGTACGTGAGCATATTTCTTCATTTTCTGCCAAAAAAAGTAATCATTCATCCAAAGGACATCAATACTTAGACTCAAAGCTTCATGTAAAAATTATGTAAAAGCATGCTGGAGGTGAGGCTAAATATTCAACATATTATATTTTTAAAGAGCATTTTGACTATAAATTTGAGCGACCGCAAGTCGATTTACGCTGCCAATGTGAAGAACTTAATATTAAATGCACAAGTTCTTCTTTGAATGAAACTTTAGAAGAAGACTTTACTTCGATTCCAGTTCAAAATATTTTTTATTTACGTCAGCTATTAGCATTTCCATTCAGTATTCATAATTTTAAAGACAACAGTGCCCAGTTCTTTCTTTATCATGAAGGCGTGGTTAAAAAAGGTACAAATGAAACTTGTTTTTTTTATTTTCAACCATCTAAAGGAAAACATACCTACCGCAGTAAAAGAACTTCATCTCTACAGTGACAGCTGTGGTGGCCAAAATAAAAACAATGATATAATCCGATTTTACCTTGTGCTTACTGACACAGAAATGTTTGAAAAAATTGTCCACAAATTATCAATTATTATAAAAAATTATCAATTAAATCTGATTCTGAACTTAGAAAGGTTTTATTTGAAATTAATGAAAATAGCATTGCCAAAAAATTCGTATTATTGTAATAAGCCTTCCTAATTTGTCGCAGTACGATTCTAATAAGCCTTATAGATGATAAACATTTGAATCAGTTTGACTTGGATATCATTCCACAAATTAAGCTGCATTGTAACAAATGATCCGACATTAACACCATCTTAAAACGAAAATATTGTTTTCAACATATATGTCAACTATATTGCAGTGAAAGATACGTGACAAGGCTGTAATTGAAAAAAAATTATCCACGAAGTTACAGGAAAGACTAGTGTAACAAAAGTTTACCAACACTTACCTGATTATCTTCCTCCAATGTTCGTTCTAATCTTGTCGACTTATTCCAGTGATAGAGAGCGTCTGTACATGTGTAACTTCTTCCGAAACAGAAACATTCTGTACAACCCTTAGTGTTTTCTTTTGAAAGTCCGTAATGGTTATTTTTGCACTCGTTACAGTATTTTCCTTGGACATTTTGCTAAAACATTTACTATTATTCACCATTTAAATTGTATAAGTGTTGTAAGTTTCATTTTGTAGTGTATAATTAATATAATGCTAAATTTATTCAATGACTAAAAAAATCTGACAAATACGGAAATCCGTTCAATTGTACCGTAATTTTCTACGTCATCAAATTAAATTAGTTTTCTACTTTCTTAATTTAGAATTTAGTTAGGAGATCGTCAAAAGTCTTCTCGAATTAGATAGTCCTGCTTCTGTTTCGAAGCAAAGTCATGGAAGTGTGCGATCAGTAAAGAGAAAAAACTTCACAACAGGTGGATCTTAATGGTGTTACACCAAAGATTAACGTTTCTAGCAGAAGATCTAGACGGACTCGCCGCAGAATCAGACATTTTTAAAGAGAACAAAATCATCATTTGTTTTAGTTAAAAAAAATACTGTCAGTACTTTTTTGTGGACTTTATGCTATTATGAAATTGGAATATTAGCTAGGAACAGGTCTAGCAAATATCATGTTGGAAATTAACCACAATTATAAAGTAAACCTTTCTCTGGTTTTTAAACCTTTATTAAATTTTTATATACCATTTTCTTAATTATTGATTGCCATATAAATAATGGAGCTGCCATTTAATCTGATCTATTAAGCTGTACGATGTTTTTAACATTAAAAAAGTTCTATATTGCTAAATTAATAACAACAATTCACGATTTCTTTATGGTAGGTAATAATACGAAGTACCAAAACTGAGTCAAAATTTCAGTGTAAAGCTTATAATTAGAAACTAATACAAACTTTGTCTTACACCTAGAACTAATGCAAAGAAATTAAAAAAGCGAATCAGTAAGTATACGTGATGCAAAATATCAATTCCGAAAAATTCAAATTACATGAAATATTAGCAACATCAAAAGACTTACCTTGCATTTACAAGATCCATCATTATTACATTTGCAAAGACCGTCTTTACACTGTTCTCCGTCAGTGCCGATGGGATCGCAATTACATTTTTTGCAGTTGGGATAATCATAGTAGCCGAAACTACACGAACTACATTTTTTACCTTCAAACCCGATCTTGCAAGTACAAGTTCCTGTGTTGGTGTTACATTGCTGACTAGAAGAACCAGTAATTGAGCAATTACAATGCTGAAATAATTAGAATGTGTTAATAGTATTACTATCACATACATTTAGTTAATTACAGTGGCAGTGACCGCTGAGAAAAAGCTATATTTTAGAATAAAGATGATTATGTTGTATTTGGTCTGGTTTTACAAATATAATACCGCATATATTAGCATATGCATCGAAGAGCTTTCTTCTTCTTCTTCTTTCGAACGAACTTCTTTCTTCGACGAGCTTTCACTTAAGTATAAAAATTAGGAGTCTAAGTAACCATAACTGTAACAATTAATTCAATTGCCAAATACATATATAGATAAAGAAGAAGAAGTAGGAATCTAAAAACTGAAAAAGTTCAAAATTATTTCTTCAAACTTTGAAACTTGTTACTCAATCCTACTTTGAGACAAGGGCGGATTCAGGACCGATTTTAGAAAATTTTTAAAAATTAGAGTTAAAATGGTTTTTAACCATTTTAGGTCACTCTTGAGTGCCATAAAGACATTGAAATTGCCTATTGACAGGTCCCAATTATATTCGGCGATGATCGAATTAGGAATACCAAAAGGTTTGGTAGAATTAATTAAAATCACAATGATGAAAGTCGAATGTAAAGTGCGCGTACAAGGGGATGTTTCAAAACCAATTAAAACCAACAGAGGACTGCGCCAGGGAGATACGCTATCATGCATATCATGCATGTATACAAATAATGGCATACGCTGATGATATCGTCATAATTGGAAGAACCCAAAATGAAGCAGTAGAGGCTTTCACACGTATCAAAAATGCCGCAGAAAACATCGGACTTCTGATAAACATCCAGAAAACTAAATATATGCCATCCATATCAAGAATTCAACAAAATAACTTAGAGGTGCAAGACGAAACGATAGAAAAGGTAGAAGAATTCTGCTACTTAGGATCACTGGTAGACTACAAAAATAACACATCCAAAGAGATAAAAAAAAAGCGTAGCTAACCGCTGTTATTTTGGCCTGGGCCCTCAACTAAGAGCGAGAAGTATGTCAATAGCAACAAAGTGCAAACTTTATAAAACAATAATACGCCCAGTGCTCATATACGGATCGGAAACATGGGCAATGACGACCCGAGATGAAGAGTTACTACGAGTCTTTGAAAGAAAAGTATATATAGCGGAGTAAACGAACAGGGTCTGTGCAGAAGGCGATATAACTTTGAACTTTATAGACTTTTTGGTGATGCAGATATTGTGAAGACCATCAAAATAAACCGCCTAAGGTGGGTGGGTCACGTTATGCGGATGAATGAGAGTGATCCCACTAAAATAACCATGCTAAACAGGCCGGTCGAAAGAAGAAGAAGGGGGCGACCTAAACTCAGATATCTGGACGATGTACAGGAAGAACTGAGAGAGATTGGAGTGAGGGGCTGGAGAAGGCAGACACTCGATAGGGAAGGATGGAAGAATGTTTTGAAGCAGGCCAAGGCTCACGAAGGGCTGTAGCGCCAACTGATGATGAAAGACATTCAAAACTTATCGCTATTAGAGTATTTTTATTTGCCTAGCAACGAAAAATCAACAAATTTTAATCTAAAACCCCATGAAGTCTAACAAGAACAAACAAAGAAATGTAATTTAGTTTATGAAATTGAAATAGCATAAATAAAAGGCAAATACTATTGGTTAATGGTTAATTGGTTAAGTTTTGTACTAAAATTATTCGTGTACACTAAACCTCATACAACAAATTCGAGTCGTCTGGCTCGCTGATGTGTAAATCGCTCTATTACTCTTTCAGTGTCTACTTCAATGTCTCGGTGAACATGAAGGACGCAAAGACACGTAAGTCGGGTTTCCCCATCCTTGCCCCCAGCCAAGTCTTCACTCTTCTTAATGTAGAGAAGGACCTCTCTGCTGTAGCTACACTGACTAAAAAATAACAAAATGTAAATTTAATGTGTGTAATATACTTCTGGTCCACCTGAAAGATTGGCTACCTTAGTTTGTCTACCCACAAATCTAGGTAACTTCACTTCAACGTCCAATTCGTCTTGTAATTTTTGAACTTCGGTAAAGATCTTAATAACACTTTCTTCAGAGTTAGATCTTCTATCTTTCAACGTTGACATGGTATTGGAAACAATCTTACCACCAGGTTAGCATTAAGAGATTTTGTTTCTAGAAGGCGACTTAGTGGCAATGTTAATTTAGTATATCAATTAATGACGTCATTGACATAAGAAACTCAGATGTGCATAAAGAATTAAGTAAAGTTAATGCAAGTGACAGCAATCTTGGGATCCCTCCATGTTAAGATATGTGTTAGTGCTTCAATTATACGTAAAATGACAGACCTGGATTACGCTTTCATGGTGCTTAACCCATCTTGTTTCGCATAAAGTTGTTAAATTTTGTCCGAGTTTCAATTTTAAAACTTTATTTCTCTTGACCGATATGTTAAAAAATAATATTACTGACTTCATTCTTCCCACCGTGTTTCTGATGGACGATACACTAATAGAAGTTGATAAAGAATTGTTTAAAATATAATTTAGCCAAGGACATCTAACTGCATTTGTTGCAAAATTTTTTATTTCTCTTACTTCACCGACTGCTTCAGAGCTCATTATGCTCCAACTGTCAGTACCGATTGCTACACATTTTTTCGGATCCAAGTGCAGTTCTTTCAACAAGTTTAATACTATTTTTCCCAAGGCTTCTCGTATCAGGTGTTGTTCTTCCCCTCTTTCTTGATTTTCAGTAATTATTTTAATGTTCTCAATGAAAACACGACAAAGTCATCACGAATGTTCTTATTGTCTATGTATCTTAAATTTAAAGAAAGCTGTTCCACGTGAGATATGTCGGTCTTTTCGTCAAATATGACAGAGTAATAATTTGCACTTTGAACCATTATTTGATTCATTATTTGTTCAATTATGTCTTCACAACTTGTTATCAATTTATTTTGACCGGTGCTACTAATGTATGTTTCTCGAAAAGATGCTGTGAACAGGTGTTTGTTGAGAGTCTCATCTCCTGATACGATTTTAAACGTTAACAATTCCCTGAAATTACTCTCATTGCTAGGTCCAGCATCTTCAGCCAGAAAGAGAAAGCCATAATCACATATGGAAGGATGGAAGGGGGACGACAGATGCAGACAGTCTATTGCTTTCCTCACACTTTACTTCGTTCAGCACAACCTCTACTACCCTCAAAACTAAAAATTTCGGAATCTCGCGGAAAGCGAGATATGAGTTTGAAACTAAAACCGTTGAACTACAAATATTTAAATTTTTATCTCTCTGGATCCGCCATTGCTTTGAGATAAAATATGCTGTAATATGCTCGAAGTGTTATACAATATAGACATAGACATATAATGTGCATTTTAAATATTTCGTAATAAGGGAGGCAACAACTAGTTGTGTAAGACTACACTGCTCATAAAAACTACTTGATGTCTTGGTTGATCATTTAAGGACCGTGAAGAAAAATTCTTTATAACACAACCAACAAACTGACATTACTACTGTTAAGTTGAATTTCTGAAATGATTTGAATAATGTTAAACAATCAGCAGCATAGACATCATTATCTTCGTCGAGACATTCATGCAACTTGCATTGGTTATTCCTCACAGGAAAGTAAGTTTCGGTAAAACAAATATTAATTACAATAATATCTAGCTTTAAATTTATATATCAATTGAAACTAAAACAATATCTTCTTCTACTTAATTCAGGCGAGATCATTGAATTCAGCTCTGGCAATGGGTCATAAGACCTTTGTACCATCATCATCATTTTGGCTTTACAACCCCGTGTGGGTCCTAGCCTCCCCAAGAATTCTCTTCCAGTCGTTCCTATCCATCGCCTTCCTCCGCCAAGCACGTATTTCCATATTTCTCATATCTTGGTCTAAGTTATCTAGGAATCTTGTTCTGGGTCTTCCTCTTCTTCTTTGCCCAATAGCTCTATCAAGGAGCGTTTTTCTAGCTGGGTCGGTTTGCTCCATCCCCATTACATGGCCTACCCACCTCAGACGTCCTATCTTAATGAGTTTTACGATATCTGGTTCCTGGTATATTCTATAGAGTTCGAAGTTGTATCGTCTTCTCCAGACACCATTTTTATTTACAGCTCCATAGATTCGCCTTAGTATTTTTCTTTCAAAGCATCCTAACATGTTTTCATTGCTTTTTGTTAAAGTCCAGGTTTCTAAACCATATGTTAGGACTGGGCGTATTATGGTTTTGTAGAGTTTTACTTTTGTATTTCTTGATATAACTGTAGATTTAAAAAGGAGATTAAGCCCAAAATAGCATCTATTAGCCGTGCAAATTCTGCAGTTTATCTCTTCGGTAGTGTCATTTTCAGTATTGACGGGCGTTCCCAGGTAAACAAATTCGTTAACTGCTTCGATGACGTCGTTTTCTATAACAAGTGGCCGTAGTTTTGTGGTTGAGGGCCTATACCCTGTTTCTTATTAAGCTCCAATAAGTCCTTAACAAATGCCAATAGTTTCCTCATTGATAGTTTAAACATCTCTTCTGCTTCAATTTTCAGTTGACCAGTGAATTCCTGCCACATCTGACTTAGCACATTGCAATGGCATAGAATGTGTGTGGCAGCCTCTTCTTTCTTTTTGCCTCTTTTACACCATGGTTCATTCCCCTTACCTATTTTGTATCTTTTTTTTAAGAAAGTGTTTTTTTAAATAATATTCAGTCACCATTTCGGTGACTAATTATAGAATTTGTATAAAATTATTAAAGTGTTTTTGTAAATTTATTATATTAAATTTTTAAGTGTTGATTACCTTGCATCCTACCCCTTCCTCGATACCCCAAGTATTATCTACGCATATTTCGCATTCAGTGCCAGTGGTCAACGGAGGACAAATACATTTGCCGTTGTTGGGATCACAAATGTGTCCTTTTTTATCACAAGGGTCACATCCTAGAAAATGAAGAAGTTAAAGGTTAATTATACTTATATCAATCTCAGTGATTTTTATTTGTAGACGAAAATATTTAACTAATATAAATTCCTATCTACTGCAATATTGATAGGAGAAATAAAAATAATGCAACAAAGTTCATGAAAAATAAAATATATCAAAATATTTGTGTACGATTGAATAAAACAGACAGGATGTTTATATTATAAAATCTTATAGGTCTGGGACGTTTTCTAAAATATTGTGTACCTAAAATTTTATTTATATAATATTGCTATACAAAATGGGCCTACAAAACTTAAATAAAAAATGTTAACATTAGAATATCAATAGTTGTGCTATAGCGGCCCAGATATGTTCTATGCAGTTCATATCTGGTGACCGGGCTAATTACTCTATTCTGTCAACACCGCGATGCTGTAATCTTTCGTTCACAATTCTTGTACGTAGGGGACAGGCATTGTCGTCAATAAAGACAAAACTTTCGATTGCACCAGCAAATGGTACAATACATGATTCTACAACCATATCTCTATTTCTTTGTGTCGTCATCGTAGCATTTGTCGGAACAACTTAGTCCGTGTGGTCATCAAAACACATGCTACCCCAAACACAAATCATCATCATCATCACCCAGCCTTTTGCGTCCACTTTTTGACATCAAGAAGTGGATGCCAATGTACAATGGTACATTATGCTAGTACATAAATTTTGACGACACTTTTTTAAAAAGTTTTAACTATTTGTTTTTATACCACAATACAAGTGTGAAGTTTTTTAACTTCTGTGTTTTTTTAAACGATGGTATACAGCCAACCACTGGGATTTTCCCATTAATTTTATAAATATTTAAGTTAAAAAGTGTCCAAAATACATTAAATAAAAATTGCACTGAATCACAATATGTGGTCGTGCATTTAGAAGACACCATTTCAAGCACATATTAAATTTATATATTTTAATCAGCCTTCGACTATTTAAAATTATTTAAAACAGTAGAAAAAAAGTTTTTGCTTGTTCCGATTATACCCAATATATACATATATCTACAACTGAACTATATACTTACTTTCACAGCTTGTTTTGATATCACCATAGTGGTTCGGCAAGCAGCTAGTACATTGTTGACCCGTAACACCCGGTGTGCACAGACATTTTCCAGTTTCTTTATCACAGTTAGTGTTGGGAATTGTACCATATATGTTACATTTGCATTCTGTACACACTTTGTTTTTCTTCCAGTATCCATCCTATAAATAGGAACGATTATTAAAAATAAATAATATCTCTTTATATACAATTTTGTGACCTTGGACATATATCATATATAAGTCAATTAAAAAACTAAATTTCAATGAACTAAATAAAGTTACCAATTTGGATGCTATGTTTCCGGTTTAGGAATATCCACACACTTCGAGTTGGGAACAGTTCTAACATTAGATCGATTCTGCAAATATTAAAAAACACTACAAAATTATGACCAACTCAAAGAGATAATGACGACGATTTTAGTCGAAAAACTTCGTTCTGTCAACAAACGATGGACATGTTAGACAATGATATGATTTGATTAAAATATTTTTGGTTTTTGGGATGAGTACACTTGAATATGTTATCTGTCACTGAAATGTTAACTGCCAAAATTGCCGTCAAGGGTCTACAAACAATCCTCATTTATACCCTAAAAAGCATGTATGTAGCATTAAAAGATTCAGCTACAAACATGGATTTAATAATAATCAGCAATAAAACGAAGTCCATAAAAATAAGCACGCAACCACAAATCCTACGACTACTTGTTATAGAAAACGAAGTTATCGAATCAGTAAACCAATTTTCATTCCTAGGCGCGCTCCTTAACACTGAAAATAATACTGCCGCAGAGATAAGCCGCAGAATTTGCACGGTCAACAGATGCTATTTTGGGCTCAATCTCTTTCTTGAATCCACAATTATATCGAGAAATACATAACTAAAACTCTAATACGCCCAGTCCTAACATATGGTTGAGAGACCTGGACTCAAAACAAAAAGTAATGAAAAAAAAAAAATTACTAAGGCAAATCAATGAAGCAGTCAATGACAATGGAGACTGGAGAAGACGATACAACTTCGAACTTTATAGAATACACCTGGAACCAGATATAGAAAAATATATTAAGATATGACGTCTGAGGTGGGGCATGTAATGCGGATGGAACAAAATGACCCAGCTAGAAAAACGCTATTTGATAGACCCATTGGTCAGAGAAGAAGAGGAAGATCCAGAATAAGGTTCCTTGATAACATGCATAAAGACATGAGAAATATGGGAATACGTGCTTGGCGGAGGAAGGCGATGGATAGAGACAACTGGAGAAAAATTCTTAAGGAAGCTAGGGCCCACTCAGGATTGTAAAGCACGAATGATGATCATGTATATTTAATAATGGTCCAAACTAATGTGCCAGCTTGCATTGCACTCTATATAATAGATGTTAGATCTATGTATCTTCCGTTTTTTAGGGATTTTATCATTAGTATGAAGCGTGTATGGATTATTGGACACTAGCGTTTCTTTTCCGAATTTGATCGCAATCTGATAAAAACAAACTATAATAAAGTAGATTTTTCAAAGAAAATTTTTTACATTCTATATCTTCTTGTAACAACCTAAACTTAGGCATACATGATAATAAGGTAATAGAGAAAAATAGAAAAGAAAAATACTTGGACTACCTACCTCACATGAATTACATTCATTTCCTATATAATGTGGCTTGCAGAAGCAAGCTCCTGTGGTCTGATTGCAAGTTAGAAATCTCGATCCGTCAGGGTCACAGGTACAAGCTATAATAAAAAAGGATTTTAGATTAATTCTTTAAAAAATTATTTTAGTTTTTAAACTAAACTGTAATATTACTGACACTGTAAACTTTAAAAAAGTTTACAATGTCAGTATCATTCCAATTATATCGAAAGGATTCTAACCATCAACATATTAATACAAATAGAGTAAGCGCTGTAATACATGGTAACCGAACAATTGATTTATAAACTTTGATAAAATGAAAGGCAGATATCGAGCACAATTTTATTAATCAAATCTTGCTCAAATACTTTCGCTTTCTAAAGCATCATCAGGGGCATTTCGTCAATTTTGGGCTGTCCAACAAGCGTAGAATGTAGTAAACATGAAATTTCATGTTTATTACATTTATACATTTATTCATACATACATACATTTTACAAAAAGTAAAATGAGGGTAGCCCGACATGGCGATAGGTTGGACAGTGGCAGCTGACTGTTTTAAAACTGATCATGCATCGAGAATGATAGCCACAGAAACGGCACAGATACACCGGTGCAGAAATCAATAAGTAACCACCGCACTGGGTCCTCGGAAACTCATTGGAGAGGTAAAGGGCATTTTAAAACAACTGCTGGCAACGTCGTCTAGTTTTCAGACCCAGATAATATAAGTGAGTCGCAATACTTGTACTTTATAAACTGAACGACTGCATAATTGGATACAATAATACTGTTAATGACAGAACAGACTTGAACAAGACAGAAGTCTTGACTAGATAAACGTTCCTACAACAGCTGTACAAGAAGAAGACATTAACAGGTTCTATGGTCGTCTAGAGGAAACTGCTAGCGCTATTCCGAATTGCTAACTACTCATATCCTGGCGCAGACTGTGAAAGCTATCATCAACTTCTGGTATGACTTTGTTTTAAAGTCCCCAAAAGAAGACCCCTAAGAAAAATCATGTCTCTAAATCCATCAAAAATCAATGACTTCCAACAAAACCTAGAAGAAGCTCTTTCTCTAGACCAAGTAGATAGTGATCCTAAGAGCACTTAGATCTATTTCAAAGATAAGGTAATTGAGGCTGCAAAAGACTGTGAGGCAGCGGTTTCCACGGGTCGTAAGCCGTGGATATTCGATAATACGTGGACTGTATCATCGAAGAACATAAAACTATGAAAGGAATTAGAAAACATAGAGAACCTACTGTCTTACTCACTCGCTAAAGTCAAAGATGCAATTAAATCGCTATTTATCGATTAAAGAGAAAGTAATCCCCAGGCATTAATTCAATACCAGGTGAAATACTACAATTACTAGGTAACAAAGCATTCCATATAATCCATTCTATCTGTGTCGCTGTTTGGAATTCAGGAAAATGGCTATCTGATTAGTATACCTCAATTTATATCCCGCTACACAAAAAAGTAATTACTACCAGATCTGACAACTACCGCACACGGTCACTAATAACCCATGCTAGTAAAATCTTGTGGCATATCATCAAAAACAGATTAAAAACCTATCTACATTATCAAATACCTCAGGAACAAGCGGGGTTTGTAAAGGTACACGGGAACAAATCCTGAACCTGAGACAACTCATTGACAAATCTTTGGTCCATTTTAATAGAAATGGGTACACCAATGCACCTAGTGACACTTAAAAATCTGTACCAGTCCAATATAGCAACAGTCTGACTAGATCAGAAGTTCTCAGACCAGTCCAATATAGCAACAGTACGACTAGAACAAAAGTTTCGAAAGACACTATCTCTCAAAATATCAAGATGAGATTGGTAAATACCCTTGTATTCTCAATATTTCTATACGGGCAGATACTTAGACTCTTCGCGGACGCGAGCGCCAAAAAATTAATGCCTTTGAGACGTGGTGCTGGAGAAGCATACGCATATCTTGGACAGCTCATAGGACCAACGCTTTCAGAGAGAGTAGTTTTGAAAAGTTTTCTTAGAGAGAGTAATTATTTTTGGAAACGTTCCGGGGAGAAGATCAAGAGGACGATCACCAACTAGATGGTTCAACCAAATTAAGAATTCAGCTGGAAACTCATTCTGCGAAACTCTCATGGCAGCTGAAGATAGAGACCAATTGAGAAAAATTGTTAGAAATATTGCAAGAAATTACGATCCTCAGTAATGGTGAAACGCCAAGAGAGAGAGAGAGAGAGAGAGAGTCATAGTACTTCGCTCACACATTCTTTTTACTTTTAATTTTCCATTGCTCTTGTAACCTTTTGGAGTTTTTGATATCATGACCATACTCCTAACGTCCATGTTCTGATCTTAATAGTTTTATACCGTTTCAGTTTAGGGTGTTTCCTAATCTTGATAATGTTCCTAACTGTTCTACTGGTTGGAGTATGATTACCTTAATTATTACGTACCTAAAGCCAGTCGAATATATTTTTATATCGAAAATCCTGATTTAATTATACTTATAGATAAGTTAGATGGCTGGATATACCAGCCGATAGAGCTCAGAACATAATAAGAAATCAGATAGACTTCATTCTTATCAACGGTAGATTCAGCACAACTGTCAAAAAAGCTTGCACATACTCTGGAGCAGATGTCCCTTCTGACCACGTACTATTAGTGGCCGTCATAAAGATCGCTCTTTCATGCAAGAACAAGCCTGAAACTCAACAACAGATAGCACTGGATAAACTGAAAGACCCAATGATACAAGCAGAAATAACCAATGAAATAAACGCACAAATTCAAATATTGACGACAAACATTACCGAAAATCTAACACCAACATGGAATACGATTACAAGTGCTGTAACAGACATCATGAAAAACAACTTAGGGTACAAACGAAATAACAAGAGGCAAAAATGGATGGCAGAAGAAATACTATTACTAATGGAAGAACGACGAAGACACAAGAATGACCAAGATGGCAGCAATATGTATGAAAATATTAACAGGCAAATAAAAGCAAAAATAAGAATAGCAAAAAATGCATGGCTTAAGCAATAATGTATCGATCTAGAACATTTACAACGACAGCACGACGACTGTAATTTACATAAAAAGCTTAAGGAGACTGCTGGAATATACAGAAAACGAAGACCAACTACCATAGTTAATCAGGATAACCAGATAGTGCTGGGTGAAAGGAGAAAATTGATATATGGGAAAATTATATCCAGGAGCTCTTCCATGACGAAAGACCCATGAGTGAAGTTTATACAGACGACCAGCTGACTGGCCCTTCAATCACCAAAGAGGAGATAGAAAAGGCAATATTAAATTCAAAAAACAATAAGGCACCTGGACCAGATAAAATCCCGGCAGAAATACTCAAATTACTAGATGAAAGGGGAATTTCAGCACTACACAAAATATTTAATTTAATTTATGAAACTGGCTGCTATCCTCAACAGTGGTTACGCTCTACCTTTATTCCCCTGCCCAAGAAAGTCAATGCAAAAAGATGTAAGGATCACAGACTCATTAGCCTGATGAGTCACACTTTAAAGATATTCTTAAAAATACTACATCAAAGATTATACAAAAAATGTGAATGGGACATCAGTGATTCCCAGTTCGGGTTTAGGCAAGGTTTAGGAACACGAGAAGCAATAGTAGCAACACAGGTGCTGGTCCAAAATTGTTACGACTAGAGGAAGGATGTGTTCTTATGCTTTTTAGATTACCAAAAAGCGTTTGATCGTGTCCAACACCACAAGTTAATGAAGATTCTCAAGAAAGTTGATATAGACCAAAAAGACATAAGATGCATTGAAAACTTGTACTGGCATCAAACGGCACAGTTAAAAATAGACAATTCTATATCCAAACCCATACATATAAGAAGAGGCGTTTGACAGGGATGTGTGCTTTCCCCTCTTTTATTTAACATTTATTCGGAAGCCATATTTCAAGCGTCTTTGGAGGATGCAGAGATGGGAATCAAGGTGAATGGAGTATTGATCAACAACATACGATATGCTGATGATGGTGTCTTAATTTGTGACAACATAGTCGATCTTCAACAACTTGTCACTATAATCGGAGAATACAGTAAGCGAATGGGATTACAGATTAATACCAAAAAGACCAAATTTATGATCATCTCCAGAAACTTAGATGCACTTGAAAACTCCACCATAACACTGAATACTAAGTCCATTGAAAGAGTAAGTAAATTTAAATACCTGGGATCGTGGCTTTTTGAAGACTGGGCATCGGACAGGGAAGTAAAATGTCGCATTGAGCAAGCTCGACAAGCTTTCGTAAAATTCAAGAAAGTACTGACTTGTTCAGAGTTTGATCTTCAACTGAGACTAAGGTTTACTAAGTGCTACGTATGGTCAGTGCTGCTATATGGCGTAGAGGGCTAGACACTCAAAACGAGGGATATAAACAGATTAGAAGCTTTTGAAATGTGGCTTTATCGCCGTATCCTAAAAATACCATGGGCAGCGAAAATCACAAATATAGATGTCCTTAAAAGAATAAACCAAGGACGCCAACTTTTCGAAACCATCAAGAAAAGGAAAACGGCGTATCTAGGTCACATCATGCGAAATGAAAAATAAAAGTTCCTCCAACTTATAATCGAGGGTAAAATTGAAGGCAAGAGAGGAATGGGAAGCAAGAAAATGTCCTGGCTCCGAAACATAAGGCAATGGACAGGGATTAACGACATACAATCTCTGATACATATTGCAAGAAATAGAGAATTAATGGAAAATGTGATCGCTAACATCCATTAGTGGATTTGCATCTGAAGAAGAAGAATAGATAAGTTCATATTGTTAAAATGTGCAAAATTAACTACTTGCATTAAGATTCAGATATAGTCTGGGTAATTAAACCTATTACCTTTTTTTAACGTTGTTCCCAAGCGTTATATAATTATTCCACGAGATCGTTTATTATTCATTTTATGTCCATATGAATAAATATATCCTCTTACAATTATAATAATTAAGATACAGGCGGCAATAACTACATCGACAATCAAAAGCATGATCAAAATTCGTACGCTTTTACTATAAA